CACATCACCACTGGACTCTGGAGCAGTGGAAACATGAAGTATGTTTCTGAAAAAAGCCCACACAATCCTGTGATTTGTCCAATGTCCTAAATCTGACCCTATCTAGATCCCTGTAGGTCCTGGGTGGCTAGCCAACCTAATATTTATAGCATTAGCTTGACAATTAGCTAGCTGGTTAAAAAGCTATCTTTTACTTTTTCGAGACACACTTCAGCACAGTACTAGCAACATAAAATCTACTGTTTTTGGAAACATAAAACCTCACTTACCAAGTGTGCTTTTAAGTGTAGGCAGAATTCACAAAACTGATAAATTACCACAGCAAGCACATGGAGTGAAGGTGGGGTGTTAATGGATTTTCACGATTTCATGGATTTTGTACATATGGCTGCTGGCCATGTTTTTTCTATAGACTATAGACAACAAGTATTTAGCTGTATATTAGCAATAATGGACTTAAATTTAGACAGTGAAGCATCTAAATGTTTCATGACCAAAACGAAAACATTTCCTTTCAAATCTGTTGTATCAGTGACCACTAACTTAAGAAATACTTTTTTACGACTAAAACAGTTGCTAGAATAAACACATACTAAATTTAACACATATTTATTTATTTTTAACTGTGTTTCAGGCCCACCTCAACTCTTTCTCTGCTGAATATTAAATGTCCTCTTTGCACTATGCTGTGACAATCAATAGCTTGTTCATGTAACCAGGGTTTCCAGATTGCTGCTGTAGTTGACAGCCAACATATTCAAAACCCACGAAAATACATGAAAACCCACCCAGTATAATGCAAAAAACAGTTAGCATTTCAACCATAATACAAAATAATACAGAATTTAAATAAACATAACATAATAATATAACTGCAATGTGCGTTAAACACTGATGTCTTGCCCAGGGGCACTTTAACCCACTCTTGGGCCCTGACGCTACAGGTGCTCCTAGGCCCTCAAGGAGTTTTTACAGTGTCCAAAAACTCAAAACCTTTGTTTTTAACGAAGGTGCACACAATGGCATTGACTTTCAGTACGGCCATTCACCATCCTTCCATTACTGCACAAACTTAAACGAAGCTGAACTTGGATTTTATCTGCCAGGTTCATTTTCCAATTTTCTGTTCCACTTAAATGGTGCAGCAGTCACAAATGTCAGAATCTGCCTTTTTTCTTCAGCCCTCCAATCCAATCATTTCATAGCAACCATTGCTATCCCTCAAGTGTTTGTTCTCAGAGCGTCAGTATTTGAATTCAAAGATCCGGAAGCAGCTAAAAGATGTTTTTGTGGATGTTTAACAACAAGATTCCATCCTGTATAAATATCTGTTCTTCTACTGTTCGATCTCAGCACTGCTGTTGATACCACTTACCATAAAATTCTCATAGATACACTCGAAAACTGGATTGGACTCTCAAGAGCTGACCTAAAATTGCTCAGTTCACAGCAGCACGGAAGGGACTACTTTGTTGAAATAGAAAATAATGTTTCTGAAAGAGTGCCGGTGACCTGTGGTGTCCCCTCGGGTTCAATTCTTAAGTTGCTTTTATTTAATTTATACATGCTTGGTCAAATACTACAAGACTGTAGGATATCAGAATCAGAATTTCTTTATTTCACAAAGTATGTTACATATAAAAGGAATATATGACATGTAACATACTAAACAGATCAGACAAGCAAACAGACTGTTAACAAGTATTTAGCTAAGGCAAAATTAAAATAAAAATACAACAAATAGAATAAAGAATAAAGAACGATAAAGAGCCATGGAGATGAGTTAAAGAGATGTGTGAATATTTGTATATATGCAAATAAGAATATCATGCAGGTCTGAGTAGACATATACTACAAAAACTGTTTACATATACAGAATATTAGCAGATATAACATCTGAACACTTTTGCAAATAAACGTTGTTACAGATGAGTTAGTGTAATACAGTAAGGAGGTTTGTTTGGTTTTGTTTAGGTTTAAAATGTGGGGTGTCTGCTGTGATTGATAAGCTCTGGGAAAAAAAAATTTATGTCTGGTTGTGCTGGTTAAGATGGCCCTGAATCGATCTATCAGAGGGGAGTGGCTAGAAGAGGTGATGTCCAGGATGAGAGGGGTCAGTTGTTATTTTGCCTAGGCCATGGTTTAATCCCAGTGTGGAGTGTTTTCTTGGTTTCTCCTCTTTTGATTAGTTAAGGCTTCTCCCTGGCATCTGGGCCAGCATTTCTAGACTTTGTTACCCTATTCATTTTGGGGTTTTTTTTACTGCATCTTGTGATCTGCCACTGAGGTCCCTTTCTGCCCACAACAGGTGGTTCAACCAGTAACGCTTTGGCCTCCCATACCTAGAGGACTAGAATGAGCTTACTCTGAAGTTTATATCACCTGTGAGAAAGACGTAGAGAACGTAGAGCTTCTCAGGTCAGATGTCCTCTTGGGCTATCCATTCAACATGAACCACCCCATGTTAGAAAGCCCCCTGAACCTACCGAACAGCCCATGCAATTAGGGAGCACCTGCCTCTCTCAACAAGAGCAATGTGCTCATATGAGGGACAGGCTGTACTGTGGGAGTCCAGATCACTTTTGAGCCTCGTGTCCCAAGCTGTCAGTAAATGCCAGGGCCCATCCCAGGAGGGGAGACCTGTGACCCCCCAAACATTTTTGGGCTTTGGCAATTTCTTCCGGCAATTTATGCAGACCTTTAGTAGTGTAGCCTCCCCTCTTACTGCCCTCATAAAGAAGTCCCAAGGCCGGTTTCAGTGGACCCCTGAGGCCCAAAATGCTTTTGAGGACCTCAAGCATAGACTCACCTAAGCCCTGGTACTCCAATTACCAGACCCTGAAGCACCTTTTATTGTGGAAGTGGACGCCTCTGAGGTAAGAGTGGGTACTGTCTGCTCACAAAGGTCTGGATCTGATCAGAAACTCCGTCCATGCTCTATTCCCATAGGTTTACCCCTGCTGGGCAAAATTATGATGTAGGGAATTGGGAACAGCTGGCAGTTAAGCTGGCACTGGACGAGTGGAGGAGGCCAAACATCAAGTTGTGGTCTGGACCGATCACAAAAATCTGGCCTACATTCAGAATGCTGAGCACTAAGCTTGATGCTTCTATTCAGGAGGCCCAAGGAAACTGCTATGCTGCTCTTGCAGCACGTAGTGAGGATACACGGCCTGCCACAGGTTCTTGTGTCCGATAGAGGCCCCCAGTTTGTGAGCCACTTTTGGAAAGCCTTCTGTCAGCTCCTGGGGGCCTCAGTCAGCTTGTCATCATGTTACCACCCTCAGTCTAAAGGGCAAACAGAGAGTCCACCAAGACCTAGGAAGAGCCTTGCACTGTCTGGCATCGTCCAACCCTGCTTCTTGGTCCGAGCAGTTGCTGTGGGCTGTATACGCCCCCAATACATTATGGCACTCATCACTGGGGATGTCACACTTTGAATGCCAATTTGGGTACCCACCCCGCCTCTTTCCTGAGCAAGAGGAGGAAGTAGGGGTTCCCCTACGAAGTGGGCGTAGTCAGTGAGTCAAAGCATAACTTTATGAAAAAAAAAGAAACGAAGCAGCATAGCGATCACCAATAGGAATTGAGCATTGGGCCAGAGCCGGTTTATGAGGAGCCTGGCCTCTTCCTATTTCCCCCTTTACATCAAAAACAGGACTGCAAAACACCACAGGGCACCTGCAAGCGAGTCCTCAAATGAATGGGGGTGAAAGGGGCAGCTAAAAATGAAAAATTAAAATAGTTTCTAATCACTTGCCCAGAACATTAATTTTTGCAAGTAGAAGGATGTATTTCACTAAAAAACATCAAAGAAAACTTAACTGTATGCTTCCTTTTTTACAGCAAACGGGTTTTGTGCAGCAGGAAGCTAACGTTACTGCTACTGAGTGCTGATTGGTTGGTGAGCAGAGCAGCTCATTGGCTCTTGACACTCACTAGCGTCATGAAAGTACATGCGGCGCCATTTTAAACTTATATAACTCGAGTTCAAAGCAGTATGTATGCTACACTCTCTAGTGGGTGAATTACACTAAATTAAAAAGAGATTTAAAAAAAAGATGGTTAAGAACAAAAAATGTAACAATCACATGTATTTATTTCTCAAATCTTATGTCCCCCATGTAACGATTATCTGAATATCTTTACAGGGGAAGACCAATGTAATGGGCAGAGCAACCTCTACTGTGTTTGATCAAGAGTTTTGAGACTGATCTCTCCAGTTCAACTGTCTTATTTCTTCTGGCATACTAAACACCTGTGACTACCTAAAAAGGACAAAGGTTGTAGACACTGACGACAGAGACAAAATCTACCATAAACATACTTCCAGACATGCAAATGGAAGCATTTGCAATGGCCCTCACAGTCCCCTGACTTCAGCATCAATGAAAAGCAGGTAGATTTTAACATGTTGTGCATGCAAGATGACTCAAGAATATCACAGATCTAGAAGCATTCTTAAGGAAAAGTGGGTGAAAATTCCTAAAACAAGAACAGAGACAGCTTGTTATAAAAAAAAAAAACTGTGATTTTGTGTGATTAATATTTCCATAAAAAGGATACTTTGATAATCAACCTACAAATATGTAGTTTGGCCGGGTGCCTAAACTATTGCATACAACTGTATCAATGAATCCTTGTCACACATCATTTTTTGCCAGAATGTATATGATATGGGCCTTTAATCCAGAGAAATACACTTTTAGAGAAAAAAAGTTCACTGCTAGGCATTTTCACATTATTAATACATTACAAGAATAAATACAAAAAATGTGGTCAATGTGGTCATTTTATTATACGTATGTTAAGGATTATGAGGGTGTAGACAATGTTATACAAAGCACATTATCACTGCTTTAACATATGTTGTTCCTTGTTTCAGAGGTCAGTTTAAAGCAGGCTCAGTCAGCAGAGGTGATTTTAAAAAACGACACATTTAATTATTTATTTACTAAGCCAATTATATATGCATTTCTCGTTTTTAATACTTTGTTTTTAACAGCCTCTTTCCCCAAAGACAATAAAACACCCCCACTGTAAGTTCTGCCACATTTTAGTAATTGTAATCTTACAAAAGCAGATTAAAATAAAAGCTTAAATAAAGCAAAAAAAAAGGTAAAACACTGTTAAAATACATTTACATAATACAAATCTGATTCATGCTTTCAACTGTTTCAATCTTATTTTTATTTTGTGGGCGAGAGATTTTTTTTTGGGGATCTTCATCTTTCTTTAGACTTGATATCCCACATTTCTCATCATAGATTAGATCAGCACGTACTTAGCAGGTGCAAAACACATATTTGTACCATTAGAAAGACTATTAGTCACATTGGAATTCATTTCTTTCATTAATGTATTTCATTAGAAGTCTGATATTTAATAATCTTCCATTTCTTCCTCTTTTTCCACTCATTCAGTTTCCTGCACATCTGTTTCAACATCATAATAGTCAAAGCCATAATCATAAGTGTCTACTTCACTCTCACTGTCTGTCTTGTAACACCCGTCCAGCTGTGAACATAAGCCTCCACAGAGTGATAGCTTCACCATGTTGTTGCACTGTAGATAAGTGTGTGGTGTCCAGTTTTCTTCTGTGCATCTGGCAACTGAGTTGCTGCATCTCAGTCTTCATTAATAAACAGGAAACATTAATATTAATATTAGTATTAATGTCAATTCGTGCCCTCAAACATTTGACCACCACTCAGTGTCGTCATCATTAGCATTAAACAGTGCTGTATGTTTTTTTGGCACATTGAACATGTTTGGAAATGGATCAATGGGTAGTTAAAAGGAGAAAGAACAAACCCTTTCAGAACCACAACGCAGTCACGATGCTTCCACTTCTTCTTTATTTTTAAGATCGCATCCTCCATTAACATGTGTCCATGCAAGGTAGTCACACTGAAACACAAGACAGCTATTGTTTTTGTCTTTACAGCACATAATGCTGTATTTCTTATTCCTGGTTAGTACTACTCCCTAATCAGCTCATTAACAAAGCTTTCCTGGGAGATCTGGATGTTAGAGAAAGAAAAATATGGAACAATGCAGGGCCTCCAGAACCAGGACTGAGAATCACTTCATTATGCAATCATTACAAGCTACAAAAACAGACCTCACAAATGTAGTGAGTCAGAAAAAGATGGCCTAATAACACTGAACTTTATGATATGAAGTTGTAATTAAAGGATCCGTTGCACTCATTCTATACATGCATGACGGAGATGAACAAAAATAACAGCATGAAACCTGTTCTTACTGGATTTTGTTAAGACTGGGACAGGTGCTAAAGGAGAGGATCCTGGTAGCCCAGCGTTCAGTCATGTCCCCTATTTCCAGTTTCAGTTTCTGAAGACCAGGAATACCATGGAGGAAAGACATCAGCTTATTTACTTCCTCCTCATACTCATAGGAACTAAAAAAAGGAAAAGAAATTTTTATTATAAGGAATATTTTACGAAAAAATGTTAACTTTATAAAAGACATCTGTGTAGTAGTCACTGTATATATTCATATACAAAATAAAGTCAAATAATGTTTTGCTGATTTTCTAAAAGAAAATATAGCATTTTTCTGCAAATTTTAGGGCAAAATTTCACATAGTTTAACATTTTTAACATAAAATGAACAGAAATATATAAAATGCGCCATCATGTTTGCATAGACTACAGTTTATGTTATATTTATTTTTTATTATGTCAAATTCAGCAAATAAACAGTAATCATGCATTAACATGTGCACAAGTGTGTTCTCTGTAGAAAATATTTTAGTTTGACGAGTAGCAGCCAAACTTTTGCATACAACTGTAAGTAGAAATACAAAGACTACTCTTACTTCTCCTTTAAAAATCTGAGACATCGCATTCTGTAAAGGAGGTCAGGTCCACTGACGTTGAGGATCGCAGAATGTGGAACCGCGAAGGAAATGAATGATGGTGAGGTTTCTGGGTACTTTACACTCCGGATTTTAACAGTGACCCTTAAAAAAAACACAGGAAGTGACCAGTGACTGACAGAAATATGATAATTAGAAAAAACTGTAAACCAATCACTGTGATGGACTAGCAGCCTGCCCAGAGTGTTTTCTGCCTCCACCCAATGACCGCTGGGAAAGGCTTCAGCACCCCTAAGCGACCCAGGAAGATAAGCAGCTGAGATAATGTGTGTGTGTGTGTATAAACCAATTGGTGTGCAATGCTGGTTGGGTGGACAGGGAGGGGCTATTTCCTTGAATAAAGTTAGTTAAAGTTAATACCCTCACACAAGGTGACAATGTTCTTTTCCAAGTTTTCATTGTGTTTAACATTTGATTCCTCCCCCTGAATAAACCACAAACCCGCCCAGCCCAAATTCTGTATGTATACTGTATAATTCAGCTGTATAATTTAGTGCAACGAGCTGTTTTTTTTCGCAAACAGTTTTTATTTTAGGCTGTTCTAAAACATGTGATGTGTAATGTTCACACTAACCTGTGTAACGTGTTTTTGCACAATAACCCATGCATAGCCAGTATTTTACACATTTGTCCAGTAAAACCAGTAATTTGGTTTTATTTCTTATAGGACCAACCAAACCAGCCTGCTGTCAACTAAATCCATTTTTTACGACCTAGTAGTATATTTTCATTAAAACTAAGAAAACGTAGAATATTAGATTTGTTTGCCGTCAGTTTCTAAGGCCCAATCCCATTTCTTATTCTTACCCTTACCCCTTGTTTTCAAGTGCCACCTTGCCCCTTGGAACTGAGTTACAGGGGGTAGTGGTTGAAATTTTCCCTACAAAATGGGACCCTCAAATAAAAAAACATTACTTCATTAACAGGCTACTAGCGGTGCTCTGTAGGCGACCCTGCCAGTCTGCAGTGATAGCAGAGGAGGGTAAAGTTCAGCAACCTCACTGCTGGGCTTTAGTTACATTTAGGGCATCATATACTTTCAAAAAGGGGGGATATGACAATTATTTATTACCGCCCACCCCTAATTCTTCAGTGACATGAAGCTGAAGTCAGATATTTGCCAGCTTCTTGTTTGAATTTTCCTGTTCCACCTTAAATGGTGCAGCAGCTACATTCTGGTTCCTGAAGCGTCAGTACTGTTGGACTATTTAAGGCAGAATGGGAAATTTAGCTAGCAAGCTATCAAGACATTAGCATACTATTAGCAATTTTTATGCTTGTTATGAAGAAAAGGAACATAATACATTAAACTAAGACAATACAATAGTTATAGTAATTTCTCACATTTGTGGGATTCTTTGGTCGCTTGCACAGCCATCTTGCTGGTTTTTCTTTTTTTCCTCATAACACTCCGTTTGGAGTTGTGCCTCTGTGCCTCCCTTTGGAGGGCCATGTAGCCCTAACACTTCGCCCTACCCCTCTATCTCAACAAAAATCGGGACACCCTACCCATAGATATGAATGCGCAAAACGGAGGGCTAAGGACTAAGTGGTAGGGGCATGGGGTGAAATGGGATTGGGCCAAAGTGTAAAAATATTTTTTATTGATAAAGACATGAAGTTAAAAGACTTCCGTCTTGTAATACCGGTGAAAAAAACTACAGGGGTCACCCTCACACAAATATAATGTAAAAACATTATATATAAATATAGGTCACCTCATAGATAGAAAGTAGAGAACAAACCCAAAATCCGACTACAATTCATTTTGAAAGAAGCTGATTTGCTTTCATTTCCACAAAAGTGATTTTTAAATATCCATGTCAACAGTGATGCCCCAGTGGATACTATGGCTACAGTAAAGGAATAAAAGTAATAAGCTAACTCTGTTGTGACTCATCACTGTAGTGGTGTTGTGTTTGTGGTCATCACTGCTTGAAATATGAAAATGTGGCAGCAGCAGAACAAAATTTTATAAAACTAAAAAATAAGACAAAAAAAGATTCTTTTCAGAGTGGATAATTATTTTGGGGTGAACACAGTTGGCTTGGAATCTCATGGTAAATTTGATAGTTAACTGGTAAGGTCAAACACAAGAAACAAAGACTGATTTAACCCTCCCGTTGTGTTCCGGTCAAATCTGACCGATTTACAAGTTTCCTCTTTAAAAAGTGTAGTAAATTTCATCTGTTTGTTATGAGGTTCAATGACTTTGTTCACACATGGTATTTGAACACCTAAAATAAATCTGAAATATTTTTATAAAAATTTGTGTGTTTTATGGAACTTGTACACACCCCATGGTGTTCCTGGTCAAAAATGACCGGTTATTGGAAATGAATCTATAAGACTACAATTAGTGTATAAAACAGAGTTCAAGCACATATCAAGCACATCCACATCAACCAGAAAAGGAGGAGTCAAAAGAAAGAGGTGCCAACTCTGAGCACCAAGAGATAAAAAACTAGCTTTGTGTGCCACAGATGCGGTGTATATATATGCAAAGAACATGAAACGACCACAGTATATTGCCCCACATGCTCATGAGAGGACAAAACTGAGGAACATAAGGATAACATTATGGCACTGTCTTTTCAGAGTACAATAGAAAATTGTAAATATGTTCATACAGTGTATGGTTCAAGCATTTCTCTTAAATTTTCCCTGTGTACATTTGGGCTTTTGTTTTCAATAAATAAATCATACCGGTCAGTTTTGACCAGGAACACAAAAGTTGTTATTTTGTGCCACAGTTTAGAAAACTTAACTGGTTTCAAAAAAGTGACTTTGGTAAACATTTCAGTGAAGTACTCTGTGACAAACACTACAATAGTTTTCATCTTAGTATTTGTTATAGTCAAAATAATATGTATATAATGTTTTTTTCCCTAAAAAAACGAGAGGTATGAGCTCAGGTAAATGAGGCCTGCAGGACATAAACAACAATTACAAGTTCAAAACTTATAATGTTCACAAGAGCTGAAGTTCATAAAAAGATCTAACACAACATTAGGTGATAATATATGTATTATTGTTGATTTATAATGGAATAAAATGATCCCGGGCAAAAGTGACCGGGAACACTATGAGTGTTAGCCGAAACGAACACAACAGGAGGGTTAAAAGGCTTACTTGGAGTCTCTGTGGTTTCTTTTAACAGTGAAAGATGAGCAGGTACTGTCCTTGTCATTCTCGTTTTCCAGCAGCAGACTAATAGAAAGAACACATAATACAGAACAAATAACTGTTTCCACTACTAAAACACAATTCATTGAAACATTTTCTCTGAAGATGTTTGGTAACAAAGTTATAAAATCACATTATTTGTTAATATGGCCTCTGAGCCCGCAGCACTATCACTGAACTACTGTATGACTGCAATAGCATGAGAGAGCTGACTAACTCATGTATGAACACACAAACTTGTGCTTGAGTGGGGAAGGAAAACAGGACTTTTTCTTACCAGATATTACCAAGACTAGTGATATCATGACAGAGATAAAGGATGTAGGAAGCCCAGGTTTCAGTTAGATGATGTATGCCCAATTCCACCTCCTTCAGACCAGGCACACAGTACAGGAAACACAGCAGGGTGTTCACCTTTTTAGGAAAATCTGTGGATCTACAGTTAGAGACCAACTAGCACAAATTCATGTAATATAATAGTTTTTTAGAATTAGAAGTGAAAATTAAAACATACTGGAGCAACATACTGTATGACCTTTCACAGTAATGATCAAATAACTAATGTGCTACCAAATTCACAGCTGTGAAAATCACATCACGGACCATTAAATGAGCCTTTTATTGTGCAATAGACAATTTGGCAAGAAATGCAGTGAAACTTAAAAAAATGGAGGTTCAGAAAAGGATGTGCAGATGCGATTTGACATCTGAATGTTGTAATAGGCAAAAGGAGTGACCTTTTTGACTGTGAACATGGCATGATAGGTGGCACAGGGCATGCTTGTTCTAGCATCTCCCGAACATGAGTTATACAAAGAAAGCATATCTTCAGAGAAACTCTCTGGATGGATGAGTCCAGGTTTGTTCTGCATCATACTGATGGAAGGCTCAGAATTTGGCAGAAGAAGCATGAATCTATGGAACCATCCCTTTGCTGCCAGTAATACGTAGCAAGAAATATAATCTTTATAAAAGGTTTAATAAAAGCTGAAACTTCTGGTTCTGGTCAATTTATTTGCCAGTCAGGTTGACAGATCTCATTGTAACATGTCTTAACAAAAAGGTCCCCATTTGTATATTCGTGATGGATACAAAGATACCATCATGAGACTCAGCTGTTTTGGGAGTGGCATAGTTATCCAGACTGTATCATGGAAGAACATTAATGTCAGTGGTGATTCGGACGCCTTCCCTGAGCGGATGAATCTGATGATTGTGAGCGTGCTGAAAGAGTATTCATAGAGAACATGTATTTCAAAGATGTAAGTGAGTTATCTATTATTGTCATTATATTTTCAGCAATATAAAGTTAATTTTGCATTTAAGACCTAAACATGAAGGCAGACCTTCTTTTTGGGCCTACGCGTGACTTTAGTATGTGAAGAAGTATGACATGGTCCGAAATCCAACTGGACGCCTCTGACCTTTAAATAATAATTTCAGGCTTTTTAGGGTGATTCGCAGCAGTGCACACACACACACACACACACCATATTTTATCATTTAGCATTACTGACTCAGTAATGATACTTCCTTCAATGTTAACAAAAAAATCGTACATAGGCCTGCTTTAATGAAAATATATTCGTTTTGGAATATACTGAACACGTAACTTAGTGTCCCACTACTAGCTTGTTCAGCCATGGACACAAGGGAGGCGTGGCCATGCAGAGCGGTGACGTGCAGAGCACCAGTCTCGCAGTAAGAGAGACCCACTTGTAAATAGTTGGTCATATTAGCATAAAACAGTATATATTTATTGGGCTTTACTGTGCCAGACTGAGGGGCTGGATAGTGGGCCTGTGTGTTCACCATGTACGGGAATTACGTGGTTATTGATGACCTGCCTGCTATCTTGGCCGTCTCAGCAGTGCTGGGCAGCAGTTCCTCCACTGCGGTCATGTTCAATAAAAGAGCATTCACTTAAGGCGCTGTGTTTCCCATGTCTCCTTCTTTGCCAAAACATTACAATATAAGTTGCTTAAAATTGTTTGCTTATTTAGCTTTCATAAAAATTGGTAGAGATGAGCAAGCTAATGGCTCAGAACTCAGAAGCTCAGAACTTATTCATAGTACTTAAGGCAAGTTTTTACCCCTTTACAAATAGGACCTATACATATAATAAACTTAAGCATGTTCTTACCTCTCAGTTAACCCTTTTGTGTCGTAGTATGACTGAAGGAAGCTTCTCCAGTTAATTTTACTTTTCTCTGTGTATTCAGCCAGGATGAGTGAAATGTATGCGAGAACAGCCTTTGTATCAGGTTTAGAGGAATTACATCTCAAAGACAACCTGAAATCAAGCACAAGACATGTTTAAAAAAAAAAAAAGCTTTTGAATTGCATGGTAAAGTAAGTTAATGGGCAACAACTGAAAGAAACATCCTCACTTGAATTCATTTCTGGCATTCCTCCTCACTTTTAGCTCAGAGCAGAGATCCAGTTCATAATGTTCTATCTCTTCAGCAGCTCTATAATTCAAAACAAAAAAGTTAGATTCACTCATTTCTATAGTTTGTGAATGATTTCAGTAAAAAAAAAAAATTATTCTCATTAAAAAGTAAGGAACTGCTAAAATCGAAAATGTAAATATGTCACATAACATAGTGGTCTTGGTGTTAAGCTAAAATGAAATAAGCAGTATCTATTACTGCTTTCCCTAAGCTATGAATAGAAACAGCTTCTTAAATCTTAAATGATACTTTGAAAATAACTTGTTTCAATATTGTTTTTAATCTGCATGTTCTTACTTTTCATGGTTAATTTTATATATAAGCCCAATGATGTGGGGAAAAACATGAACATTTTGAAGTTCAAGTATAATTACCGTAACGTGTGACTTGTCCCTTTGTGTGGCATCCTGTTGTATGTTGGATAGGATGCACTGTCCCAATCAGCGTCACCATCACTGCAATTACACAAATTTACACTGTTAAAATATAACAGATATAAACATTTATAATGGATCTAAAATGGCAACTACATGTTACTGAGTTGGATTCTGAGGTAAAGGGTATTTTTGTACCTGACGTCTGTCAATCCACTTGAGTCACTGTGATCTGTGGAGACGCTGTTTGTTTCACTGTAACTCTCCCTGTCCAGAGGAAAAATGCAAAACAGCATTGTGTGACACAGCAAAAGCCAACTTATTTATCACATAGCCTAATGCCATGTCTAATGCCCTGTAATAGATAAATAAAGCAACCTAACAGTGTCTGACTAATTCATGTTATTCTAGTAGTTGTTATAAGAATGTCTACTACAACATCTAAAACAATTAGATAATTAGAAATTGTCTTTACTACCCTGCAACAATATATTAACTCTCAGACTAACTGGAAAAGAACAATAACATATTATATGGAAAGGACGAGAGTTAGGCTATTTTTCTAAAACATTCTGGGGTAACAATGAAACAAATAATCAAACAACAAGTCAAACATGCTGAATAAAAGCTAGTGATCTGTCTTTTTTTAACAGATAGCCGTTTTGCACTATATTTTCTCATTTTCATTTTCTTTCTTTTCTCATTTTTTGTTTTCATAAGCAAAAAACCTTCAACATAAAATGTGGCCTTTGCAAAAGTTATGGCACATTTTATATTATGTTTTTTTCCACTGTGTTAAACTTAGCAAAAATAATTAGAAATTGTGTAGTAAAGTCATCAGAATAGTAAAGTCATCCATACTTAAGTTTGTTCCCTACAGAGGGATTTTCATTTAAAACAACTGTTGTTTGACTAAGGGTGTTCAGTTTTTAAATACAACTATATGAAGTACTACTACACAACTACTGCACAAACATCCACTACATTTTCACTGAAACTGTATGATAATGAATATTTACTTTAACTGCTCTGAGTAGGAAAGGGGGAACAAATTTGATGTCTTTCCTCCATGTTATTCCTGGTCTTCAGGATCCTTTACTTCAGCACATGTCCCAGTGTTTACAAAATGTAGTATGAATAGGTTTTATGCTGCTCTCTTTGAGTTGTAACAGATCCTTATTTACAATTTCATATCATAAAGTTCGTTATTAGGCTACCTAGTTGTTATTTAATATACCTGCAGTGCATATATTCACCTCAAATTTACACATGTAACATATTTTAAATTATAAATATGAATGATAAAATGTATGTATACAAAGATACTATAGTGTGTTCAATAAATGCTTTTACCTAATAATTTTAGGTTATTTGTCCACTAGCATTTATTCACCGGGTTATTAGGCTAAGGATTGTGGAGGGTGAGGGTGGGAGTTGCCTGGTATATGTGTGAGGGGAGAGCTGAGAGAGGAGATGTGAGAAGGGTAGTGAGCAAGCTGATTGGCTTAAAATGTGGCTTATGTATGGTGTAGCTGTGGCCAGCAACAGCTGGAAAATAAAGCACCAAGATTTGTGCAAAAGCTGTAAAAAAAAAAATAGTGGAGAATGCTACATTACGTTTAAAAACTGTATTAATATGTAATTAACATATACATAAAGGTAAAAACTAAATTTGTTCTTGTGCAACTTGCATGTGGTGTCATTATAAAAGATTACCACCGTCAGAGATAACATTCAAATAAAAAAAGGTATAGAGCCACATCAAAGAATTTAAACATCCTCATCAGTACAACTGGTTTTATAATATACAATTGCAAAGTTCATAGGCCCACAACTAATCATCCCCACACAGGTGCACCATGCAAGATTTCTCTCAGACTAACTTGGTACTGGGACATTATGTGTCATTGAAAAAAAAACATGAATGGAGCAACAAACCGTGTCATATTACAGGAGAATTTAATCTCATTGGCCAAGAAACTGAATCCGGGAGGAAGACAAAGGTTTCAACAAGACGACAGCCCCAAACATACACCCAAAATAATTCAAGACTGGTTTATAAAAAAAAGGTAAAGATGTCGCATGGCCTAACCATCCTCCTGAACTGAATTCCCCTGAAAATTTATGGACGACTTTGAAACTATGAGTCCATCCGAGGGACCTTATGACCATGGGAATTTAAGATGGTGAGCCACGAGAAATAGGCCAAAATTTAACCACAATGCTGCAAAAAAATAATTACCTTTTACCACAGACCTCGCAAAGCTTGCCTTGTTTTATTGCAGACCTACATAACTGTTTCTTTAATTCAGTCTGTTTCGACGTGTGAATACTCCACTCATATTCAGGTCTGCACCAAAGAGGTGAACTGTGAACCAGTAACCCCTGGTGGCAATGCATTCAACATCAGAAGGTGCTTTTCTCAGGGCATATCAGCACTGTACTGTCCACATAATCTGCCTGTTTTAACATTTTACTCACATTTTACAGACTGTCATTTAGTTCCTGCAGCACAAGCTGTTGTTAATAACGGTAGAGCTATAAAATAATAGCAAAGATGCGTTTTTCATTTTGGAACATGGATCACAGAACGTATTTTTGACCAATCAGCGCCCTGATTGGCCTACTAATTTTAATTTAACCAATCATAAAGAAGAAGATGTCAAGTAAAGTTTATTATCATTGCTTTGTTTTGTGATACAGACATTAAAGGGTCTCTCTTTTTTTCTATTTATATTGTGTATATGTGAGAGTAACAAAGTGATTGCATTCCTGCAAAATGTCTGACCAATAAACAAACCTTCCTGTGTGAAATTTGGTCCACTTCAGCCAATATGGTGTGGAACCGAACCATATGAAAAATCAATAGGATTACAGAGACATGTTTTTAGCAAGGCATGAAAGGTAGTTTAAGTTACTCAGTCAGTGGCGTAGTTGCTTTGTCACCTAGCCGGCTGTGTTGTTTTTAGTTTTCATTTTCTTTTTTGTTTGAAACAAGAAGTTTTTCTCCATCACTTTTGGAATGGTGGCACCTTTTAAAACACCTCTGTGAACATTACCTTGCTGGACTATCCATTACCAACATACACTGTGTCCAGTATTTTTAGACTGTAGTTCTTTTTCATTTTTTTTTCCTGACAGTGTTGTTTGGCCCCTCCAGTCTTAACCTAGTGGCATATATAGCAATGAATCTACATATTTCTACACATCTACATAATAGATAGTTATGTGAAGTCCTACCTGCTGTCGGTGAAATTTGTTGTTGGCTGACTCGGTACTGTAACGCTAGATCAGAACACAATCTCAGCAAGCAAGTCAAAACAATTTAAGCTCATATTACAATCCATAAACAATGTTTATTTCATGTCAATCAAGGGTTTAGGGGATCACATCAATCACATGAAAGAAAATGCACAAAAAAGTTCTATTTAATTCACAATATTACACAAATGTGGTCCAGGTGGTTTTGTAATTCTGAATTAGTGCTGTCAAAGTTAACATATTGATAACATGTTACCGTAATAAATTATTAACACCACAATTTTTTTAAAAACCATTAACACATTTGCATAGTTTGAGCTTTTGAACCATCTGTAGCTCCAGCCTACAGCCCAGCTGCTTGCGCACATATTAGGGTAGTATTCCTACATTTCTATCCTAGGAATTATTCATTTCTGCGTGCAGTTCTTGAGACTATGAGTTTCTAAACAGTTCCACAAGTAAAAATTTCAGATGCCTTTTTCATTCTATATGTTCCCAAAAGGGACTAATCTTGCCCTTATATTTTCCCTGAATAAGGAAAGTCATGTCGCACGAAAGTATAAAAAACACAGATGTACTGTAAATTCTTCAAGCTTTAACATTAAAAAAAAAAATCTATGTACATCTCTATCTATATTGTGTACACAGACTTCCTTTGTCACTCATCATTGATGTAATCTCTGGTCTTTCTCATAGTGATGGATGACTGAGGGAATTTTTGATGTTTCATTTTAGATATATTCCCCAGTGAATCAGGGGTTCATAGTTTTCCTAATTACTGAGATGAAAATATACAGAAAATATGAATGGAAATATACTTCTGTTCTTCAGTTAAATTCACAGAATTGCGTCACACACAGACTTCAGAAAAACCTTTTCCATGAGAATATTTAGTTTTTTCTTTCAATCATTATAACTTAAAGGTTAGATTTTTGCTAATATTCTGAATGAAGGATCAAAAAGAATAAGTAGTTTAAGTAATTAAGAATATTTTTACAGCTCATTTTGCTCATGATTATCAGGGTGCCAACATTTGTGGAGGGCACTACTACATATATATATATATATATATATATATATATGTGTGTGTGTGTGTGTGTGCTGTGTGTGTGTGTGTGTATGTGTATATATATATATATATATATATATATATACACATACATACACACACACACACACACACACACACAACCCCATTTCCCAAAAAGCTGGGACTATATAAAAATAGAATGCAAATCATGTAAGCCATATTTTTTAAGGAAAAACTACAAAGACGACATATCACATGTTGAAACTGAGAATTTTTATTGTTTGTTGAAAAATTTATGCCCATTTTCAATTTAATGCCAACAACACATTCCAAAAAAGTTGGGACGGGGCATGTTTACCGCTGTGTTTCATCATCTATTCGTTTAACAGCACTCTGTAAGCGTTTGGGAACTGAGTGAAATGTTTTCCCGTTCTTGTTTGATATAGGATTTCAGCTGCTCAACAGTTTGGGGGCTCCTTTGTCATATTTTTCATTTAATAATGCGCCAAATGGTTTCAGTGGTGACTGGTCTGGATTGCAGGCAGGTCAGTTTAGCACATGGACTCCTGTAATACGGAGCCATGCTGTTGTAATACATGTAGAATGTGGTTTGACATTGTCTTGCTGAAATAAGCAAGGCCTTTCTTGAAAAAGACTGTTGTATGGATGGCAGCATATGTTGCCAAAACATGTATATATTGTTCAGCATTAATTGTGCCTTCACAGATGTGCCCGTCACCCATGCCATGTGCACTAATGCACCCCTGTACCATCATTAATACTGGCTTTTGAACTGTGTACTGATAACAAGCTGAGTGTTCTTTAGTCTGGAGGACGCAGTGTCCATGATTTCCAAAAAGTATTTCAAATGTTGATTCGTCAGACCACAGGACACTTTTCCACTTCACCTCAGTCCATTTTAAATGAGCTCAGGCCCAGAGAAGGTGGCAGCATTTCTGGAACCTGTTTATATATGGTTTCTTCTTTGCGTTTAAGAGTTTGAACTTACATTTGTGGATGCAGCGACCAACTTTTTTTTTTTTTCAGAAGTGTTTCCGAGCCCATGCAGTGATTTCCTCTACAGAATCATGTCTGTTTTTAATGCAGTTCTGCCTGAGGGCCCAAAGATCATGGCCAGCAAATACTGTTTTTTGGCCTTGTCCCTTACATACAGAGATTTTTCTCCAGATTCTCTGAATCTTTTAATGATATTATGTACCATAGATGATGAAAAGCAAAAGTTCTTTACTATTTTATGTTGAGAAATGTTATTCTTGAATTGTTGCATTATTTGATTGTGCAGTCTTTCACAGAGTGGTGAACCCCTGCTCATCTTTACTCCTGGAAGACTCAGCCTCTCTGAGATGCTCTTTTATACCCTATCAGGTTACAAGCCTGTTGCCAATCAACCAACAGGTGTTTTTTTAGCATTACACAACTTTACCAGCCTTTTCGTTGCCCCCGTCCTAACTTTTTTGGAACGTGTTGTTGGCATCAAATTCAAAATGGGCATATATTTTTCAAAAAACAAGTTTCTCAGTTTCAACATTTGGTATGTTGTCTTTCTACTATTTTTAATTAAATATAGGGTTTAAATCATTTGCACATCATTGCATTGTGTTTTTATTACATTTTGCACAGCGTCCCAACTTTTTTGGAAATGGGGTTGTATGTATAGGCCTAAAGCAAAAGCAAAAAGGCTTCCAAAAAACAGCAAAAAGGCTTATGAAATGAGTTTTACTCATGGTGTTAATTCAGATATTCTTAAATATGGAACATTTCATGCTCTGACACAGAACGAGTGCACCCTGCAATCAACTAATCCGTTGTCTGAATTTATTGATATCAAACTAATCTATCTAAAATTAAGTATTACTCCCTGTGTTATATTTATTTGGAGTAAATAGTCCAGGGTCTGAACTTGTCAGTACCACAGCTTTTACATTTTTCATGGTTGCATGAATTAACCACAATTCTTCATGGAAATCTATGACATGCCCTGCCATGGTCTTGATAAATTGGCATCAAATCAGCGAACTTAAACCAGCCCAAACTCAATATATTCAGTCTTATATGTTCAATACAGTCCAAAATGGAGTGCAAAAATTAAGCTGCCTTTAAAACTGTACATGCAGCCCTGCAAGAAATGAAATGGAAAAAAAAAGAAAAAAAAAGATTATGGATACTTACTCAATCTTCCGCAGGCTGGGACAGGTCTTCATAAGCTGAACAATACTGAAAGCACCATCAACCGTCAAGAATCTTAATGCCAAATGCAGGTCACTAAGACCAGGAAGAGAATTCACAACTGACAGCAGGGCATCCATGGACTGATCATATTCTAGACAACTGCAATATGAAAAAATTAGTCACGCACACACGTGTGTGTGTATATATATATATACAGACACACACACACACACACATACACATACACACACATTATGTTACTCACTGCTCAGTCAGGCCTTCCAATTTATGGTAAAATCTGAAGAATTGTCTCCAGTCTATGTTGTAGATCTCTGTGCTGTTTCTCATGAGGAAGATGATACAGGGGACCACTTCGTGATTAGGTAATGTGTACTGTACATTAAATGTCCTACAAAATAAGACAATATGCATTAATTTATTTATTTACACTCTTTTTTTTATATTGAAGCTATTCTGTAATATCCCACTTCAGGACTGGTTCTCCTCTCCCTTGAACTAACCCTTCCCGAGCCTGGAAGGAACGATACAATCTGTCAGAATATATAATTCTATTATGCTGTCTATTTTATAAGCAGCATATTTCAGATGTTTTGTATTGCTGGTTTTTGCATATGTTGAACACTCTTCTGAACAAAAGTTAGATATCCTAACCATTAGATATAATATAGAAACATCATTAGAGAAGCAAAGTTTGTAAAAGAAGTACTTTCCCAAAATTTTAAATAAGACATCCACAATCATTTTCAGATTACAGGGTATTCCCAGAAAAATTGATATTTACAGACATTTATTTGGGACACCAGGGAGCATACCATTATAGTAAGCAAACTGGGATCTTTCCAAGGCATGGATGCGAATTTCCATGCTGTGCTGTGGCAATGTTGCAAATGTGAAAAAAGATCAATCTGAGATTTATTAATAATATGAGGGTCAAAAGTGAGCATGTTGTCCAGGATGACACTGAAGCTCTTGAACTAGTAGGGGAGAGATACTGAGTAGCCATCAATACATAAATCAAAACTAAGTACTACAAAGTAATTTCAGTATTCGAATCATAGCCCCTTGAACAGTTGAGATAGTACCTGTGCACTTCCCTATTTCTTATGTAATAACATAATAATAACAATAATTTTTATTTATATAGCACTTTTCATGCCGGTCGCAGCTTGAAGTGCTTTACAGACAGGTGATAAAACACAATTATACAAGAAATCATTAGTATTTATTTAGAATCAGAAGAAAATGAAAAAGATCAAATTAGAAGATAAACACCACAAGCTAAAAGTGAGCACTTTAAACTTCTTAAAAGTGAGCACTGAGCTTGACTGTCAAATAAAAGGTGGAATTGTTTAGAAGCATAATAACTGAAAGAGGCCTCTCCATGTTTTCTGTATTTTACAGAGGGTATTTGTAGAAGGTCAGTATCTGCAGATTTTAGATTACGTGCCGGAACATGAACAGACAGACACTCTGTGATGTAAGCAGGTGCTAGGTTATTTTGAGCTTTAAAGACCAGTAGCAGAACCTTGAAATCTATCCTGAATGATACAGGCAGCCAGTGCAGTCCTTTAAAAACAGGAGTGAAGTCCAGTCTTAGGAAGTCCAGCAAGAAGAACATTACAGTAGTCAAGTCTGCTTGTAACAAATGCATGAACTAGTTTCTCTTTTGTGACATCCACTGAGAAATATCTGACACACAGCTGGTTAGTCTGTCTACAGAGTCTTGATCTTCAGAAGGAATAGAAATGTATAGCTAGGTGTCGTCAGCATAGCTGTGAAAATGTATACTATGCTTCCTAATGACATCACCTAGAGGCAGCATGTACAAAGAGAAAAGGAAAGGCCCTAAGACTGAACCTTGAGGGACTCAAGGTTGGCAAATCTTTTTGATGAATGATCTACAAGTGAAACCATGAACAGCCTATTACTTAAATATTAAGTAATAATAAAGCTGCCCACCGCCCCGGGCAAGTGTGCTCACTGCCCCTAGTGTGTGTGTTCACTAGTGTGCATGTATGTGGGTGTTTCAATGCACGGATGGGTTAAATGCGGAGGTCTAATTCCACAGTGTGCAAACACAGTTGGTTGATGGTTCTGAATGAATAAATATGATTTAAACCCAGCATTCAAGACGCTGGATTAAAATCTTGTGGTCAACAGCAAAAGCTGCACTAAGAAAAGCTGCAGCGAGAATGTCAAGTGTTTCCCGTAATGTAGCACTTAGATCGAAAGACTAGATCATTACAGGATGGAGTCAAATCTGTATTCGCTGAACTACTATAAACGGTTTTAAACTTCTCTGCCTAAAATCTGTATAGTGCGGTTAGGATCAAAGTGGTTAGTGTGCCTAAACTGCTATCCTTACTGTTTACAACTCTAAGGACCAGATACATATGAGCACAGATGCAGCACAAAATGTGCGCTCTTGTGACTACAATATTTACACTCACCATGCACCTGCAGAGTTTTTATTTCATTTTTACTTAACATTTTGCAATGACCCGAACAGCCATTGTTCATTCAAAATATGCCAAAACAGCAAAACAGGCATTGAAAACTTAAACTATTCAAAAATAATTCTAAATAAAAAAATGAAAGGTATTTAAAAAAATAAAAAACTGTCTATTTGCTTGAACTAGACACCAGGCATCTTTTCTTTTTGTGTATCCGTTGATCCATAGATTGTTTTTGGGGTAGGGAGTCAGAACGCACACTATATTACAGTGCGTCCTAGGGACTGTAGTGCATCTCTGGGTGAAACGGGCTAACAGGAATAGAAAATTAAAATAATTTCCCGGGCTGAATAGGACTGTGTGACAGGCCTGACTTGGCCCGCAAGCCTTGTGTTTCACACATGGAGCATGACACAGCAAAATATCTGATCTGTCAATAAGCTCAGGAAAATTTAAGTTCTTCTACCTTTACATACTGACTTCCTCTGCCTTCTGACCAATATTGCCAGTGTGATTTAAATGCAATTATTTCTGACAAATTGAGCTTCAAGCCTTTTTTACTCAAAAAGAACAGCATATGCATTTGTTGGGCTTAAGGCATTCTAGCTAAACGAAGTGTGCTAGACTACCAGCTCACAAGTTCTGTATGTTGGCTATAATTCAAATGGCAGCTTTTGCAATTCAAAAATTCCACTCTTTCAAACTGTGATTGATATAAAAACAATTGGTCAGCACTACTACTGTCATATTAATACATTATGAGCTACCAAACCTCCCATTTAACAGCATTACATTTAGAAATGTGGTTTAATACTAGGTGGCACATCAGAGAGAGCAGCTCAGCAGTTTTTTATACATACGCTGATGTACGCCAGTCCAAATGACTGCACCCTAGAAAGAACAGAACTTTTCTCACTGCGTATATTTCACTGAAAGAAAGAAAACATTTTTCAAATTCACTATTAATGCATTAAAACATGGAATATAGCAAAAAAGAGAATAAGTTTTATTATGAGGTTTTTGAATGTACTGTTAAAATAATAAAAACATTACAACATTCAGCCATAAAAAGCAGAGCTAAACAAATAAAAATATGTGAAGATAGTGGGAGGGAAAAAGGGGAGACAGTAAGTAATTTAAAGGCATGTTTTATAAGGTTAGCATAATGATAAAAAGTACATTTTATAATGGCTATCACACTAGAAGCAAGCCACTTTTTTACTGCCTGACCTTAAAACGTTTCCTCTGGCTATTCCCAGATTTTTACTTCCATTGTCCACTTCCACCCTGCCAAACAGTAAACACCAATTTTACATTTTCAGAGGAACACAAATTAAGTTGACATATCTCAACAAACAAAGGGTAACCATACTGCAAATATTGTAGACTTGGACAGGCCTGAAGGACGGAAAGTATCCTGACAGCCCAGTTCTCCTGTAGACTGCTCAAGCACAGCATAACCTCCTTTAAACCAGGCACAGAGCAGAGAAAGGACAACAGTGGATACCTACAAGATGAAATTCTGCGAATTATGGCAGAGTTCAGATCATGAATGAAAAACGCTAACACTGTGTTATAAATAGGAAGGCCAGGAAAACAAACTCAGCTCCACCAGTGTTTTTGAACACTTCTTGCCACAAAACATGACTGCAGTGTTTGACCACATAAATATTACGATCTAGAGATAGCTGTTACCCATTTATACAATACACATAATACTTATATATTAAAGGAGGATTCCGCCGATTTTTCTCGATTGCTGCATAATTAAATGGTTACATACGTTAACAACCACAGACTGGTTTGATGTCAAATGGTCTGAATTGTTCATGGTAGTACTGACAGGAACCTGATATACAAAGTGTTTATGCTTTTAAAGCTACATCACAGAAAGATGTTAAATAAAATCGCTACAAATACTATTGTTTTAAAACAGATTCAAAATAAGGTTTTGGTGTAAAACTTATTCGTTAACATCCATTTATGGCATTGCAGGGCAGGTATTACTGTTATGAACATTATATATAAAAAGTTAGCTCTGTCATTCCCTCTCACCACTGACCTGTTAAGTGAGTTATTATCATTTGGTAGTTATTACCACTACTTTTGTATATGTATTACTATCAGTGCCCACTGGTGGTCAGTAATAGCTCACAATAACAGCTTTGGACACGGCAAAAGTGCAGATAATGTGTAAAGTGCCTGTGCATACAAAGAGAGTGATGTATAATATCTCAAACGTAAAGTAACTAGGTGCAGTAGGTAGTAAGAAAAGGTTTGAAAATGTAAAAACTATTGGGCAGATCTGTTCAGCATGCTTGCTGAATGTTTGTGAGAACAGTTACTAAAAAATACAAAAATATTACAATATGTAATATAATATAAAAATATTACAGATGTGCTACCACTTCTTCATAGTTTAATGATCACTCAGTGTGAGATTTCTAACTAAAAAGAACAATATAAAGAAATAGAAAAGCAGACAGAAAACACTGGATTTCCTAACTGACTTTCACAATGCTCCAGGAACTCTTTATTCAATTTTGAGAAGTAATATATTTTTCAATTTCTTGTTGTTGGGAGAATCTCTGTGTTAAGTCTTTAAAAAGTATGCAGTCTTGCTGCCTGTCAAAGCAAAATGTCTGGGCCACAAGGATGAGGAAAATATACAAAGACATCACCAAAGCGTCATGTGATATTCTAATTTTTTTTCCCTGTAGCCAGAAAGTAGAAAGGTCTTTTTGATGGCCACCAGGACAACATACTTGTTGAATGCCTACACCAGACATTCTCTGAAGCACTGAAAATCTGGGAAGATCACCATTTAAAATTACCCTGATATCAAGAGACCTTTTGTGATTGTCAGGAGGAACACCATCTTTCCCACTGGCTTCTGGCACGAGCTTTATGCAAAACATTTTACTTTCTGTCTTTCTCCTAGTCTGCCTTTCCTTGTGTTACCCCATTGTCTTTCTTTTACTACTTACACTCCAATTAGCTTCGTTGTTGTTAGCTGTAAGAGTTACCATGTACACTCAAAAAAAATGATTTATGGTCATCATAAACATCAAGCAAATATTTTACAAGAAACATAAAAAAAATACACTTTATTTATTTAAATTCATAAGACATAACCAAATTTGGACAAATCTGAAATTAATTTGATGGAATTGGATAAAATCTAATAGATTTTCCTACTAAATCCCATTGCAACATCTACCAGGAAATTGCTTAAACTCACATAGTGGACATGAAATGGCTTTTTACATACTTACAATTTCCTGCCATTGCATGTTATATAGTGTATCAACAATGATGTAGTGATGCATATTTTTTTAATGTTTTGGCCATATATTAATGCTCCACTTTGATTATTTTTGAGAGATACTGTAAACTACACCAGCACACTAGCTAGACAGCATCCTTGCTAGGTTTGCAGCCATGATAAAAAGTAAGCTATCCTTACAATAGCTAGATTAAATAAACAATAGAAGTGAGATATTGTAAAGCAGAGTACATATTTTAAGACGTAGTCTAAGATTTTTCAGTTAACAGTTCATGATTTGTGAAATAAACTGTAGGTGAACTTGACAAATTAGCATGACATGCGAGTGATGTTAAACTAGTAGCATTAGCTAGCCAACTTGCATGATGGTTAGCAGGAGAGTTGCACCCCTGAAGGAATGTTGTGCGCACACAAACATCCGCTTTGCTTAAATTAGTAAATTCAGTTGCCAGTGAATAGTAAGGTGATCAGATATCTGAAGTTCGATAATTTGGCCAATTTATTATTAAAATATTGAATGTTTTTATCTATGAAATAAAAGGGAGGACAGTTCCAGTTTCATGTATTTTGACCATGGTTTAGTGTGGCTGGTCAGCATAAAGTGTACTAAGCTGTATTTATCTACTTTTGTCTTCTGATGTGCCTCAGCAAATACTGTTTATTATAGTTTGGAGTACAAGAATTGTTTACATGAATGTAATGCATACTGTCCTTCAAAGCTTTTGAACAATCTAAGTACTTTTGCTGTGAATACAGCAGGTAGTATTAATTCTTTTGAAATACATAAGGTTTATGCAAGTCTCACAAGTATCTCAAATTTAAGTTTTAACTTTTGGGCTTAAACAGCTGGGTAGTACAGTGACAAGTTACATAGATGTACCTTAAACCTATAACTTATTTTGCTTCTTTGACTGGTTGAACATGGTTTAGCTTTCATGATAAGATGAATGAGAATCAGAATCTGTAATAAAGATCATTCAGCACATCACACTTGCCTTTCTAGTGATTTCCACATCTGGCTGAGCCTTCTGAGAAAAACCTCCCAGTCCACATGGTCCCCTTTCATAACTGGAAATCTAAGTGAGATTTCCTGAAGTACTGCTGTGGACTCCATGCTCTGGGTTGTGTGAGGACTGAAACCGATCCATTCAAAATAAAGTATTTTAAAATCTTCAATTGAAGTAAATTTATCATAATTTCTCAAGAGGCTTGTATTTGTGTACGTATTAATTTCTACGTCGGTTACTAATATGTCCAGTTAAATCTGCAAAATGACAAAATTACAGTATGGGCTTTTCTTTCCCGGCTGTGCCCTGTCATTTCAAATGTTCTGCTTAACTATATGTTTGATAATAAAGGATCATATTCTTTCCATACCTGCAAACATGTGGTTTTAAATCCAGACGGAGAAGTCTCTTCATGTAACTGAAAGGCAAAAAAGTCAAAGTTATTTTGAGCAACTATATTTTAATAAACATAATCAAGATCACTAGAAACCATATCTACAAGGTGACAATAATAGAAAAATAGTGGTATATCTGAAAAAAATAAGTTTTCTTTGGGTACAATTTTGCCTTAGAACACTCTACATGTACCAAATTCTGCATACAACTATATGCAATAAGGTCATGTTTAATAAAGCACACTAAGGAAAGAAAAAATATTATTAAAAGCTCTATATATTATTGCCTCATTTGAATGGCAGGTCACAGTAATTCCATCAAAAAGCTAGTGCCCTAAAAGCTCCTATCTTAAAATCCTGGACTGATAATTAATAGTATATTGTTCTCTGATCATGTGCCACCATTTCAGACACTTTGATGCCCAATCCAGACAGTTTGAAATGGTGGAATATATAAGCAGGTTTTTGAGAAGACACTTGAATCAATGGTTATTCGTCTCCCAGAAGAAGCTCTATGCAATGCTGTTTGCATTTAGGATCAACCAGCATTGAATATAATATTACAATACTCAAGTCATCAGAGCAACATTTAAATTTAAATACTCAAATTCTACACAAAATCATGTACAGAAATACATTTTATATGTGCGTTGTGAAGAGACACCAATGTTTCCTATGTTGAGGGTAGGAAATAGTAAAAGATTGCAAAAGGGGGATGAATAGCAAAAGAGAGCTGTTACCCTTTCCAAAGCTCTGCTAATGTGTGACAGAACATATGCTAAACCGTTCACTTGTTTACTCATGTAGCAGCCTCACACAGCCAGACATCTTTCACCAGTTCTCCTCTCGCATAGACACAATGAAATAACAACAAGCTTAAAAAGTCTTCTCACTGTGGTGTGCGTGTGCTCAACGACAAAGAGCAGACGTCCTCTTCACCCACGCCCTTGAGACTGTCCACAGTAAACCTGCCAATGAGAGAAAACAGGAGAATGTCCACTTCGAAAATCACTTAGGAAAGCAACAAAATGTAATTTTACCAGGGGCCAAAACCTTTGCATATGATTCTATATGCATATTTGGCTATAAGAGTGAAACTGACTTACGTAACGGTTGCCTAATTACATACAGGTATGTATTGTACAGACCTACGGATATTTTCCAAGGGGGGCTGCTGAACGATTTTGCATTGTGCCGAGATATTTTGAATTTAAATCCCTTCAGGCATCACTGTTGCTTCAAAGCTGATTAACAATACACATGATACACATGATTCACATAACAATACACATGATTTTCTTGTATGTATCTAATGAAGACTTGGGTTCAAGGTTCGAGAGTAACTAACCAGTGCCGGTCAGGTCACACGTACAAATAAACAATTACAATGAATTAAGTCTTTCTAAAGAGTTGCAAAACTGATCACTTGAACAGCATGAAAATTCTAGTTTAGTTTACAGAGAAGGCGGAGCCTATTAGTCCGATGGACCCAGCTGCTGAGCCCAGCAAAACACGAAAAACAAGCATTCTGTTATTTAATTCCTGCTTTGTGTTTATTTGGAATAAATGCTGTTTGGTGAAGTTACTTCACAGTGAGTCTGATGACCATGACTGTGTTATTTCAGCAGAGAATTATGTATTTGTGAACAGACTCTGTCAGATATTGGATGTCAGTTTGCCTTGACAGAACTGCATGGGTGGAAATGGGCCAAAACGTTTCGGTTGCGGGTGGGAGCGGGACAAATTATTCCGATTTTCTGTGGGAGCGGCCGAGAACTGGATATAATCTTTTTTTTTCAGTCCCGTACAGACCTCTACTACAAAGAGCTAAGAAAGTAAACGTAAGTAAGTAGACTACACTATGTTATTGTCATATCTGTTACATTAGACTGAGTTTCTTCATTCAGTAAAGCCTAAATCCTTGTTTATATAAAACACAGTGCTGTGTTTGATGTTTTCATGCATTGTGTCCATGATTTTAGGTCTGTCAGTTACCGATTTTATAACAGGCTAATAATGGTCGGTTATCGGTCAAAAGAATTTACAAGATTCCCATCCCTATCCTTGGGTCTAGATAACAAGTCTACCTGGCAACAGAATAACTTATGAAACTCTTTTTGTGTACTTGTGACTTTTTTGTCTAGTTTTGAAACGTGTATTTACCAAAGGTTAAAATCCTCTAGTGTAGGCCTGCTGTAGAAGAAAGAAAGGATCTTTGCGGCGCACTTCTGACTCAAGTTCTTCGCATCAAGATTCACATATGGTAAGTCAGGCATGGAGTGAAGGAAAGACACAAGCGTGTCTACGTTCTCATGGAACTCAGGATTTTCACTAGAAAACATGAAACAATTACAAACATTACTGTATACTTTGAAAACACAAGTCATGAATATGACAATATGTTTACATTTAATTATGCATTGTATCAAGCATTAAGGGCATCTGGGATATTTTGGTTTGCTTCAATAGTCAGGAAAAGAATTATAGCTAGCATTCATGTCTATTCTTTACATATGGTTTAATTTGGTTAAATGGTTTCAATTTGGTTTAGAATTTATTTTATACTTTTAATTCTACCTATGTAACCCTGGAAAAAAGAGAAGAAAAAGGCATTTGCTTTGAATACTTGGTTCAAAGAAGATTATCTGTGAAAACATCATGAGAGAAAAAGTTCAGCGTTTTAAAAGAGAAAGAAAAAACATAAGGTTGAAAAGAAATATGTAGTTTTAAAAAGAAAAAAAAAGAATGTTTAAAGTTTGGTTAGGACGTACAGGGCAAACATGTGCTCAGTGCAATCAATCTAAGTAGATCTGTCATTCTTTTATTTTCTTCTTAATTGGACAGATTTATGTGTTTTTAGCCAGAGTCCTTGTGTTTGGTTCTCATGTAGAGGGGTGGAGGAGTATGCACGGGAGAAAGAAAGAGAGAGAGAGAGAGAGAGAGAGAGAGAGAGAAAGACAGCTCACGGATGGTAGGAGTACGACAGAAAAATAAATAGCTTACTTCAAGGTTTTTGGAGTAAAACAGGCTTACTAACCACAGTAAGTGTCGGCTAGACAACTTTTTATGCTGTGTAGTAACGTTCCCGCAGTGTATTTTTCAGTTAATACCCTAGCATATTTGCTGAGCCCAGGGGCCAGTTCTTATTACCAGCTTGTAACTTTCAATATTCAGGACAGGGGTGCTACATTAAATTTATGGTGTAATTATGTGAAGAGAATTTAACTTCACTTAACTTCAATTAGATGAGGTAGATGAAATAATCTTACCCTTTTTTCAGATTACTTGATAACTGAAGGAACTTTCTCCAGTCAAAAGCAGACATCTCTGAGAGGTCAGAGCAATAATGACTACAGCAGATAGACTTGAAAGTCTGTCCAGATTCCCCAGAGTAAACGTGCACATCATTTGAATCCAGCCTTTCATGCTTAACAGATATGCTGAAATCACAAAGCAAAATAAAATGTAAAATACATTTAAAGGTGTTATATTGCCATAACACCTTTTCCTGTGTTACAGCAATATAAACTTTTTTTTAAGTTTTTAAGTTCAAAGAATTGACATCGTATTTCAAAAAATGTAACATATCAGTTGCAAATATACATATATACATATGCATATATACATATGTATATGCATATATGTATATGCATATATATGTGTGTGTGTGTGTGTATATATATATATATATTTGTTTTAATGTTAACAGTTCCTTCTGCCAAATTATAGTTTCTTAACAATCAGCTTGTTGCTACGTCAGAGTAACGAACTCCGCTCACTCGCTGCACAGCCGGCAGTTCGCTCTCCAGCTCCTTATACAGACCAACTGACAGTTTCAGAAGTTAGTGTAGTCTCATCTGCAGAGTCTGACCAAATCGGCTGTCGGTCAAATGTGATCTTAAAAGTGTCATTTTCTGTTTGTGCACAAAGTAAGAAGTAAAAACGTTCAAATGGCTACAGCTGTCAAAGTCGTTGATTAGCAATGGCGTCTCAGCGGAGTGATACAGTGTTTGTGAAAAACGTGTGCTGTTATTTCGCCATTTCGCTTCTCAACCAATCTGCTTGGGTGGCCAGAACTAACTGCTAACTGTTTTGTGTGTGTATGTATATATATATATATATATATATATATATATATATATATACACACACACACACACACTATATTTCCAAAAGTATTCGCTCGTCTGCCTTCACACGCACATAAAAATTGAGTGAGATCCCATTCTCATACTTGAATGAACATTGATATATATTGAATGAACTGTGATATATATACAATTAATATTGATAAATATGGATTGAACATTGAGATAAAAAAATGAATAATATAATTCATAAAGTGTTTTGTTCAGACAGAGAGGGACTTTTGCAGTTGTGTGTGTTGTAGCCTTGCCCCAACAGACTGTTTAAATTGTTATTTAATGTTGTTATGTTGTTGTTCTTCAGTTACAGTGTGTTTGTGTTTCCTGTTAGTGAGAGTGTGTTTGTGTTTGGTGACCATCAGAAGAAAGAGTAGGGCTAGGAGTGACCTACCTCAATTATTAGTTGCTTTTCAAGTGGCATTGTTTTCCCTTGTTCTCAATAAAAGAGCATTTTTCAAACTTTGATCATGGCCTCATCTGACTCTTCTTCACCTTTCAACCCTTCAACAGCGACTTTCATTCAATATATATCAAAGTTCATTGTATATATATCAAAGTTCATTAAATATTTCCTGTTTGGCTTGCCCTGCATACTGTATATACATCTATACACACACACACACACACACACACACACACACACACACACACATATATATTTTATCTTACATTAAATTAAAAGTTTAACGTTCATGAGTAATTTCACCTGAGAGACCAGCCATAACGTAACAGTTGAAGTTCTGAGCAGAGGTTCTCTTCACTGTTCCTGCACGTTGTAGACATGGTTAATCTGAGTAAATTAGAATGACATGTGTAACATTATATTCTGCATATTTGACACTAGAAGTTGTAAAAATACAGGAAAGGAACCATCAACAATCAATCATATGATCATACTTTCTCTGTTTAATTAAGATTCTGTCATCTACAGGAGTCCAAGTGGGCTTCTGCAGCCTCTATGAATGTTTTTGGGGGGGTGGGATCTAAATGTAAAACTTTTGACTGTGCATTTTTAACATTCACCTGAGATTTTCTGAAACCACATTGCTCTTCAAAATGTTCATTAAGGTTTCAGCATTGGTGTAATTAATGGTCTTCACTGATAGATGAACATCACCCACTGATCTGTGCTTGTGCAGCGTGCTTATGATCATCTTCACACTTTGGTTAGAGAGAACACCATCTTCCACACTGTGATAATGTCAAAACAAGAAAAAAATTAGGTATGCACTAAAATTTCAGTCACCAAGCATTCATAAAATAAAAAGCACTGTTGGTTTTTTGGTTAAAAAAGAAAAACAAAAATGAAAAAAATATTAAGCTTACAACAAAATGTCAAAATTTAAGAAATTGCAAATAATTTAATGGTAATAAAAATGAGAAATAGTACTTAAAAGTGCTGTTTGTTCCCTTAGCTTTCCACAAAGCTCAAGTTTCAAGATTCTTGCTCACAATTAGAGCTAATGCTGCATTTGACTGAAGCCTATAACTCTGAATTTCCCACCTCACACTTGGAATAATAATTAAAAAAAAATTCCCTGAGTTGGAAAGTTGGAATGGTGTTCCCAACTCAGCTCAATGCATGACATCAAATCAACACGGCTCCTCACACAGTCAACATTAATAAAACCACTTCTCTACCTTTAAATGAGATTTGCTTTAGATCCGTCAACATACAGACACAGTAGTTGGTTGAACTATAACAATGACCATAAAGTTCACTGTGTTGAGGTGAATACATCACGAACATTAAAGTTGTCATTCATAACACTGGCAATAGCTGGCTAACTTGTTGCAAACAATATTTGCTTTCACGGAGGCATCCATTGTTTCCCGCACATTGTAGATTGAATGCTTGGAGGTCAAAAATGCCATAATTCCAAACTCCAACTTTCCACTTCTGAGCCAAGTCAAACACAGCCTAATTTCAGCTTCATTTACTTTCCTGGGGCAGTCTTCAGACACACTCAAACAGTCTGAGCTGCAGGAGCTACATACTGAAAATGTCAACAGTGTAGGACTATTTCACAGTTTCTAACAGGCACATTAGACAAACATCACCACATTACACAAATCACAAACCACAGACAAAGGGCAAAAAAAAAACCCTTCACAAACCAAAACAAGTCAAATATATATATATTCTAGATTATACAAGATGTGGTAGAAGATGTCAATGTATATGTGCAGGCCTAGATTTGCTAAATGAAAATTACAGCAAGATCAGAGCGAGTCTGTTTAAGGTGTGGATGTGGTGTGGATTGTCCATGGAAATCATGACGATGATGATTCAGAGGTGTAGTGACAGACTCATAGACTGATACACCAGCCGTACTGGCAGCAGCCTGATGGCCTGAGGGGAAGAAACTGTCTTGGAACCGACTGGTTCTGGACTTTATGCTTCTGTACCTCCTCCCGCTCCTCCCGCTGGTGTATGAATCCAGGAGGTTGGGAGCTGGACCCTGGTGATGTGCTGGGCTGTCCGCACCACCCTCTGCAGAGCTTTCCGCTTGATGGCAGAGCAGTTCTCATACCAGGAGGTGATGGAGCCTGTTAGAATGCTCTCCACAGTACATCTGTAGAATGTTCTGAGGGTGAGGGGGTTCATGCCAAACCTCTTCAGCCACCTGAGGTGGAAGAGGCGCTGTTGTGCCTGTGTGGTGTGTTCGGTCCATGTCAGTTCCTCTGTGATGTGAACACCGAGGAACTTGAAGCTGCTGACCCTCTCTCCAGCCGCTCGATGGTGATGGGGTGTGCACTCTCTTGCTTTCTGAAGTCCACTACGAGCTCCTTGGTCTTAATGACACAGAGAGAGGTTGTTCTCCTGGCACCGGTGTGTCAGAGAGCTGACCTCTTCTCTGTAGGCCTCCTCGTTGTCACTGGAGATCAGGCCCACAATCGTGGTGTCATCTGCAAATTTGATGATGACATTGGAGCTGAGTCTGGCTGAGCAGTCGTGGGTGTACAGGGAATACAAGAGAAAGCTGAGCACACAGCCCTGAGGAGCTCCAGTGTTGAGGGTCAGTGAGAAGGAGGTGATGTTGCCCATTCTTACAACCTGGCATCGGCTCCTCAGGAAGTTCAGGATTCAGCTTCACAGAGAATTGTTCAGACCCAGATCCTGATGGTGTTGAATGCTCAGCTGTAGTCCACAAACAGCATTCTCACATATGTGTTCTTTTTGTCCAGATGGGAGAGGGCAGTGTGCAGAGTCAGGGCTTTCAGTTCATCAATGGATCTGTTCTGTTTGTAGGCAAACTGCAGTGGGTCCAAAGTGGCAAGCAGTGAGAAGCTGATAAAGTCTCTAAAGAGCTTCTCAAATAACTTGCTTATGATGGAGGTCAAAGCAACACGGCACCATGGTGGCCAGTTTGAAGCATGCAGGAACAACTGAGAGTGAGAGGTTAAATATGTCTGTAAACACTCCTGCTAGCTGATGTGCACATGCTTTGAGGACGCATCTCGGAATGCCATCAGGTCCAGCTGCTTTGTGGATGTTAACGCATGTGAGACGGAGGGGGGTCTGACTCAGCTGTAGCTGTAGCGGTAGCGGGGGCTCTTTCTGAGAGCGCCACGTGATTTACCTCAAAAACGAGTGTAGACAGTATTCAGCTCGTGTGGAAGAGCAGAGCTGTTGTTATTTACAAAACAACTTTCCCTCTTAAAGTCCGTTAAAGTCCACTTATAAACCACAGCCAAAGGACAAAACCCACCATCATAAACCACAGCCAAAGGGCACAAAACCATCACAAACCACAACCAAAGGACAAAAACCCATCACAAACCACAGCCAAAGGGCACAAAACCATCACAAACCACAACCAAAGGACAAAAACCCATCACAAACCACAGCCAAAGGGCACAAAACCATCACAAACCACAACCAAAGGGCACAAAACCATCACAAACCACAGCCAAAGGGCACAAAACCATCACAAACCACAACCAAAGGGCACAAACCCATCACAAACCACAACCAAAGGGCACAAACCCATCACAAACCACAGCCAAAGGGCACAAAACCATCACAAACCACAACCAAAGGACAAAAACCCATCACAAACCACAGCCATGATCACAGGACATGATCATGTTTATCACCGTGTTACATCACCTTTCCTTTTAACAGCAATCATTTGGGGAATAAAGGCAAAAACTGATCCAGTTTTGAAAGTGTTATTTACCATTCTTTTGTTATACAAGTGTATAGCTGTACAACCGTATGGGCCTTCATTGTTGTGTTTGGACAAGTTTTCAGTGGAAAACAGTTCTGCACTGCAGGAAAGCCAGTGTAACACCTGCACTCTCAAATTATGTTTCTTGGAATTGTCATGTAGAAATAAGCATGGATGTCCCTGAAAAAGCCATTGTCTAGAAGACAATGAAGTAAGACACTACACATCTTGTATTTGTCCTGTTTTCAGTCAAAACAGGACAAAGCAGATCTGTAAGTCACTGTTTTCTGTTTTTGTCTGTATTTTAGACAACTTTTTGTAATTGGGCTTATAGTAAAATTTGGACATAAGGTAGCCTACATACTGTAATCATTTTAAAAAGTTTAAAAAAGGAAAATTTTAATTTATTACCTCAGACGCTGAAGGTCTTTTCTTTCTCCCACAGCTGAGATCAGATCAGCAACATCATTATCTGCGGCATGACTGACACTTAAGCTGAAAAAAGACATAATGATAATTCAGTACTAAAACAGCAAGTCAATGATAAAATTTTAAAGTGCAAGCACACATAACCCCCATACCGGGGTCAGCAACATGCGCCATCCTTATTCAAAGTTTCATGTTCCCCCTTAAATGGTACCGCAGTTAGCTACTTTCTAACATTGTGGCACCTCAGGCAACATTTTAAGGTGGAATGGGAAAATGACGAGAAATGCCCCGCTGACTACAGCCTCCTAAAAAGTCAAACAAATTTTACAAGAAACTATTCTACTTTTGTGGAAAAGTATCCTGTCAGAGATGTGAAAAAGGGGGCTATATCTTGGGTAAAGCTTGAAGCAGAGCAAAGTCTGTGTTTTCATTTATATTTTTTAGCCTATACCAGGATAATATACTGAGACATATTTACAGCAAAGATGGTAAAATCTTACTTCAATAAAACGGACATAAAACGTTGTGGCTCCCAAGGTGGTTCGTTTTTGTTGAAAGGACAAAATGGCTTTTCTTAACATTTGGGTTGCTGACCCCTGACCTTTACTAATATTGTGTATTTTCCTCTTGACCAGCATCGCTCTGTTCTTTTTTATTAAACACAAAATCACAAATGTTGGAAAGATACAGTTCATTAAACTTCTTGTTTTACTTGGGGAAAAAAACACCTTTGGAGTCTCCAAAAGAACGCTTGATATTGGGTTGATAATACATAGAAGGAAATTTAAGACAATGGTACAGATCATGCTTCCAAAAAAAGATCATTTTATAAATTGTGCAAGATATTGTGCAAATAATGATTTGTAAAATGAATAGTTCCGGTCCTAAAATCTGATTGGCTGAGCTGCGTTCAAAGCCATTGTAAAATACACAATATAAGCAGAGAACTTGAGTTCTTCATAATCCAGATCTGATATAAGCACATCTATGACCGCTTCACAAAAACTGAACTCTGTACTACTGCGCCATGTCATGAAAAATCCCTTGTGCTGTTAATGGAATAATCCTTTACTCTAATGCTGCCCGCAGTGACCACCGAGTGTAATGATGAAGTAAGAACCCCTTTCTGTTTAACCAGAACTAGGCTGGTCAGCTAAATAACAGGCTAAAAGACAGCAAACATGCTAAACAAGGCCAACATTAATATCGCAGGCTTCAATTAAAGTACTTACGATATGATTCACTGTAAACGGCAATATAAAAGTCTAACAAGTGTCACTTGAATGGCTTGCATGCTTCAGATGTCCTTGTTTCAGTTAGGAGTAGCATCAAACCCAGGTCTTAATCTCAAACGGCTCTGTACTCCCTAGCTAAAGTGTTCTATGTAAGTTTTGAAATTCTAGATTCTGCAGTGAAATGGTGCACTGTTTGTTGAGTATGGATGTGGCTGAATCCAGACTACATTTTAGCGATATTATGCACTGCTGTGGTGCACTATGTAGGGAGCATGGGAGCCATTTGAGATTCAGCCGCAGCATGGGTAGAGGAGCACCATTAGATTGGCAGACTAACTGTGGTAGTAATTTAGTGAACAAAAAGTACATATAAAGCAAAGGTTTTTTTGCATTGAACTGTGCTATGTTATCATGCATTCATTGTTATGCAAAAAGTTAAAAAGTCGTCCATGAAATGGCCGCAATTTACAGTCATTAGCAATTGAATGCTCTTCATATAAAGGTCCGTGGTTCTTGTTGTTCAGGAGGCTTCTTATTCAAATTCTCTGGTCGATCTTAAAACATCGTAAAAGAAATACTTTGTCGGTAGAGGGCCATCTTTAACTGATTCGTAAAATCAAGACGTGCAGTAGTGAGGGTGATTGTATGTTGAGCCTGATTGCTGGAGAAAGGACACTCAGTTTGCTCAGAGTTCAAAGGGTCAGAATGGAAAAAAAATGTAATTCATGCAACTGATGGCCTGTTAGATCTATTTTTATAAAATATCACATTTTTTAATGTCAGATTCAACAGAATATGATCATTTAGATGTAGGTCTAAAGGAAATACATGATATGCCAAAAGTCATGGGACAGGAACCAGTATCATGTAGGACCCCCTCTAACCCGGTGAGGTGCACCAACTCAACATGGCATCGATTCCACAAGTGTTATTTGTAGGTGCAGGGTCTCAGTTGCGAATGGACCTCTCCACCACATCCCATAATTACTTGATTGGGCTCATGTTGGGCAAACGTGTAGGCCACGCCATTCGTCAGAACTCTCCAGTATGCTCCTCGAACCAGTTCTGGAGAGCTTGGGCAAGACGGAACAGTGTATTATCCTACTAGAATATCCCACTACTGTGGGGGTACATGAAGTCCATTAATGCAAATGGTCACCAAGCAAAGAAAAGTAGCAGTCACCGGTCAATGACTTGTTTAGGTGGGCCAGTGGACCCAACCCAAGTCATTAGAACATACCCCACACCAGTATGGAACCACCACCAGCCTGCACAGTGCCTTGTTGACAAATGGGGTCCATGGCTTCATGGGGTCTGCGCCACACACGAACCCTACCATCTGCCTGAAACAATTAGTACCGTGACTCACCCAACCACGCCTCATGTTGCAAGTCCTCTAGTGTCCAGTTAGCAACCTCATGAGCCAAGGTGAGGCGCTGTGTCCGGTGTCGTGGCATTAAAAGAGGCACTCTGGTGGGTCTTCTGCTCCCATAGCCTATGGAAGCTAAAGAACGCTGCACTGACCTGCGGGATATGCATGTGGGGCATTGAATGTGGATATGATTTCTGCCAGAGTCACTTGTCTGTTCGCATGAACTACTCTAGCCACACGCCACCGGTCACATTAATCATCTCTGCCTTTTTTCTGTTGCCTCTGCTGTCTATCCAACTCTCCTAATGGTACTTAACATGGTATTCTTTCATTATGGCCACACAATCTCTGCAAAAGAGACAGGTATTGGAAGTAAAAAGGTATTCGAGCTCCAACTTGTCTTGAAATCCCCAGCATTCACTTTTAGCAAACTAGGTGTTTTACTTGTTTGACTGCTGCTGAAACACAGCTAGTGCATTTGATGATGTGACTGGTGTGGTAGGATTGAGATGAAAACACTGTCCCATAGATTGTTTTTGGTTGGAGCACACTTCCTGTTGCAGTGCATGCTGGGGATTGTAGTCCAGCACATTTTGAAATGGGCTTATAGTAAGAGAGAATGAAAATAATTTTGCGAGCCAGATAGGATTGTGCTATGGGCCTGACCTGGTCTGCAGGCCTTGTGTTTGACACATGGGATCTAGAGTTTGGTCTTGAGGACATGCTCAAATGTTGGCTGATGTGGTCACAGTATAAGAATGCCACTGTAATCTAATTGTAAAGTTTAGTATTCACAGTCTTGTTCCATATTTATTGGGTGTGGATAAACAACGGTTCTTTTTTTATTATAAGCCATAAGAGTCTGTTATTTTGAGAATCTTAATTCAGTAAGAGATCAACAGACAGTGTTTGTCTAGACCACTTTTCTTGCAAACATGCTCAACACACAATCACACTTTCTAATTTTTTCACATCCTGATTTTACGGATCAATTAAATATTGCTCTCTACTGGCAAAATCTTGCTACTGCTGCATTTTAAGGTGAGCTGGAAAATCTGAATAAGAAGCCAACTTCAGTCACATTGTTCTCGTTCAGTACTGACGGCCAGTGGACACGCCCGTGCGGGTCAAGAGGATAACTTAACATACTACACCTACAGAGTATATAACCCGTAATAACTAAATTACTGCAGCAGCAGGGCAACGTTGCTGAGCACTGATTGTGTTAAGGTGCTAAGGAATATACTGATGATAATACTAACTGTAGTTTTTCGCATTTGCTCAATGCCTTTTCTAGCATTTTTAGATTCTCCACTGTACTTGTTTGCAGGTCCAAGCTTCTGATGCGTCGACAGAACTGCAGACAATGCGCTGCTGCATGGTAGTCTGTCATATTTGAGGAACGCAGCTGGATTTCAACTCCATTTGTTTCCCAAATCTCCATAGCATTTTGCACCATGTACTTGTCATCAACTTCATACAAGCAATGAAGAGCGAAACTGCATAAATGTGCATTCAGTCTGATTGTATTTTGTAAGACAAATTCATAGAGCCATTTGTCCATCTGGGCACATGTGGCATGAGACACTGTCTGTTGATGCTTCTTCATAAGTAAGTCACTCACTGCCTTGTTAGAGAGACCAAAAAGAAACTGGACAATAGGTAAGAGATGATAGTTGCCCTGCAATGAAGCAGAAAGCAGCTTTTCTAATTTTAGCTCTGCCTCTGTTTCATCAAGGAAAGTGTACAAGAGCGCAGCAAAGAACTCCTGAAAGCTGAGATGCATAAAAGAAAACATTTCCTTCACATTTATTCTGTCTTTGTAGTGAAAGGTGCAGAGGAAGGGAATTCTGGTAGAATCTAAGACATTTAAAATCGTCTCAGGCACTTTGTTTCTCTGGAACAGAACTCGGCCTTTAAGAATTCCTTTGTGTGCTAGTTGGCCAAGGTCCTTCAGCAGGCCACGCTGTTGAGACTCAGTTAAGCCTTGGCAATGATGCTCCAGCAGAATAAACACAAAATCAACGAATATGGAGGTGGTACTTCTGAATCCACTTTTACTCATCCTTTTACTCATTTTGCTCTTTTCCTTAAAGACACTGCAGACAAGCCAGCACATGACTGGACTGGAACAGGCTGAGTAAAGTGTTCCATTTGCCTTAACTTCTTCATACATTTGTCTGCAATGCTCATTGTTCTCAAAGAACTTCTGAAAGTACTGTTGTATCCCGTTCTCAGAGAAGCCCATGATCTCAGTGAAGCGCTGTGTATGCTTGAGTAGCTTTCCCAGTTTTTTTGCCGCTATTGACCTTGTGGTGACCAGCAGGAAGGACTCGTTCAACATGCATCCCCTCAGAAGGGAGCTTAGAACAGCACCAGGCCTGGCTTTGATGTCTGCTTTGACAGGCAATGGCTTTTTAGGCAGTGAAAGCCTGAGTTCATCGAACCCATCAACCAAGAAAAGTACTCTCTCTGGTGTTTTCTTTAAGATCTGAGCCATTTCCTCACTGCAGTTCAGAAGCTCCACCAGACTTATGTCTTCAACAATATCATTGAGCTCTGAGCATCTCAGGTGAAAGACTATATCAAAGATTCCTGCAAAGAGATTTCCAATCGCCCAATCGTAAAGGATCTTTTGTGCTGTTAAAGACTTTCCACTTCCAGAGTTGCCTTGGAGAATAACAGCTTTTGGACGCACGCTGTTTGGGCTGTCCTCTTGACTGAACAGCTTGTCAACAGTAATATGGTGGTCTGTATGGTGGGTTCTGGCATGGTGGAAATCTTCTCCTCTAGAGCGAATCTCTTTTTCTTTCTCTTTCTTCTTTCTGTGTCTCTGAATGATGAGTGGATCCACATAACGATCTGCAAGCAGCACATGTTCACCAGGACGAGAGGTATATTCCCTAATGCACGCATGCTCAGCCACCAGTGACTTCTTGTATTCTGCGATCACAGAGGTTATATCTGGCAATGACAAACCAAAACAAGGTCAGTTTCATCTTACAAAACATGTAGGGCAGTGATCAGTGTGTGACGCCTTCACAATACTGTTATAGTTGCAACAGATATTATTTGTATTCATGTGAACGTGGATCTTATTTTAATGGGGAAAGCCACTAATTTTTAAAATTTACTGCCCATTCAATCACTGAGCTGTAAACTAAGTGAGTATTACTGTTTTGATGTGAAATGTGATATCAACAACTACATTATAACTATTGTAAAACAACGCCTTAGATATATTATATTTCCAAAAGTATTTGCTCGTCTGCCTTCACACGCATATGAACTTGAATGACATCCCATTCTTAATCCATAGGGTTTAATATGATGTTGGCCCTCCCTTTGCAGCTATAACAGCTTCAACTCTTCTGGGAAGGCTTTCCACAAGGTTTAGGAGTGTGTTTATGGGAATTTTTGACCATTCTTCCACAAGTGCATTTGTGAGGCCGGACACTGATGTTGGACGAGAAGGCCTGGCTCGCAGTCTCCGCTCTAACTCATCCCAAAGGTGTTGTATCGGGTTAAGGTCAGGACTCTGCGCAGGCCAGTCAAGTTCTTCCACACCAAACTTGCTCATCCATGTCTTTATGGACCTGGCTTTGTGCACTGATGAGCAGTCATGTTGGAACAGGAAGGGGTCATCCCCAAACTGTTCCCACAAAGTTGGGAGCATGAAATTGTCCAAAATCTCTTGGTCTGCTGAAGCATTAAGAGTTCCTTTCACTGGAACTAAGGGGCCGAGCCCAACTCCTGAAAAACAACCCCACACCATGATCCCCCCTCCACCAAACTTTACACTTGGCACAATGCAGTCAGACAAGTACCGTTCTCCTGGCAACCATCAAACCCAGACTCGTCCATCGGATTGCCAGATGGAGAAGCATGACTCGTCACTCCAGAGAACAGGTCTCCACTGCATCCAGTGGCAAAAAAAGGCCATCGTCTAACATGTTTAAATGCATTCGACACTTTGCATTGCGCTTGGTGATGTAAGGCTTGGATGCAGCCTTACATCATCATTTTGTGAGAATGTTATGTGCCTTGCCACATGTAAATGAGACAGAATAAGTGCCAACACACTAGCACCTGGTCCTACTTGCATATTGATGTTTAATCCAGATGACTGTGACTCTCCTGCTCCTGTAGCAGGATTATAAAAAGTTGTTGAGATGACAAAAAAGGCCATCGTCTAACATGTTTTCGGAGCTTTACACCACTGCATTCGACACTTTGCATTGCGCTTGGTGATGTAAGGCTTGGATGCAGCTGGTCAGCCATGGAAACCCATTCCATGAAGCTCTCTATGCTGTTCTTGAGCTAATCTGAAGGCCACATGAATTTCGGAGGTCTGTAGCGATTGACTCTGAAGAAAGTTGGCGACCTCTGTGCACTATGCGCCTCAGCATCCGCTGACCCCGCTCTGTCATTTTACATGGCCGACCACTTCATGGCTGAAATGCTGTCGTTCCCAATCGCTTCCACTTTGTTATAATACCACTGACAGTTGACTGTGGAATATGTAGTAGCCAGGAAATTTCACAACCCTATCACGGTACCACGCTGGAATTCACCGAGCTCCTGAGAGCGACCCATTCTTTCACAAATGTTTGTAGAAGCAGTCTGCAGGCCTAGGTGCTTGGTTTTATACACTTGTGGCCATGAAAGTGATTGGAACACCTGAATTCAATGATTTAGATGGGTGAGTGAATACTTTTGGCAATATAGTGTATCAGGCAACACAATCATAACCATATTATGTAACAGCTTTCTGTGAGGGAGCTTTTAGAGGCATTAAAAACTTCAGATGTCTGGTCCCTATCACTCCCACTGTGAACAAATCTGATCAGTTTTTCTAGAATGAAATATTTCACCACAGACCACTCTGAATGACTTATATCCCAACAATTGAATCATGCAGAATTTTTAAAAATCGGTTTCCGTTTGATAGATGTTTCAGTTAACTGGAAATAAAATTGCTGTCACTGAAGTCACTGAAATGTCAAATTAACATACCTGTCTCATGTCCAGAATGGCTCGGACCTACAAAGAGGTTTATAACCACAATGATTCACAACATCCAACAATGTCAACTTAAAGCTTTTAGTTTAAATCTAAAATAGTTATCCTTACCAGCCTCATTTTGTGAGAATGTTATGTGCCTTGCCCCATGTAAATGAGACAGAATAGGTGCGAACACACTAGCACCCGGTCCTACTTGCATATTGATGTTTAATCCAGACGACTGTGACTCTCCTGCTCCTGTAGCAGGATTATACTCTGCAAAAAAAAGTTGTTGAGATGACAAAAAAAGGCCATCATCTAACATGTTTAAATGTTTTCAATTCAAGTTTAGGATCGTCATTACATTTGTAATTCTAGTTCATGTCAGGGCTAAATGATTCAGACAGATTCACTCTACTGTAATAGTCATAAGTTATGAATATCTCCCCTCCCACATAATGTCTCTCCAAATACTATAAAATACTGAGAAAGTTGCCTACATGAACTTGACATCCAATGATCAAATCTAAATCACATAAATACAATCATTCTCGCCAATCTAGTTACTTACTGTAATCACTGTCCTTCTCCATTGTTCATTCTCAGTGCTCTTCTTGCTACACAACTGCAATAACCTGCTAAACATGAAAATGCATCAGTTTTCAGGGCCAGGGAGATCTTAAAACCGTCTGAAGAATCTTTCTACTGAATTTTTTTTACTGAAGTTGTTGCAAAACAAAATGGGTACAACTTATGACAGGCAGACTAGGGGGCGTGAATCGTCTCTGCATTTTTCAATGCAAACTCCTCCTTCTTAGCAGATGAAGTCCCGCCTCATTTTCTTAAGGATATATGCACACCGGTTGAGTCAATGATGTTATAGTTCAGTGACCTCCAGCACTGCCCTGTTTTTCTACGAGCCACAGAACACTACTCAGAATTTTGCTGCTGCTGCTTTGAAATAAACCCAGAAGGAAACCACAAAAAGCCATAAGTGACACGTGGCCTGAAATGTATACAGAGAAATGCAGTCAGTCTACAGCCTTTAAGATAAACAGACACACACCAACCGTCTTATATTTCAGTTAATGTTTGAATTGAATTTATTTCACACTCATTTTGCAGTTTTACAGAAAGCAAAACTGAATTACATGAGTATTTACAATACTCACTTACACATTTATAAAAGAAAGAAAATAATGAAATTAAATAAATAAATAAATAAATACGACACTGTATGCCTCATAAAGATGCAAGCCATTCTATAAATCTTCGTTTACTATTCTTGTAAAAAAAGGAATGGGTGACTTTCGAAATCTATCAGTTCTCATTTTTGGAATCTGTAGTTTGTTACTGTCTCTGGTTTTCCAGCCTGATATCTGGGCCCTTGAAGGTGGTAGCCACTCTCTGAAAGAGGAGCTTAGGAGACTAAAGGCAAACCGTCTACACAATATGTCTCTAATGTTAAAAGCCCAGTCATATCATAACTTATTTCACCTCGTATGTTAAGCATAAAAACAGCGAGTTTGCTGATACCAAACATGAAACTGCTAAATGAACTTGAAAACTTTATTCCATCATATCTATATGAGTAGAGTGTAAAATGAGCTTGTGCTGCCTGCTTTTTTTTCTGCATAGCCCAGAACGTTTTGTCCAACAGCCTTCAGATCAGTGCAAAGCAACCATTGCTGTCTGACATTACTTTGGTCAAGTTTTTAGTTTGTAGCTTGCCAGCTTTTTCTAGATCCGGTCATAAGAATAAACTGTAAGACGCCCCACATCTTGACAGAGTAGAGTGTTTTGTTTTCTACTCGTTTGCAAAGCCAAAAACAAATAAAAAGAAAGTCAGTTTTTTCAGTCAGCAGTACTTGTCTGCCTGCAAACCTCATCAACTGAACTCCTATATTTGCTGAAAGGTGATAATTCATTCATAGTTTTGGTAAAGTTTGCACCATCTTTTTATGGGGTTCTGTAAGAACACAGGGCTTTTTGACCTCTTCATGTTCAGGAACATGGGTCTCAAAAGGGTATGGGTCAGAAAAAAATGATTGACAGAGAATATCCTCAGATGGATTTCCTGTCCACAATGTGAATATGGCAGAATATGAAATGAGTTGAAGCTTCTTATCTGTAAAATATAAAAAACATTCTTCTACAACTTAGTTTGATTACAATTTAGCATAATACTCTGCACTTTTTAGGCGGTAGGCCTACATTTTGTTCCAAATAGTGCTGTGAGTAAATTACCGAAGGTGGAATGTAATTATTAAAATAAACAATTTTTCTGAAATAAAACACTGACTAGACTTTTTGTGAACAGAGGTGGGCTTAAAAGGGTGCCTTCATTTTTGGTTCCAGAATTAAAAAAAATAAATAAATCATATTACATTTTGCTTGATTATGTTAAGTGAGATTGATATTTCATTATATAACACTAAAAACTGCAATGTCCATATGAAAGAAAGTCCATATTTAGAGTTAGATGGGCTTGTTGGGGTCTCTTCTCTTATAACCTGTACTAAAAAGCAGTTCAAAGGTCAGTCATTCCCTGCGTGCCTCTTGCTAAACCAGAAAATCTAGGTAGTCTGGATGCACATTCACAAAGCACCCGTACAAATAGTGAAAAAATGTCCTTAAACAGCAACACCAAAACAAAAACACCAGTTCTTACCATCCATCCACTCCAAGGAAAGAATTCTGAAGGATATTATGACGTGATTTATGTGAAAACAGAACAAAATTGACAGAACACCAAGTTTGGTCCTGAAAGATTTCTACTTAAAAATGTTGTAAATGGTCAGAATATATCAAAGGCAAAACATGAAAATCACTATGAGGAATTAAAGCAGTTTTGTTAAGCTGTATAATTCTATCCATATGTAAAATCAAAATGTTTGATTCATCAACAAACTCATCTGCACTCCTGCATGTCCTGTTAAAATACTGCACTCACAGCAGACCGTACTGTTTGATCACAGAAAAATACTGATGAATTAGGAAATTAAAAGGCTTTCGTTTTACTTACTGCCAGAAAAGGAAATAGGTTCCTACTCACAGTCGGGTTCTTCAGGTTTCTCTTGAATCAATACTGCCAAATCAGATGGCAGCGCTTCCCATTTGCTAGTCAGTTTCTCCTGTTCTACTACAGAATGTGTACAGGAGTAGATGTACAGTCTTACTGATGAACAAAAGGGGAGGTGGGAGGAGAGGTGGGTTGAGACCTATTGGACTACCACACCCTTAAAAGGCATTAAAAGGGAATGATTCTTCAAATGTCTGAGTAACTAAATGATGAAGATGAAAACAGTCATTCAGAGAGGTTTAGTGCGTCTTGCTCTGTTTTAGAGAAACTTGTCAGAATTGTTCACAGTGGTGGTGATAGGAACCAGAAGTCTTTAGAGTTTGATGCCTCTAAACGCTCCCTCATAGAAAGTTATTACATGAAATGCTAACAATTACGCTGCCACATGTATTTTTTAAAATCCAAGAGTCAACGCTTCTCCGCTCGCAGCATAACCAGCCAGCTGACTGGCTCTTTTTCTTAAAGGGCAGGACTTTCTCTGCGAACAGACACCATGTTTAGCGTTATGAGCTTTCCCATTCATATTTTAACCAGTCTCCTCCCTTATAACATCTCTGATTATATACATTAGGATGTGTGGGATGGTTGTCTGCCGTAGCGTACTCCGTTACCTGAGCTCGCCTCTGAGCTGCAGCAGTCATACAAAGTTCAAATGATTTCAACTTTTGCGTGACACGCTTTGGCCAAGTAAAACCAGCTTTTCGTCTATGTTGAAGGGAACTACCAGACATGCCACCTGCTCTCCTGTTGGCCAAACTGAGGCCGAAGGACGATTCTTGAGAGAGGCTAAAAACCAGTGACCCAATGTTCAGCATTTATTTATTTTTTAAATCTAATTCTGCTGTGAAATCACAACAGGGTAGCAAAGGAGCCGCATGTTGCCGATCCCTTGGTTTAAACCATGGTATACACTGATCAGGCATAACATTATGACCACCTTCTTGTTTCTACGCTCACTGTCCATTTTATCAGCTCCACTTTCTATATAGGTGCACTTTGTAGTTCTACAGTTACAGACTGTAGTCCATCTGTTTCTCTGCATACTTTGTTAGCCCCCTTTTACCCTGTTCTTCAGTGGTCAGGACCCCCCTGGACCCTCAGAGAGCGGGTACTATTTGGGTAGTGGATCATTCTCAGCACTGCAGTAACAATGATGTGGTGGTGGTGTGTTAGTGTGTGTTGCAACACTCTCCATCAGTCTGAAGAACCATTTTACCATACAGAGAACCATTAAAGCATGAAATCATAAGTGTTCATGGTTCTGTATAGAACCATAGTCTTTACTTAATAACCCTTGAAGAAACATGTTTTTAAGAGTGTGGGGGGAAAAAAAAAAAATTCCTAAAAGTATCGTAAACGTTTAAACGTATCCTAAATATATTCTCAATACTTTACTTTTTTATGCATGGCAGCAGAATACATTACTGAATACAGGACAGTATTCAGTATTCAGCCATCACTACTTCCACTACTTTCAAAGTAGTTTTGCCCAATCTTCACTGTACATTCCCCTGTCAAAAAATATAAGCCCCAAATATATGTTTTTATTGATATTTTGACTCGTCATTCCACATTCCATACAGTCCATATGTAAACACTATAGAGAATATTTGGTCTCACACTAAACACAAACTCTGCATTGTTTTTTTAAAAGCTCTCCCAGACTAACTTGCATCATCTGTTTGTTTAATTCTTGCTAACAGGGTGTTTCCTGCCTTCTGCCCAATGAGCGCTGGGATAGGCTTCAGCCCCCCCGGCGACCCAGAACGATAAGAGGTTTAGAAGACAGATGGATGGATGGCTAGATAAAAATTAGATGCCATTAAACTTTGAATAATAATTTAACAGAATGTAAGGCAGATTATTGTTTGGTCAACTTAGAGTATCAGTGAACTGAAAAATTTAGGGCAGCCTGATTAGATGCTTTTTAAAGTCTTTTTTTCAGCGTACGTCACCATAAGGTGCTAAAGGTGCACTGCTTCTGTTTCTCAATCTCAAGAACTGTGCTTAGCAGAGCGGCTAGTGACTGCTCAGCACATTAGGTGGATGGAACACAACAAAAGAGGAAAAGGAAGAAGAAAAAAAGTCGTCACCACTGGAATATTTACAACTGAATTGTTAGATTATTAGGTACAATTGTGGCATTATTAGGTGCCTTGCACATACACTCATAGGGTCTTTTATCAACTACAGCTACCACGCAAGACACGTGTCAGACTCCAGTCCTCCTGGGTCAAAACACTGCAGACTTCAGCAAACTGCCTCATTAAACATACCTGATTCAGCTCATCAGCTAATTAGCAAGGCCTTCATTAACTGAATTCAGAGCCTTAGATGAGGGTAAACACCAATATCTGCAGAATTTTGGGCCAGAACATCCCCAGTCTGACATACCTGATCTAAGTGCACTTTGTAGGTTTAAAATTGTAGGTTTAAACTGACCGTAGATCATCTGTTGCAGCACAATTTGTTGGTCTCAGGACACTAGTGGTGTGTGTTGTGCTGATATGAATATATCAGGCATGACCAACCAAAAAATCCAGTCCACAGAATAGCGGTTCTGTGGTAAGGAACTAATGAAGGGCTAGAGGTTGACTAACACAAATTGTGCATTTAAAGATAATCATTAATGTACACCTGCAAAGAATGTTAACAAAATAGGTATGTGTACAAAAGCCAGAGGCATTTAACCCCTTAAATGGCCACGGGCCCAAAGGCGTCTATAACCCAAGAATTGCTCAGCCAGTTTGCATCGAAGTCCATGAAGTTACTGAAGGTTACTGTGTAATAAGCCTGGGATTTTAACGGGTTAAAACCAGTAACTGTCATGATAGACGTACCATTCTTTGATGTCATGACAGCTTATGCCACTTGCTAATTTTTGCTAAATATACTGCATTTAATTTCTGCTATGAAACGTTTATGGCATGATTATGTCAATGATATGTAAAAGAGTTCTTTCCAAAAGCATTTATTATTGGCAAGTTATTTATTCTCTTCTTTCAAGGCCAGGACTCAGGTGGTACAAATGGTTCATCCTAAATATCCTAAACTACATGTTAAGCTGGAGACGTGACGCTATTCCTGGTCTGGGAGTGTAGAAAGCAGGAGTTTTTAGTGGTGCAATTATAGGTGTGTAACGATACAATCAATTCAATTTGATTCACAATCCTGGCCTCACAACTTGGTATTCTCATGACATCCTGAACAAAATTTAAATGGAGAAAAGATTACTATATTCGTGTTGTTGCACAACTTATTTCCAAAACTAGAGTTGGGAGGCAGGAGGAATGCTGGAGTGAACTGTTGATTGCTGATGAATGGGGAAAAAATACTAAAACCATTTAAAATTAATTTTCCACTTACGGAACACAGCATGGCTTAGACTTAACCTAATGTCAAAATGCTAAGTTGACTCATGCTTTCATCATGCTTTTTGTAACTGATGTGTCCTTTGAGCCTGTCTGTTCATTGTAGGTCTGTCACAATTATTGTATAATGACCTAATCGCAATTATTTAAGCTCAGTACAGTGTTTTACCACAGTTGGCTTTCAGTCTGGTGACATGTATGCAATGAGCAACGTTTGTTTATTTGAGCTGTGTCTATCATCAGTTGGGAACAAGATATTTAATCAGACAATTTGGCCACTTTAGGCTTGTACTTTGATAGTTGCATACAATTAACAAAAAAGACAAATTTTTTAAATCACAATTGTTTATATAGCAATTGATCATCAGCTAAAATGTCATGATCATGATGGGCCTAATTCAATTTGTGAGGGGAAAAGAGAGCGAGAGTGAGCACCAGAGGTGTGGCAGAGGCAACAGTTAAAAAAAAAAAAGGCTGCATATTTCAGAATATGCATTGGAGATGCATACACTGTGGCCTCAATAATGTAGGTATGTTCTGTAATTATGACAAATCAAAGACAGTCACCTTTTCATTGTACAAAATGTAGTTTACATGTATTTTAGGTCATTTTAAACCTATTTTTGTTTAAAGATCAAAGCCAAGTAAATTGTTAATGAGATGTTACAATGAATTTGTTGAAAAAGTCTTTGTTTCCAGTTCAATCAAGTGACTAAATCAGTGTTGTCATTACTCTTCTTGTTGCAGCATGAATGTTACACTATCTAGTGGTTCAAAGTGGAGGACAATAGCTATTTAGATATTTGTGATGGTAAAATATGGTTAAGAACAAAAAATCTGTAGTGAACCCAAACATTTACTTATTAAAGCTTATTTCCCCATGTAATGCTTTCCTTAATAGTTTTACAGGGGAAAAAATGATGCAATGGGTAGTGCGACCTCTACTGCGTTTTATCAAGAGTTTTGTCACTGATCTCTCCAGTTTGGTCAACTGTCTTATTCCTTCTGGTATAATAAGCACCTAAGACTATGTGAAAAAAAGGAATTATTCATTATTAGTAATAAAAACTTAAAATGTAGTTAGGAAAAACTGAAAACTTTAATAAAGGCATTTGCGTAGTAGTGATCGTATATAGTCATATGCAAATGTTTGAAAACCTGAAAGTGAAAAGTTTACACATCCTCTACAGGGTGCAAACTTAGATATAACATTTTCGGCAGAAATTAGGGCACAGTTTCCATTTATTTGCCAAGTTTAACATATTGGGAGAAAATTAACATAAAATATAAAATGTGGCATCACTTTTGGACAAGCCACATTTTATGTTCTATTCCTTTTTTCCAGTATGTCAAATCCTGTGATACCTGCCAACGGAGTGTTACTAGTATTGTAACTATTTTTTAAATTAATCAAATATAACTATGTAAATATAGTAACTATTCTTTTAATTAATCAAATATACAGTAGCTGTGATTGAACACAGAAAAAAAGTTTAGTTTGTGGCAGAAGTGTTTAATTCAAAAGTCAATATACCACAAAATATGTAGTTTGGCCAGGGTGCCTAAACTTCTGCACACAGTTCTCCATATTTTTATACAACAGTGCATCCTTGTCACAAATCATTCTTTGCCAGAATGTGTATGACTTAGTCCTTTAATCTAGAGGAATACTTTTAGTGAATAATGGAATAGCTAGGTAAGTACGTAAATAGCAGATAATGTGGTCATTATACATACACTATATTGCCAAAAGTATTTGCTCGTCTGCCTTCACACGCATATGAACATGAGTGGCATCCCATTCTTAATCCATAGGGGTTAATATGATGTCGGCCCACCCTTTGCAGCTATAACAGCGTCAACTCTTCTGGGAAGGCTTTCCACAAGGTTTAGGAGTGTGTTTATGGGAATTTTTGACCATTCTTCCAGAAGCACATTTGTGAGGTCAGACACTGATGTTGGACGAGAAGGCCTGACTCGCAGTCTCCGCTCTAATTCATCCCAAACGTGTTCTATCGGGTTGAGGTGCAGGCCAGTCAAGTTCTTCCACACCAAACTCGCTCATCCATGTCTTTATGGACCCAGCTTTGTGCACTGGTGCGCAGTCATGTTGGAACAGGAAGGGGCCGTCCCCAAACTGAGCCCACAAAGTTGGGAGCATGAAATTGTCCAAAATCTCTTGGTCTGCTGAAGCATTAAGAGTTCCTTTCACTGGAATTGAGGGGCCGAGCCCAACTCCTGAAAAACAACCCCACACCATAATCCCCTCTCCACCAAACTTTACACTTGGCACAATGCAGTCAGACAAGTATCGTTCTCCTGGCAACCGCCAAACCCAGACTCGTCCATCGGATTGCCAGACGGAGAAGCGTGATTCGTCACTCCAGAGAACACGTCTCCACTGCTCTAGAGTCCAGTGGCGGCGCTTTACACCACTGCATTCGACACTTTGCATTGCGCTTGGTGATGTAAGGCTTAGATGCAGCTGCTCGGCCATGGAAACCCATTCCATGAAGCTCTCTACTCTGTTTTTGAGCTAATCTGAAGGCCACATGAAGTTTGGAGGTCTGTAGCGATTGACTCTGCAGAAAGTTGGTGACCTCTGCGCACTATGCGCCTCAGCATCCACTGACCCCGCTCTGTCATTTTATGTGGCCTACCACTTCGTGGCTGAGTTGCTGTCGTTCCCAATCACTTCCATTTTGTTATAATACCACTGACAGTTGACTGTGGAATATTTAGTAGCGAGGAAATTTCACGACTGGACTTGTTGCCCAGGTGGCATCCTATCACGGTACCACACTGGAATTCACTGAGCCTCTGAGAGCAACCCATTCTTTCACAAATGTTTGTAGAAGCAGTCTGCATGCCTAGGTGCTTGGTTTTATACACCTGTGGCCATGGAAGTGATTGGAACACCTGAATTCAATGATTTGGATGGGTGAGTGAATACTTTTGGCAATATAGTGTATATTAAAGATTAGGAGAAGGTAGACAATGGTCAGTTTAAAGCAGACTCAGTCAACACAGGCAATTTTAAAGGACAACACATTTATTTATTTACTCTGCTAATGATATTTTTATATCTTTAATGGCTATGTGCTTATTTCCATAGCCATATGCATTTCTCCTTTTTCATTTTATACAAAAAATACCCCCCCACCCCAAAAGGGAATGAAATAGCCCCCACCATGAGCTCTACCACATTTAAGCAATTGTAATCTTTAAAAAAATGAGTAAGTACAGTAAAAACATGTAGTGAGTAAAACATTGCTATTCTCTCCTAAAACTACAAAACATTTACATAATGCTTATCTGATTTGTGTGTTCAATTGTTTCAATCTTATTTTCATTTTGGAGAAAGACTATTAGATATCCTGGAGTTGACTTCTTTCGTCAATATGTTTCATTAGAAGTCTAACATTTAATAGTCTCACATCTCTTCATCATCCCATTCAGGTTCCCGAAAATCTTCATATCCCTCAAAAACCTCCTTATAAATGTCTATTTCGCTCTCACTGTAACTCTCATCCAGCTCTGAAAAACAGCCTCTACACAGTGATAGCTTCACCTTCTTGTTGCATGACTGGAAACTCTCCGGTGACCAGTATTCTTCTGTGCATCTGTCAGTTGAGTTGCTGCATCTCAGTCTTTATTAATAAGACAGGAAACATATTATTATTAATGTCCATTTGTGCCCTCAAACACCTTTTCAGCACTCTGTCATCATCAACATTCATCACTGAACAGTGCTATAAGTTGGTTTGCCACATTGAACATGAAATGTTTTGAAATGTATCAGTAAGATCAATGGGTAGTTAAAAGGAGAAAGAACAAACCCTTTCAGAACCACAACGCAGTCACGACGCTTCCACTTCTTCTTTATTTTTAGGATCGCGTCCTCCATTAACATGTGCCCTTTAACACTGAAACACAAGACAGCTATTGTCTTTACAATACATTATGCTAGTGTTTCTTATTTCTGGTTCTGGAGTACAACTCCCTAATCAGCTCATTAACAAAGCTTTCCTGAGTTCTGGGAGATCTGGATGTTAGAGAAAGAAAAATACTGAATATGAATGGCAGGGGTTCTCCAGGACCAGGACTGAGAATCACTTCATGATGCAATAGTAAGCTACAAAATTCTGACCTCACAAATGTGGCAAGCACTGCACCTTAAGATATGAAACTGTAATTTAAGGATCCGCTACACTCACTTTGTACATGCATGACTCAAAGACGGCGGCATGAAGCCTGTTCTTACCAGATTTTGTTAAGACTGGGACAGGTGCTAAAGGAGAGGATCTGGGTAGCCCAGCTCCGAGTCAGGTTCCCTATTTTCAGTTTCAGTTTCTGAAGACCAGGAATACCATGGAGGAAAGACATCAGCTTATTCATTTCCTCCTCATAGTTATAGGATCTATAGTAGAAAAGGAAACATTCATTATTAGGAATGAAATACTAAAAACTTGATAAAAGGCGTTTGTGTAGTAGTGACTGTATATAATTAGATGCAGAAGTTTGAGCACCCCTGGTCAAAGGACGTGTTGTCAATTTTCTCAGTAAAAATAAGATAACACATCCCCTGAAAATGTAAAAATGACATTGTTCTGCGAACATTAGACCAGAGTTCCTATTTATTTGCCGAGTTAAAATGTGCCACTTTTGCACAGTCCACATTTTATGATTTCTTTTTTTTTCATACATCAAACTGAGCAAAGTAACAGTAATTGTGCATTCAAGTATGTTGTGTGTGTTTTTTTTTGTAGAGGATGTGTTATTTTCACTAAAAAAGTAAACAAACGTAATCTGATCAGGTGCGACAAAACTTTTGAATAATGCTATAACTACAAAATGAATACAAAAATACTCTTACTTGTCATTTATACATTTGGGACATCGCATTCTGTGAAGGAGGTCATGCCCATTTATGTTGCTTATCTCAGAATCAGGCACCTTGAAGGAAATGAGTGATGGCGAGGTTTTTTGGTGCTTTACCCTTTGGATTTTAAGAGTGACCCTTAGAAAACACAGGAAGTGACCAGTGACTGACTGAAATGCGATCATCAGAAAAAGTATAAACCAATCAGTAGGTGCTCAATGCTAAAATTCAGAAGACCTGTACTACATGCAGGTGTGTTACTCGCAAGCGTTCATAAAGGTGTTGGCACACAAAGTGACGGTCGTCTTTTGTAAGTTTTCACTGTGTGCAACATTAGAATTGTAAACTCACTTAGCCTAAACTCATAACATAGCAGTATAATTTAGTGCCGCGTCACTCTGGTTCAAAAACAGTCAAGCAGCAGCCATGAGCACAGCTAAAATACATCATGTTAGCAGCCATGCCATAAACTAACAAATTTCTGGTTAGCACAGTTCTCATTTTAGACTGTTCAAGAACATGTGATGTGTAATGCTCACACTAACCTTTGTAACTACCAATATAAAGCAAGAATTTCACGGATACTTACGTTTATTTCTTATAGGACCCACCAAACCTGCCTGCTGACAACTAAATCTGTTTTTCTACTGTCTAATACTACATTTTCATTAATTATCCATAAAAGTGTGAAAATGATTTTTAATTGATGCAGATATTAAATGATTCCTGTCCAATAATACTTGTAAAAAAAAAAAGACTACAGGTGGAAATGAAATACATGAAACTGTAGGTCACCTCATAGTCAGACTTTCTACCAGGAGAACCCCCAAAACCTCTGCCATAATTTAAAACCTGTTGCTCACCACCACATGCCAAGCATTTGTGCATTTCATTTCATTTGTAGAAAGGAAGAGAAGAAGCCCACAATGCAATTACATTTTATTTTGAACTTAGCTCTTCTGCATTTGTTTCCACAAAAAGTGATTTTTAAATATCTATGTAATCAGAAGTGCCCCAATGGAGATTTGCAAATGGTATGATCACTCTGATTGATAGATTGTAAAAAAAAAAGACTGCCACTGATTGTAAAAAAGGTGGCTACAGTAATAGAATAAAAATAATACAGCTAACTCTATAGTGACTCATCGCTGTAGTGGTAAAAGTCATTCTGGTCATTATGGCCTATTACTCCCTGTATGAATGTATGTATTAGCACAAGAATAAAATTTTATAAAAATAAAAAACAACAAAAAATCTTCTTTTAGAGTACATTATTATTTTAATGTGGACATTCTTGGCTAGGAATTTCAGAGTATACTTGATAGTCAACTTGTAAGGTCAAACTCAAGAAACAAAGACTCAAAAGGCTTACGTGGAGTCTGTGAGGTTTCTTTTAATGGTGCAAGACAAGCAGGCACTCTCCATGTCTTTTTCCTTTTCTAGCAGCAGACTATTAGAAAGAATACATAATGCAAAAAACATAGATCTGTTTCTGGAACTATACAGTCAAAAATACATATCTGTGCGGGATTTAGTTTTCTTCTGTGCATCTGGCAGTTAAGTTGCTGCATCTCTGTCTTTATTAATAGGCCAGGAAACATATTATTAATATCATTACAGGGAAATTCACTCAAAAGAGGCCCTGAATATTCTGTTGTAACTCTCTTTAGGATGAAGCAATCTGAACCAAAAATATACGCTATATTCCTTGACGTAAGTGTAATCGATTGCATTACATGCGACACTGGAAGTGATCTCCATTTTCTGCCAGACACATTTCGACGTGGCGCTCCATGTTCCTGAATGTATCGGCAAGCATTAGAGAGGTTAAATGTCTCGACGGCGGTCCGGCGCCCACCTCATCGCTCCGACGCAGGGGCATCCCAGCTTGTTCGAAGCTCCATATACTGAGGAGCACATTGCACGTTGTTTCGTTCAGATTGCTTCGTCCTAGTGAGAGTTATTACAGAATATTCCCGGCTTCTTTTGAGTGAATCTCCCCATATTAATGTTCATTCATGCCCTCAAACACCTGATCAGCACTCTGTGGGTGTGTCTCAAAACCTAGTGAGCTCTCTACATAGACAGTGTTTTACGTCATAATATGCACGGTCCCGACAAGAAGGCTGTCTCAATTCTTAGATACCTCAAACATGCTGACTACTGAGATATCTTATTTTGACTGAATATTGAGAGAGCATTGGCTGTTACCTCACTCGATTTTTTTAATATGGGTATCTGACCACAACTCCTCTTTATTCTGCTGTTTCATTCAGAGCAAATACAACCAAAATCACTATAAAACCCCAGAACAGGATCCATGGTGGTAAAACACTGAGGCGATTCTGATGGCTGAGGTAAGTAAACACCGGTCGTGTGCAGTGGGCGGGAACAAGCGGTGACATCACTGCTGTCTAACTACAGCGTCTAATTTATGTGTCTTATAAGGTTCGATGACGGTTAGAATGCTGCCTAAGTAGACAGTGGCTACTAAGAAAGCTCACCAGCTAATGGGACACACCCTGTGTCGTCATCACCATTCATCACTGAACAGTGCTATAAGTTGGTTTGCCACACTGAACATGAAATGTTTTGAAATCTATCAGTAAGATTAATGGGTAGTTAAAAGGAGAAAGAACAAACCCTTTCAGAACCACAATGCAGTCACGCTTCCAGTCATTCTGTATTGTTAAGATTGCGTCCTCCATTAACATGTGCCCTTTAACACTGAAACACAAGACAGCTATTGTTTTAGTCTTTACAACACATTATGCTAGTGTTTTTTATTCCTGGTTCTGGAGTACGACTCCCTAATCAGCTCATTAACAAAGCTTTCCTGAGTTCTGGGAGATCTGGATGTTAGAGAAAGAAAAATATGGAACAATGCAGGGCCTCCAGAACCAGGACTGAGAATCACTTCATTATGCAATCATTACAAGCAACAAAATTCAGACCACAGAAATGTGGCAAGCCAGGAAAAGATGGCCTAATAACACTGAACTTTATGATATAAAATATAAGGATCCATTACACATGCATGACTCAAAGACAGAAGCATGAAGCCTGTTCTTACCAGATTTTGTTAAGACTGGGACAGGTGCTAAAGGTGAGGATCCTGTTAGCCCAGCTCCGAGTCAGGGTCCCTATTTCCAGTTCCAGTTCCTGAAGACCAGGAATACCATGGAGTAAAGACATCAGCTTATTTATGCCTTCCTCATACTCAAGGGGTCTGCAAAAAAAGGAAACATTCATTATTAGCAATGAAAATTTGAAATGTAGTTATGAAAAACTTTATAAAATGCGTTTGTGTAGCAGTGTCTGAATATAATTAGATGCAAAAGTTTGAGCACCCCTGGCCAAAGGACATGTTCCGTCAGTTTTCTAAGTAAAAATAAGATAACATCTTTTGAAAATGTAAAAATTGCATTTTTCTGCAAACATTAGGCCAGAGTTTCTATTTATTTGCCAAATAAATGTGGCGCAACTTTTGCATAGTCCACATTTTATGATTTATTTTTTAATACAACAAATTGAGCAAAGTAACAGTAATTGTGCATTCAAATATGCAGTGTTTTCTTGTAGAGGATGTGTTATTTTCACTTAAAAAAATCAACAAAACATGTAATTTGACCAGGTGCGGCAAAACTTTCAAATACTGCAGTATCTATAAATACAAAAATACTCTTACTTGTCATTTATACATTTGAGACATCGCATTCTGTGAAGGAGGTCATGCCCATTGATGTTGCAGATCTCAGAATCAGGCACCTTGAAGGAAATGAGTGATGGCGAGGTTTCTGTGTGTTTTACCCTCTGGATTTCAACAGTGACCCTTAGAAAACACAGGGAGTGACCAGTGACTGATTGAAATGTGATCATCAGAAAAAGTATCAACCAATCAGTAGGTGCTCAATGCTAAAATTCAAAAGACCTGTACTACATGCAGGTGTGTTACTCGCAAGGGTTGGCACACAAAGTGACATTCGTCTTTTTCATTGCGTGCAACATTAGAATCCTCAACTGTAAACTCACCTAGCCTAAACTCGTAACATAGCAATATAATTTAGTGTTGTGTCACTCTGGTTTAAAACTGGTGAACAGTAAAGCTTGAGTGCATCTCAGACTGCAGAGAACTTCGAGAACATGTGATGTGTAATGCTCACACTAACCTTTGTAACTACCAATATAAAGCAAGAATTTCACATTATTTCTTATGGGATCCACCAAACTTGCCTGCTGATAACAATCTGTTTTTCTACTATACTTCTTATACTATATTTTCTCTTTAATTATCCATAAAAGTGTAAACATGATTTTTCATGATACAGATATGAAATTAAATGACTCCTGTCTAACACAAGTGAAAAAAAGACTACAGGTGGAAATGAAATATATAACTATATAACTAAAGGTCACCTTATATCCAGACTTTCCTCCAGGAGACCCCAAGACCTCTACCACAATTCAAAACCTGTTGCTCACCACCACATGCCACGTGTTAGTACATTTTATTTCATTTTATTTGTAGAAAGAAAGAGAAGTCCACAATGCAATTACATCACTTTTCTGCTTTCATTTCCACAAAAAGTTATTTTTTAAATATCTTTGCCATGAGTGGTGACCCAGTGGAGATTAGCATATGGTATGATCACTCTGACTGATAAATTGAGAAGACTGCCACTGATTGTAAAAAAATGGCTACAGTAATAGAATAAAAGTAATATGCTAACTCTATTGTTACTCATCACTGTCGTGGTACTGTGATTGTGGTCATCACTGCTTAAAGTATGAACATGCGTATTAGCATGAGAACAAAGTTTTATTAAAAAAATGACAAAAAAAACTTTTAGAATGAATTACTAATTTAATGTGGACATTCTTGGCTAGGAATTTCAGTAAGGTCAAACACAGGAAACAAAAACTGATTTAAAAGGCTTACGTGGAGTCTATGTGGTTTCTTCTAATGGTGAAAGATGAGCAAGCACTCTCCATGTCTTTTTCCTTTTCGAGCAGCAGGCTATTAGAAAGAATACATAATACAAAAACCATCGACTTTACAGTCAAAAAGGAAACACTTGGTTCATTGAAACTCTGTCCTCTCTCTCATTTGGTTTGGTAACCAAGTTATAAGGACAACAATGATCATGATGATTATTTGGTATCGTATGACTAATTTATGTACAAACACACAAACTTGTGACTGAGTTGGAAGGAAATCAGGATGCTTTCTTACCAGATATTATCAATGCTATTGTTTGCATAACAGAGGTGAAGGATGCAGGAAGCCCAGGTTTCAGTTAGACTGTGTATGCCCATTTCCACTTCCTTCAGACCAGACACATCTTGCAGGAAACGCAAAATGTTGTTCACCTTTCCATCAAAATCTGTGGATCTACAGTTAGACACCAAGCAGCACAACTTCATTTGATATCATTTTTGTTTCGAATTAGTATAGTATTAGTAATAGTTAATTTGAAAACAAAAAGTAGTCACATACTGTGTGACCGTACAGTTACTTTTACAGTAATGATCAAAGGTTCAATCAAATTCCCATCCATGTGAATCACGTCATGTGATTCATGTGATCAACTCTGATGCTAGTTGTAGCTAGAAACGCTTGTGTGCCATACACCACAGACTCATGAAATATGACTTGGTATGGAATGTGCAACTCATGTTAGGGATATACCTAATAAATTGGAAAATCAGAGCACATTATGTTAAACTATAAAATTGTAGACATTTCTCTTTTTTTACAGTGGTTGTGAGATTGTAGGGCATAATATGTAGGAGATATAAGGGTGAATATCAAATATTTTAATGAAGGTTGAAACTTCTGGTTCTGATAAAGTTATTTACCTGTCAATCATCAGATCTCATTACAACGTCTTAAAAAGGGTCCCCATTTATATTAGAGATGGATGCAAAAAAACACCACCATGAGATTCAGATGTTTTGGGAGTGCCATAGTTATCTAGACTATCTCACTCCCAAACACAGTGCTCTCCAGAATGACCTGCAATATTCACATATTAATTTAAAGCTACCCTATGTGTCATTGTACATAACATGCGAAGGGACATTTGGTCATGTCGGTTGTGCTTTTTACCCTCAGAGCGGGTGAATCTGATGAATGCAAGCATGTTGAAAGAGTATTCAAAGAGAACTCAGTCAAAATTTGGTCTTCAGAAGATGTGAGTGCATTATCTACTTTTGTCACCATATCTTCAACAGTATGATGTTGATTTTGCATTTGAGAACTAAACATCAAGCCGGACCTTTTTTTTGAACCCCTGCGTGATCCAACTTGATGGTAAAGATTGGTAAACTGGTAAAGATGAGCAATTGGAAGGCTAGATTTCCCATGTATATTCAAGACAAAGCTAACAAATATCTTTCTACAGATTTTGCTCATCCTTATCCTTGCACGAATGCCAATGATTCGGAGAACAGTAGAGCAGCGATCCCCAACACAATTCCCTGGGCACTGCAGTGTTTTCTGCCCTCAGCGCACTTGATCCAACTTAAGGCAAAGTATTGTCCCAGCACAAATAAGACACATACACCATATTGCCAAAAGTATTTGCTCGTCTGCCTTCACACGCATATGAACTTGAGTGACATCCCATTCTTAATCCATAGGGTTTAATATGATGTCGGCCCACCCTTTGCAGCTATAACAGCTTCAACTCTTCTGGGAAGGCTTTCCACAAGGTTTAGGAGTGTGTTTATGGGAATTTTTGACCATTCTTTCAGAAGCACATTTGTGAGGTCAGACACTGATGTTGGACGAGAAGGCCTGGCTCGCAGTCTCTACTCTAACTCATCCCAAAGGTGTTCTATCGCATTGAGGTCAGGACTCTGTGCAGGCCAGTCATGTTCTTCCACACCAAACTTGCTCATCCATGTCTTTATGGACCCAGCTTTGTGCACTGGTGCGCAGTCATGTTGGAACAGGAAGGGGCCGTCCCCAAACTGTTCCCGCAAAGTTGGGAGCATGAAATTGTCCAAAATCTCTTGGTCTGCTGAAGCATTAAGAGTTCCTTTCACTGGAATTGAGGGGCCGAGCCCAACTCCTGAAAAACAACCCCACACCATAATCCCCCCGCCACCAAACTTTACACTTGGCACAATGCAGTCAGACAAGTACTGTTCTCCTGGCAACCGCCAAACCCAGACTCGTCCATCGGATTGCCAGACGGAGAAGCATGATTCGTCACTCCAGAGAACACATCTCCACTGCTCTAGAGTCCAGTGGCGGTGCTTTACACCACTGCATTCAACACTTTGCATTGCATTGGTGATGTAAGCCTTGGATGCAGCTGCTCGGCCATGGAAACCCATTCCATGAAGCTCTCTACACTGTTCTTGAGCTAATCTGAAGGCCACATGAAGTTTGGAGGTCTGTAGCGATTGACTCTGAAGAAAGTTGGCGACCTCTGCGCACTACGCGCCTCAGCTTCCGCTGACGCCGCTCTGTCATTTTACGTGGCCCACCACTTCGTGGCTGAGTTGCTGTCGTTCCCAATTGCTTCCATTTTGTTATAATGCCACTGACAGTTGACTGTGGAATATTTAGTAGCGAGGAAATTTCACGACTGGACTTGTTGCACAGGTGGCAACCTATAACAGTACCACGCTGGAATTCACTGAGCTCCTGAGAGCGACACATTCTTTCACTAATGTTTGTAGAAGCAGTCTGCAGGCCTAGGTGCTTGGTTTTATACACCTGTGGCCATGGAAGTGATTTGGAAAACCTGAATTCAATGATTTGGATGGGTGAGTGAACACTTTTGGTAATATAGTTTAAATGTAACAGACTTTTAGAACCCTAGGGTAATTTTGTGAAATTCTTTGGTGTTTTGGTCAATTACAACTACAGTTATAGGATATTTACATGAGACAGTCACACGTGCCATATGTCATTTACGTATGGCATGTGTAGCCCAGGATCTCCTGTTATCTCCTGATACTCAGATATGCCATTATTTGACACGTAAATGCAAGAATTTTGATATCTTTATGAATTTGGCTCATGTTTTAATCAAACATCTACTAAGCTCCTGCAGAATTGTTTACATTTTTGCTTATATACATCTTAAGAAATGAGTCACCTCAGATACCTTTTCAGAATTTTTTTTGTCTAGAGTGTCTGAGCTGAAAATGTTAGAATTTTGATGGTGGTTCATCCTATTAATTATTTTTGAGTAAAAAATAATGATTAGCATAGGGCAGCCATGTTTTCTTTTTATTGATATTGAGTACTAAAACACTGATACACAGTAAGACAGGCTTTATTTTTAAATTTCAAATTGAGTTGCAAGGTAAACTTAAAGACAGAGCTAAATATTATTGATTTTATAATATATATGTTATTTATGTGTTAAAATATGTTTTACTGCCTGTTTGTTTCATTTTGAGTGAAAGATTAAAGTACACACAGTCCTGTGGATTGCAACACACCCTCTGTGGTGTTACTCCACCCTCTCCCCACTCTCTCAAAGCAGAAACAGCGCAGAGCACATGGCCTCGTATTCCTTACAGTGTGACAGTGTTTGTGTCCTTTTTATCTGTGTTTAGCTGTAAATTTCTGATTATCACTAAACTCAGAGTCTGAGTCAATCAGAGGACAGTTGGAGACGTGCAGTGAAGCATTTTAATGGGGCATTTAAATGGACATAAACATAGAATTTGAATGGTGGTTTTCTTAGCTGGATTACTGACTGAATCTTTGCTAAACACCCATAAAATTACTCTGAACACACAGGGTAAGTCCTGCTGATTGATGTGATGGGTGAATCGTGTCCCTGTTTTAACCATTTTGTTGCCATACAAAGGCTAAAGCAGAGAGGTAACAGCAGTGGATTTGGCTGTGTTTAGTGCTGGATTTTTGGCTAATGCTTGGTTAGAGCTAGATGTTCTCACTCTGGCTAGTGAGAACAGGGTCTGCTGAGTGTTCTGATGTGTTAATCATGTCGCAATTTTAACTGTTATATTATGAAGGCTAAAATCAGAGATGTAATAACAGTAGTGAGTGGATTTTGGGTGATTTTGGAGCTGGATTGCTAGCTAATGTTGTGGATGAAATCATTCTGGTTAGTGAAGGCAGGGTTTGTTGAGTGCTGTAATGTGTGAAGCCTGCCGTTATATTGACTTTTTGTTGGAATATGAAGGCTAAAAGCGCTAATATCAGGAATTTGGGTGATTTTTTGGGACGGATTATTCATTGTTGCTGATGTCACAGCTCAGTGACATCATACTAGGTGAGTGTTGGGTCTGCTGAGTGTTCTGATATATGTATGAAGTTTGTCGCTTAAACTGTTCTGAAGTTATGAAGGCTAGAAAGCAACTACGCAGGAGTTAACTGTGTGTCCTCACCTCTCAGTTGACCCTTTTGAGTCGTAGTATGACTGAAAGAAGCATCTCCAGTCAATCTCACTTTCTTCTGTGTATTCAGTCAGGATGAGTGAAATGTATGCAAGAACAGCCTTTGTATCAGGATCCGAGGAATTACATCTCAAAGACAACCTGAAGTCAAGCACAAGATATGGTTTTAAAAAACACCTAATATTTACGTTTACTTTATTCAACCTGCCACATTTGATTTGCATGGTAATGTAAGTGAATTTATAACAACAGAAAGAAACATCCTCACTTGAATTTGTTACTGGCGTTTTTCCTCACTATTAGCTCAGAGCAGAGATCCAGTTCGTAATTTTCTATCTCTTCAGAAACACTATCGTTCAAAACAAAACAAAAAAAAAGTTAGATGGATTTACTCAGTTCTGTAGTTTTTTGTAGTGATTAATTCCAGTATTTAAAAATGAATTCTCATTATCATGTAGGCGACTGCTAAAATCAACTCACAAATGCAATGAATATTTCCTGTTTTCCCTTTTTTGGCAACTATAAGTTATGGAGTATTCTAAAGTAAATGGTATTTTTATACCTGTTTGTTGAACTGCATGTGTCACTGTGATCTGAGGAGATGCTGTTCGTTTCACTGTCACTCTCACTGTAAAGAGGGAAACCACAAAACTGTGTTGTACGTAATTAATAATATTCTACTTATTGCTATATAATATACAAATGCCTATTACAAAATCTGAAACAACAAACTGCACACCACAGGGGTAACCGCTGGACACAAATTGCCTATATTTGTGTAATGCTGCATTCTGTGACATTTTAAAGAACCAGCAGCAACGTATGTGTAATAGTTGTAGTCAAATATTCTTTTTCTGCACAAATACTGTTTATTTGCTGAACTAAAAATATTGCAAAAAAAAACATAAAATGTGGCCTTTGCTAGGCTATTTTCCTCAAAAATTCTGGGATAACAATTTTGCAAATAATCAGCCTAAGAAATAGACAAACATGTAGAGTAAGAACTAGAAACTAGTCTTTGTCAATGGATAACCATTTTGCTTTTGTGAACAGTCTCCTTATTTTCTTCAGAGGATAGTCAATATGTGCTAAATTAGAATGCAAATAAATGAGTGCAGTGTGCAGAGGTAGCAGCTAGACTTTGCATTAAGTGGCCACACTTTTCACATTTCCAATCACATTTCCTTATCTCGTATGCAAAAGCTTAGGTGCCCTTGGTCAAATAATATTTTCTTGAAATTAACATCTTCTACAGAGAACACACATCTGCACATTTTAATGCACAATTACTGTTCATTTGCTGAATTAAATTATATATTATAATAAATTATATTTGAAAATAATAATAATCAAATGTGGCCTGTGCAAAAGTTATGGCACATTTTATATTTTATGTCGTTTGACCAGTGGTGTGACTACATGTAGTCAAACTACTACACAAATGCCTTTTAAAACTTCAAACTACATTTCAAGTTTTTATTGCAAATAATGAATATTTTCCTTTTTTTACCTCTTTTTTGGCAACTACAAGTTACTGAGAATTCTGAAGTAAAGGGTATTTTTATACCTGGAGTCTGTTGATTCACTTGAGTCACTGTGATCTGTGGATACGCTGTTCGTTTCACTGTCACTCTCCCTGTCCAGAGGGAAACCACACAACAGAGTTGTATGACACAGTAAAAGCCAACTTATGACCAAGCATCATGCCATGTCTGATGTCCTCTGATAGATGAAGAGAATCACCTAACACAATATTAATCTAATTAATGATCTTCTGTATTATAACTGCTATGATATAAGAATTCCCACTACAAAATCTAAAACAGCAAACTGCATGTCACAAGGTAACCACTGGATAAGATTTGCCTATACTCATGTAATACTGCATTCTGTAAAAAACAAGAACTGAGTCTGTGTGATAGTTGTACACATATTCTTTTCTGTTTCTGTCACTACTGCTACCTTTCAACAATACATTATCGCTTAGTCTAACTGGAAAATAACAGTTTATATATATATTATATATATATATATATATATATATATATATATGGAAAGCAAGGGTGTTAGAATATTTTCCCCAAAAATGCAGGGGCAACAATTTTGATACCAATCTTTATCCATGATTAGCCTTTCTGTTTTTGTAAATAGTCTCTTATTTTCCTTTTCTTCAGAGGATAGTCAATATACATGAAATAGGAATGCAAATAAATGAGTGCACTGGAGAGAAATAGCAGAGTGTTGCATTAAGTGTCCACACAATCACATTCCCTTACACACTCATCATCCAAAACATTAAAACCAAACCACTGCCTTGTTTCTACACACACTGTCCCTTGTATCAGCTCCACTTACCATATAGGTGTACCTTGTAGTTCTACAATTGAATCAGAATCAGAATTGCAGACTGTAGTCTTTTGCTCTGCATACTTTGTTCATCAATGTCAGAACTCCAACAGGACCACCACAAAGCAGGTATTATGTGAGAGGTGGATCATTCATAGCACTGCATTGACACTGACATGGTGGTGGTGTGTTACCACGTGAATGAATCATGTGCGTCACGTGCATCATCAGCAAACAAACTAACGAGCAGAACGAGCCTTTGCTGCGATGATAATTAACTCTGATCAGCTCTTAGCTGCATTATTAGAGTGAGATGAAGGCAAAAAGGTGAGATGTGTGGCTTTTCCACTTTAACTTCTGTTCGACGTTGCTGCCATTGTAAGGCTGAATTCAATCTGAGCGTCACATTAAGGTCGCATGTCCTCAAATTGGATACGTATCCGATCTAGGACCACATATGAAAGTAGCTCAGGTCGGATTGGAAAAGATCAGATTTGTGTGTCCACACAGCCCTGAAAACATCAGATCTTAGTCACATTAGGGGGAAAAAATCAGATTTGTGCCACTTTAACCAGGTAATGTGAACGTAGCCTTACAGGCCAAGAAAATAAATCTGGAACTCTCTCAGCAGTCTGTCAGTGCAGAAGGAGAACTCAAGCTTTTCTCCTTCATCACCAGAACTTCACACAGTGAAATGCTGATGTTAATCTCCTCTTTTCTCCTAAGGGGGGTTTAGGAGAAACAAATTAGTGATCCTTCATTAATATAACCCTGAGATCTGTTTTACTTCTCTGTGACAATTTTAAGAAAGAATTTCTTTCCTCTGGAACTGGTTTCTAAAGAAGGTTCCTTACATAGCCTAGCTAATCTCCTGACTTTAATCCCACTGAAAAGTAATGGAGGAACTGTGAGTCTATCAGAGGGACCCTGATAGCCTTGTGGAATTTAAGATAGTAAGCCAAAAGGAATAGGCCAAAATTGAACCACAATAGTGCAAAAAGCAGTCTATGGTACTTCTTACCATAGACTTCTTGAAGCTGTTGCAAACAAAACTATTTGCAACAATAGCTTTGAAACAAAGTAAAATTATAGATTTGTGGTCTTTTAAATTTGTAGGCAGATCTTTGTTTATGCTCATGGATACATATTTTTTGTCCATTTTTATAAGTATAAAACAAAACAAATTTTAAGTTGCAAGAAGTTCAAAGATTTGAAGTGGCTATAAGTGAATAAACACTTGCTCCCCTTCACTGTAAGTGTATTTTTACTTTATTGCCAAACTTGGTTGAAGATTATTTTGGAATCAGGTTGACTTGCTTGTTTGGTTTTAGTTGGTTTAATTTTGTTGTCTGCGCTCGCACAATTTGCCTTTTTGAGACTGGCACCCCCTTCTGATGAAAAATGTCGGTATGGTATCTTCCTGTGAACATTATCTATCTTTTCATTAACAACAGAATCTGTGTTGCTGATATTTTTTGACTGAAGCTCTGTAGTTCAGTTCTGACAATGTTCTTTGTAATAAAAGTTGTCCTCATTGTCTGTGTGTTACAAAATGTGTTGACATTTCAGGAGTTATTGTTAAATTCTTATTGTCCCTTCCAGTATTAACCTAATGACATCTGTAGTAATTAATCTACATATGTGTACACATCTTCATCCACATTTTAAAATATAATTCATATACTTATGTGAAGTCCTACCTGCTGCTGGTGAAATTACTCTGCTGAGCCAGCACCGTAACACTGGATCAAAACACAATCTCAACAAGTCAAAACAATCGAAACCTTATAAATCAACAAACAATAAACTTCAAGGTTATTTCATGTTGATGAAATTACTTCACATCAATCACATCTATTACGTGCACTGCCAAAGTCTTGTTAATTTGGCACTGGATAACACATTAGCAAAATTCAGTCCAAACTCAATATATTCAGTCATATACACTCAATACAATCCAAAATATAGAGTGCAAAAATGAAGCTGCCTTTAAAACTGTACATGATAATTCTTACAAGTTTACAGCCCCAATTCCAAAAAAAATGTGCAAAATACTAATAAAAACTGAAAGCAGTGAATTGTAAATTCTATTTGACCTGTATTTTATTGAAAATGGTACAAAGACACAATGTTTGGGATTTTACTTTATGAACTTCATATGTTTTTTGGAAATATAACACTTATTGCAAATTTGATGGCTGCATCACGTTCCAAAAATGTTGGGCTATGTTTATCACTGTGTAACATCACCTTTCCTTTTACCAACACTTAATGTATAGTTATAGACTGCAGACAGACCAGTCTGGTATCTGCACTCTATTATTAAGCAGCCACACTGTTGTAACGTGTAGATTGTGGCTTGTTGCTGTCATGTTAAGCATGAACATCCCTAAAAAGAGTGTCTAAAAGGCTTTGCCGTAGAGTAAGAAGACGTGGGAAACAAAGAACTTCTAACCAATGCTCTTTTATTGAACACTGTAGCAGCAGAGGAGACCCGCTGCTCAGCGATACTGAATGGCTGATGTAGCAGGCAGGTAATGTACAGCAACACATTTCATGCTGATAAAAGGCACCAACACTGCACAAACTACCCCATACAATATAGTACATGCAACACACGTACACATCCTTCAACTAACAATAGCAACTTATTTACTATAACTATGATTTAGCAAAAATCTAAACTATGATTTAAGCCTCTCTTACTATGAATCCACAGAGCACAGAGGCACACCACCACCACCCTCGCAGTCTCTCCGAGCAGGGGTTACAGAATGTCCACTGTCCTTGTTAACACTCGCACCATGGAGCTACTCCTTTGAGGCTGTGTCTTCTTCTGCAGGGTGCTGTAACAGAGAGACTGAGCGCTGCATCCTCCTTTCCAGCATGGTGGATCTCCTCACAGCTCACAGCATCACTCCTGCTACTGGGGGTGGTGGCAGCAGCAGTGATGCTTCCTTGGCCAGCTTTCTCTACTACAGCAGCAATAGCAATAGCACTCCTTTAGCTGTTCTCTGCTTTCTCTGCCGCCCACCATGCTGTAAACGGTAGCAAGGCTGCTACTTGGGACACTGTATTTCCGATGCTCGGCCTTGACCAAGCTCAAGCTTCTACACTGGTCAAGCTCCAACGTTGATCTTGACCAAAAATGTTAAGCCTCATCGCACTGCCTTGACCGCTGTCTTCTCAGCTCAGCCAGGCTCGGTCCTCTCTGCCATTTTGCTGCTGAATTTACCATTCACCTCCAATCTGCTAAGGGGCAATCCCACTTCTGACACCAGTGTGGCATCGACACAGAGTTATAAGTGGCGGGAAATAGTGCTTCAAATGAATGCTCTGTTATTGCACAAAGCAGCAGAGGAGACCCGCAGCTCAGTACTACTGAACGGCTAGGATAGCAGGCAGGTCATATACAGACATGCATTCCACACTGACAGTAGACAGTAGGCACTGCCACTGCACAAACTACCCCAAAATCCAGCACAATATAGCACATGCAATGCATGTGCATATCTTCCAACCAACAATACCTCATTTACATGATTTAAGTCACTGAGAGTCTGGCGCTACTCGCAATGTTCCAGCATGTGGCCACACCTCCCATGTATCCGCAGCCAGTAGCGGGACGATGTTGCTCCTAAATGTGTTCAACACTAATGGTGCCTTCACAGATATGCAGGTTATCAGCTAATCCTGCAGACCATGACAGACCTTGGGTTTTGAACTTTATGCTGGCACAATCTGGATCCACTGTGTGTAAGTCCATTTTAGATGAGCTTGAGTCCAGAACATTCAGCTGTGTTTTAGACGTTTCTGACATATGGCTTCCACTGTCCATCATACAGTCTTACATTTGTGGATGCAGTGATGAACAGTGTTTACTGACAAAGTATTAAGCCTAAATCCATGTAGTGATATCCACCATATGGTGCTATCTGAGGGGTTGAAGGTCATGAGCACTCAGCTGTGCTTTTCAACCTTGCCCTTTACGTACAGAGGTTTCTCCAGATTCTTTCATTCTTTTGATGATATTATGCTCTGTAGATGGTGAAATACCTAAAATCCTCACAATCCCTGGCAGGGGAATTTTATTTTTAAACTGTAGGATTTTTGCTGATGCATTTTTGCCACACTGGCGAGCTCGACTCGAGCCTTTCCTGGATGCTCCTTTCATACCTAAGCAAAACTGCATGATCTGTTTAAGGTTTTTTTTTTAAACACTTCACAATGCTACTAGACTTGCCTCTTTCCCAACTTTTTTTTGGGATGTGTTGCAGGCATTAATTTTAGAATGTGCATGTATTTATAGAAAACCAAGAAGCTGATAACGTAAAATGTTAATTATGTTGTATTTGCACGGTTTTTGTTCAAATACAGGTCAAGTTTTATAAATCACAACTTTTTGTTTTTTGGAGGTTTTTTTAACTGAAAAAAAAATTCTGTCTAAAAAAACATTTTGCATTTTTATTTATTTTTGGAATTGTGGTTGTAAATGAACAAACACCAAAAAGACTATAACAGAGAGTCTGGATACTTACTCAATCTTATGCAGGCTGGGACAGGTCAGCATAAGCTGAACAATGCTGAAAGCACCATCAACTGTCAAGAATCTTAACGCCAGATTCATACCTTTAAGACCAGGAACAGACTTCACAACTGACAGCAGGGCATCCATGGACAGATCATATTCTAGACAACTGCAATAGGACATACATTTACACTTTAAAAAAGCCCATATATATGCAATAGCACGTAATAGGATGTACATATCCATATTGTTACTCACTGCTCAGTAAGGCCTTTCAGCTGATCGTAAAAATTGAAGAACTGTCTCCAGTCTATGTTATAGATTTCTGCGTTGTCTGTCATGATGAGGATGATACAGGGGACCACTTCGTGACTACCTAGTGTGCACTGTAAATCAAGCATCCTATAAAATAACACAGCAGTCATTAATTTATTTATTTAGACTCTTATTTAATGGTGACAAAAAAAAATTAAGGTCCACCCTGACTGGAAAGACCTTACTTCAACACAATTCAAGCCAGCCTAGAGATATACAGAAACACTTTAAGTCTTAAGTCTCTTAACTCAAAAGATAAAGAGAGAATGTGACGCTATCCCGTAATATCTCTCTTTGGAATTGCTTCTCCTCTCCCTTGAACCAACCCTTCTGTAGCCTGACAAACAAGACTGAATCCCTCAGAACAGTGGTTCCCAAACATACAGCCCCGTACCCCCTCAGACAAATGTCCTGCCGCTACTCCCTCTCTGTCACACTCAACACAAGGACATTGCCATAACGGATATGTAGGACATTGAGACTTTTAAAGGTCTTGTCTTATAAAACGTACTTAACTGTCACTGAGGTGTTACTCTCAAGGGTACATCCTCAGGACCTTCAGTTAGGTCTTGGAAATATAATTGGGGCTTACAACTATTACTGTACCTTTGATGGTATATTTACATTGTACCTTGGTGAATAAAAGTGTAGCCTATTTATACAGCATTTCTTCTGACACTAAACAACAAACAATTTTGTTTAATTTTATCTTAAAATAAATAACAGAAAAAATAAAGTTAGGTATGTTTCTGTACTTCTGTATTCGATGTACGGGTCAGTCTGGAGTTCTGGTAAGAGCTATGAGAGGCAAAGAATTGAATGGTCTACTTTTTTAATTAGAAAACCGACAGCAACAATATGAGGGAACATACATGTGTGTGAGAGTCTGCGACTGAACAGCGAGTAACAAAAATGTTCACTCATCTGAACCACAGATTACTTACATCCCCAGCAACATCATCAGCTCAACATTTAACGGTGCTATAAACATGTCAACAAAATGCTAAAAGCACTGATTCACAGCAGCTACAAACTAATGACTGAGTAGAACCGCGATCTAAACTGCATCTGCAAAAATGAAACTACCTCAAGACTATTTCTAACAAGCATCATGCAGGCTTTAACAACAGTAAAGGACAATCACTTCATTCATGCACACAGAGGCGCACGATAAACTGAATGAAGTTGCTATTGTTAGTTTCTCCAGAACGCACATGAAACACTTTCCTCTCAAATATAACTTTTTATAATAAAAGAGAAAAATACTGAATTATTAAAGCACAAGTCTGCCACATGCTGGAAGCGGTTTGTGTCACTCATATTGGGGTAAGTTCCTATGTAACTGTGTAGCAGGCGGATTAAAATGGTGTTCTCCCTCACTTCAAGATCACTCCAATACCACTCCATTCCAAGAGATTGAGGACAGTTTTTCCACACTGACCACCTCTGCTTTCTGACCAGTACTATTAGTGTGATTTAAATGCTTTCTAAGATTTAAACACTTCTTCTTAGACTTAAATACTTTCTTACTAGTGTGATGCTGAATGTAGTGTGCCAGACTACCTGCTGACAGGTTCTGTATGTAGGCTATAATTAAAGCTGCAGCTCTTGCAATTCCACTATTGCCCTCCTTCCATTTTCAATATAAAAACAATCGAGTGTTCAGCATTGTTACGGTCATGTTTATACACAATGATCTGCTAAGGCTCTGGTTAGGCTTACATTTAGAAATGTTAATTAACACTACATAACAATTAAAGAGTGAGACAGCTCAGTAGTTTTTAATACATACTCTGAGTGCATTTTGGACGGATAATACAAATGACTGCACCCAAGAGAGAGCACCGCTTTTTTCCTCAGGAAGACACTCGCAGTGTTTCTGAAAGAAAGAAAGCAGGAGAGAAAGTGAGAAAAAAAACAAAGATATTACTTCAGTTTAGGTGTACCAAAATTTACTTTCAAAGCATTAAAACAAAAAAAAAAGAAGAGAATAACAGTTTAGTCATGAGCTTTTTATATGTACTGTTAAAATAGTTAAGCCATTACAACATTCAGCCATGAGAAGCAGAGCTAAACAATTTAAAAAAATGTCAAAATAGTTGGAGGGGCATATAAGGAAGACTGAAAGTAAGATTTAAGGGTGGGATAATGGTAAAAAAGTACACTTACACTAAAAGCAAGTTGGTATTTAATGTCTAACCTTAAAGTGTCTCCTCTGACGATTTCTAGATTTTCACTTTTGTTTTCCACCTTCACCCTGCAGAAAATAAACACCAATTTTACACAAACTACAATAAAAAAGGTGATATATCTCAACAAACAAAGGGAAATCATACTGAAAATATTGTAGACTTGTGCATTCCTGGAAGAAGGAAAGTACGACTGCCCAGTTTCCAAGTAGACTGCTCAAGCGCAACGTAACCTCCATCAAACCAGGCAAAGAGCGGAGAACAGAGAAGAGTGGACATCTAAAAAAAGAAATTCTGTGAAATATGGCAGTTCAGATCTTAAATTCAAAAAAGCTAAAACTGTGTTATATTAAGAATGTCAGGAAACCACAGCGAAAGTTTCACCAGTGTTTCACCACATTCCTCTTCACAAAAATGTGGCTGCAGTGTATTTTATTTATATATATATATACACATATATATACACACACACACACAGACAGCTACTACCCCTACCCATAATTATACATTATACATAATACTTCTGCACATCAAGGAGGATTCCACTGATTTTTCTAAATTGCTGCATAATTAAATGGTTAAATATGTAAACAGTCATTAAAAGTGGTTTGACATTAAATGGCCAATTCTCGAGAAACCTTCTTAGTCTGAACTGTTCACAGCGGCGGTGACAGGAAACTGATGTCCAAAGTGTTTATGCTTCTAAAAGCTACATCACAATAAGATACCAAAATACCATTATTTTACTATAGGTTTTAGATAAGGATTTACCGTAACACATATTTGTTAATGTTTGTTTACGGCTTTGCAGGGCACTGTAAGGTGGAAGTACTGATAGAAAAAGTTTTTTACTGTTTTTTTAAGCAGTATTTTAGAAATATAACCATAAAAAGTCATCTTTGTCTTTTCTCACTCTCATCACTTTCAAGCTGTTCCCTGCAGCCAGAATGTAGGAAAATCATTTTGATGATTTTTGTCCAGCAAGACAACATACCTGTTGGGTGCCTTTACAAGACATTCTCAGGAGCCCTATTTGTAGCACTTTTACATTACTGCACAAATAAATCCATGACTTAGGATTTTTTTTCATGGAAATCAATGACATATCTGACTAGGCCCTACATGTTACTTGACAACTGCATGTAACTGTCAGTTGGGCTATTTCAATGAAATACAGTGACTTGTCAAATTTACTTAATAATTGTTTATTATGTCTTGAGTAAAACTAAACACCTTTCCCACTGGCCCCTGACATCAGTGATTTGCATATTGTTTTACTACTTGTCCTTTCCCCTACCTTTCTTAAACTCCTTGTTTAACAAGCTAGTCATGTTGTTGTTGACTGTTGTTGACTGAATTACCATTGTACCCTAGCACTGAGCTAAAACAGTGACAACTTACATAGATATACCTTAAACCCATGACTTGTGTTGCTTCTTCTACTTCATTAGTTAAACATAACCATATTAACCTGAATGTAGGAGTAATACATTCATTTAATCAGTCTGCTTAATTAGAATGTACAAAAAATCACTTTTGTGTGATTTACTTGAATTTGGTGAGTACACATTATTCAGTCAAAACACTTACAAGCTGATTTTAACTTTTTTATGCTACATTTACTTGTTTTATGAGTGTAGGTGAGGTGGTGTGGAATAATCCAGTCATACTGGATTATCATCATCCAGTTTACATTCTTCTAATACTACAATGTCAAAAACACCTTTTGACATTACAGACAGGGCTTTGTAAAGCCAGGCTATGTTAGCCTAATTTTCTTCTTGCTAGTTATTAGTTAGTTGGTTATTATGCATATCTACATAAACATTCCCTGTGTAAGTTCAACATCAAGAGCTATGTTACACGTACTACATTGTTAGTTGTCATCATTTGCTTTATCCCACCTGATTTTTTTATTTGATAATGTCTTTTCTATGAGTAAAGGGTTAATCTTTGTGCCATTACTGACTTTCTGTTTGCAGCTTCACAAAAAATAACGTCATGTGCAACACTCATTACTTGCAATAGTAAAATAGCTTTAAAGGTTTTGAAGTTATAGTAGAAAAACATCAACTTTTGTTTGTAGTATTCTAAAAAAACTTGCTGGTACAAAAAAGTGCTTGACAATAAGAGTATTTTTTAGTTGTAAGTTTATTACATAACTGTACACTCTAAATAAATGGGAATTTTAAAGTTTCCCGATGAAGCCAGTGTGTGCAATAAAGATCATTGGGCACATCGCACTTGCCTTTCCAGGGACTTCCTCATCTGGCAGAGCCTTCTGAGAAGATCCTCCCAATCCACATTGGCCCCTTCTGAAATGACTGGAAATCTAAGTGAGATTTCCCGCAGTACTGGTGTGGACTCCGTGCTCTGTGTTGTGTGAGGACTGAAACCAATCCATTCGAACAAATTATGTTAAAATCTTCAACTCAAGTAAATTCAGGTTTTAACATCATTCCTCGAGAGCCAAGGAAGAATATATTACTTTCAACTTTGTTACTAATATGTCGATATGAATGTCCAGTCTTAAATACCATCTGAGGAAAAACAAGACTACAGCATGGGCCTGCCTCTCCCAGCTTTAGTGTTCCATCAAATGTACTAATTAACCACATGACTGATAACAAAGGATCATATTATTTCCCTCTTTCCATACCTCCAAGCATGTGCTTTCAAATCCAAGCAGAGAACACCATCTAAAATGGAACTGAAAGGCAAAAAAGTCAACAACTAGTAAACATTTGCACTGGGTGGCTCATTATAGTAGTGCCTCATGACTTAATTTAAATGGCAAGTTATTCACACACACACATTTACACCTAGGGACAATAAAAAAAAGGAACAGAAACTGGTTGCCTGGCCGGGAATTCTCAGGCCCTTGTTGCTGCGAGGCAACAGCACTACCCACTGTGCCACCATTCATACAGAATACATTTTACATGTGTATTGTGAAGAGACTCCATCTTTCACAATAGTCTACTGAACTCTTTTTGCAATGTTGGGCTATTTCCAGTGTTGATGAAAGGTATAAAATAGTGGAAGACTGCAAAGTGGGGTAAATGGCAAAGGATCGCTGTTACCTCCTCCAAATGTATGCTGAAACAGTTGTGCAAGACAGAACATGTGCTAAACTACTCCTTTGTTTGCTCATATGGCAGTCTCACGCAGGCAGACATTTTACATTACCTCCTCTTGCACAAACACAATGAAATAAAAAGGACCTTAAAAGTCTTCTCACATTGAGCAGTGTGTTTGCAATGACAGAGAGCAGATGTCCTCTTCATCCATGCCCTTGAGACTTTCCACATTAAACCAACTAATGAGAGAAAACAGCAAAATGATTAAAATAGAGTTTATTAACATTACTTCAGTAGTGCTCATTTATTACATTATCCAGACAGAACTGGAACAGATGACATCAACCCAACTATATGAATCCATGGGTGTGCTGCAGGTGTGTTGAAACATTGTCAGGAAAATATGCATAAATGTGATCTCTGTAGAAGATGTGTAACTTATGTTCACTTAGAAAATTAACAAAACATGTCATTTGAACAGGGGTGCCCAAACCTTTGCATGCAACTGTATATGCATATGTGGCTAAAAGAGTAAACTGACTTATGTAATGGTTGCCTAATTGCAGTCATGCATGTAGTCAATAGGCCTATGAATATTTTCCAGGGGGTGCTGCTGAATGATTTTCAGGTAGTGCTTCAGCGTTTCCTAGCCCCATACCTGAGATATTTTCTATTTAAATCCATTCAGGCATCACTGTTACTTCAAAGCTGATTAATGGTGGAAAAATCACACAAAGACGTAAACACAGACAATCACGCAGACAGGGTTTTGCACAGTACTGCGCTCAAGAATGTGTCACAACGCAATTTGTAAAGCAACACAAGCGCAAACTGCATTCTGAACATTACAGTAAGGGGCGCTTTTGCGACAGCCTGTCTTGTACCGCCAGCGTGCTTTCTCAATTGCCATAGCAAATAGCAGTTGAGTTTCACACAAAAATGGTTTGCTTACATAAATGTAAACATATATGATACATTATCGCCTTTTTATTCCAACAGAACAGGTAAAGCAGCTCATGCTCCTCTACTGTCCACGTTTAGCTGTTAAGGCTGTTGCATAATAGTAGCTCTCATTCTGATTTGTCCTCCGTCGCCCCCTTGAGTACTGAGTGTTTTAACTGCCACAGTAACATAGGAACGCACGGTGAGCTTGAACAGAAGGGCCGGGCATTTAAAATGTGTTGGCCTGGCATTGTTTTTTGCATTCGCATCCTTGGGCAAAGATGAAGGTAAATGTAACTACATTACGTTATTGCTATATTTGCTATGTCTGGCTGAGTTTCTTCATTCAATAAAGCCTGAAGCCTTGTTTATACAAAACAAAGTGCTGTTTGATGTTTTCATTGGGTCGTGTCCATGCTTTTAGGTTTGTAGTTTAACAGTTAAAACGGTGGGTTATTGGTCAAAAGAATTTGCCAAGAATCCCATCCCCACCCACGAGTTCGGACCTGGATAACAAGTCTGGCTGGCACCAGTTCAAACAAATTAACTTGTAAAACACAAATGTGACTTTTTCTCCAATGTGCTAAATGTAGTTCATGTAGCTTTGTGTATTTACCAACTGTCAAATCCAGAGTTTAATGCAGGTGTGGCATGGCAGAATGAAAGGATCTTTGCAGCACACTTCTGACTCAAGCTCTTGGCATCAAGGTGCACCGTAGGCCAGGATTCAGGCCCAGATTTAAGGAAAGACACTAATTCTTCCATATGCCCATGGAACTCATGATTTTCACTAGAAAACATGAAACAACAAACATTAGTGAATATTTTACATCTTTGAATATTTTATATTAAATAGGCAAGAAACACTAAAAGCATAATTCAAGAATATTAAAATACATATTTCATTTCTTTGTTTTAGGAAGCATTAAGGGCATCTTCTGGAATATTTCGGTTTGCTTCAATAGTCAGTCACAGGATTACAGCTAGTATTGATGTCTATTCTTTACATATGGTTTTATCCACTGTCAAACCATTCAGAAGGTGGGTTCTATTTCTTTGATCTCTGTACTAAGTAGTTTAAAAAAACTAGAAGAGGCAGATGAAATGATCTTACATTTGTTTTAGATTACTTGATATCTGAAGGAACTTCCTCCACTCAGAGGGTGACATCACTCGTTTAAAGTCACCACAGCTGAGGCAGATGGACTTGAAAGTCTGTCCAGATTTCCCAGAATCAATGTGCAAGTCATATGTATTCCAACTTGGGTGACAAACATATATTCTGAAATTTCAAAGCAGAAAATGTAAAATACAGAAAGGCTTTTCAGAGCAATATAAACGTTTTTAAGTTCAAAGCATTACCACAGTATTTCTAAAAAAAAGGTATCAGACATATTGTAAATATACAGAGCACATTGGTTTTACTATACTTTATTAAATTGTATCATATTTAAAGTTCAATGTCCATGAGTAGAGTTTCACCTGTGAAACATATCTGGACCTGACAGTTCAAGATCTGAGCAGATGTTCTCTTCACTGTTCCTGCAGTTTGTAGCCACACTTAAACAGGAAAGACATATGTAACATTAGGGTCTCAGGGACTGCATATCTGACACTAGAAGTTACATTACAAAACAAAACATAAAAAAAATACAAAATATATTACAAAAGGGTATAACACCTATGTGTGCCCAAGTGTGCGTCTGCAGTCTGTGTGATTTTTTTAATTAAATGCAAGACCAGTGACACTGTGCACTTTTAACATTTACCTGAGGTTGTTTGAAACCAAGTTACTCTCAACAATGTTCATGAAGATTTCAGCATTGGTGTAATTGATTGTCTTCACTGATAGATGAACGCTATTCACTGATTTGCGTTTGCGCAGTGCGCTCATGATCCCCTTCACACTTTGGTCAGAGAGATCACCATCTTCTACACTGTGGCAATGTCAAAACAGAACATAAAATTAGAGAAATTTCAGCCACTGAGCATACCAGAATGTTGTTTAATTAAAGCACTTTCAGTTTTTGGTTGAAAAAGAAGTCTTAACAAAAAACAGACTAAATAGACCTACAACAAAGTAAAAAATGTAAGACATTACAAATTATTTTTATGGTAATGAAAATAGAAGAAATAGTACTTAAAATGCTTTTTGTTCCTTTCACTTTCCATAGTGCTGGAGTTCAATGCTGTGTTTAAATGAAGCCCATAACTTGGAATTTTGCATATCTGACTAGGAAAAATCAAAGAAAACCCCCCCCTCAACTAGGAAAGTTAAGATTGTGTTGTCAATCTCAAGGTATGACATCAAATCAACATGATGCTCACACAATCAACAGTAATAAAGAACAAGTTCTCTACAGTAAAATTATATTTTCTCTAGAACAACATACAGAATTAAAATGGTGGCCATAAAGGTCACTATGCTGAGAAAGTAAATACATTATAAACATGTTATCATGTTTTCCCCTCAACTCCGTAGCTTGAACACGAGGATGTTATAAATGGTCTCATGACAAACTACAACTTCCCATATCCGAGCTTTAAACACAAATCATAGCACTGAAATATATTTCTTTGAAAATCATTATATGTAGACTATTTGGTGTTAATTAACCACTATGAAATTCAAAATAGTTTTATTTCAATGTTCAGAAATGTACATTTATTTTTACATCAGATTTCAGAAATCAGGAATTTGTGTTTGCATATTTTTCAGTATTTAAAAATACAGATTAAATAATTCAATATAATCAATACTGTAATCTCACTGCATTTAAATATGGAGAGGAAGTATGTAGCGTGCAGTGATGGTTGAGTATTGTAACGCTGGCACAAAAGAAGATGCGGAAAACATAGCACATATGGGCAAATGCTCTTTATTTAACAAGCACTTCAAAAGCAAGTCTTTACAAAGACTAGAAATGCCAAGCGCTACCCCAACGTGAAACATGGGAGGGGTAGCACAGGAGGACACAACACTTGAGGAGGGTAGACACTTCTAACCATTAGTTAACTGCTAATCACACACTCCTCAGACTATTACTCCAATAAACAAAAGTACCACTAAACCACAGAACAACAGTCCATCTTAAACCGGGAGCATGGTACCGCTGAGCATAAGCTCATAACATAGCGCAGAGCTGTTGTTGTTGTTGTTATTATTAATATTATTATTACGGATGCATCAATACCATTATTCGGGTATCAGACCGATACCAAGCTCAATTATAAAAATTCACTGGTACCAACATTCCAATACCCGCTAATAGCTTATGACATAGGCAGTAATACACTATGTTTTTACCCGGTTTTTAAAAAAAAATACACAAACACAATTACAACTGCTCCCCTATTACAGGTGGAGACACAGAGGCAAAATGGGGGTGAAAAAAGTCATCTATGCCAACTTTACTTACTTAACGTACTTTACTTACAACTGTACAGAAGTGCTTTTCTGACAAGGAACAAAACCTGCTCTTCTCTACTTCAATGCTACTCCATCCAAGGTAACCGATGTAGCATTGCTAGCTATATTGTTAAATAATACCAATGTCTAAATCAGCTAAATTTGAATTATTTAACTGTTAAGGTACAAGTAATTCATCATGATATTAGTGAGTACTAAGAAACATGTACTCATATTCTGTCTGAAAAAATGGCATCGATGCATCCCTAATTTTTATTATGATTATTTTACAGCAAACCAGCTCCATGCTTTATATTATTAAGGAGCTTCTCCGGTCTCTCAAGAGGGAGACAGTGTAGCACGGCAATTTAAAATAGCCCACTGCCTTTATTTTTGGACTGAAGACAGTCCAAGATGAATGGAAGTGAACAGAGAGCTTCTCTCAAATGGTCCTATCAGGTCTAAGCAGCTTACTTCTGATGGCATGCACTGGAAATCAAAAGCCGAGGGCCTGGTCTGAACCAGTGCAAAATGCAAGATGTACAGAATTTTGGTGGATTTTTACAAATATTTGGTATGTTAGCTTCCAGACAGCTATCGTCAACAAATCTTTCACACACTGGCATCTAAAAAATAGACATAGAACAGTTGGCAATTAAATAAAATACACTGGTTAGTTTTTAATTAATAACGGAAAAACTCTCTTACTCTCCTCTACCTTTTGTCCTATGGCAAGATCCCCATATAGCTAGAGTTAGAATTTAAGCATAAATATCCCCACAAAATGGTTGATTTCATGGAGAATCCCAATGAATCCGGCAAAGGAACAGTGGAGTGCATACTGTGCTGTCTAGAAAAACTTGGGCTGTTGCTGGGTCAAGTGGCAGCTTTCAGCGCTGACAACACAAATGTTATCTACGAGATCCACAATTCAGTCTACACCGCCTTAAAGAAAAGCCAAAATAATCTTCTACAAGGTAACTGCCAAGAATTCACTGCATTCATCAATACTGCCATAAAGTACAGTGAAAAGTGGTTTGACTTTTCCACCAGCAAATGGCTTCACGGTCTTCTCTCTCCATGACTCTGAAAAGGTCACAGAAAGTCACGGAAAACCAATCAGCCTTCTGGAAAAGCTTCAGGAGGACGATCAGTGGAAGAGCACAGACTTGGCTGTCAGGTGGATGGGCTGTATTTCAGGCAGCTGATTTCCCCAATATGTTGTCGATCATCTCCTGGAACTTGAGCATACCAGCCTCAGGAGGGTATACGGAGAGAATTTTCTCCTGGATGGCAAACAAATGGACTGATGTCCGGAGCCAGTGCTCTGTGAAGCTTGTGAGGAGTGAGCTCCTGATCTAACTTAACTTCGACCTGACCTGTGCCAACTTTCATTCAGTCATACTGAAGGACAAACCATTGCTTAATGCAACAAGGAATGCTAAAGTACTCACTGAGGAACAAGTAGAAAGAGAAAGAAATTGATTACTGGGTTCACAAAAAGACAAAACAAAACAAAACAAAAAAAACTTCTGACTAGCTCAGTAACTACTACATAGTAAAGTGCTGCATTGAGAGAGAAAGAGAGAAACTGAATTGGATGGATGACAATTGGATGTATCTTATTTATTCCATTTAATCTATACAAAATAAGCTCGAGCTTGATGTTTATCCACACTTACTGCACCGCTTCGTACATACTGTTTAACTAGAGCTTTGTCTGAATAGCTGAATGAACCTTTTTGTCCTGTTTGCCTTTCTTGATTTTGCTCTTATCTTTAATCCAATATTCATGTATATCCACATGCTAGTTAGCTCTGCCAACTTTTAGTTTATTTAGTTAGCTTCAGATCAGTCAAAATCATGGAAAACAGATAGCAGCCCTAAAGCCCTAAATGTCACAAGATGACATTATGTTCTTATTAGCATATTTGTGACATCATCATGTTGCATTTGCATTCTGCAAAGTATCAGATGGTGTCAGCCTTTTACAGCTGGTTGCTTTTCTTCTACTCTCTGTGTCCACATATACTGTGTTCTATTACCAATAAAGCTGTTCTCATTTACAGATTGTTCTGTTTCTGTTGTAAGACAACAGGATTAGTATAAAATAATAATTGAAAGAAACGTGGCCAGTTAACTACAGGTTAATCAAGTCACTTTCAAGTCATTTCGAAGCTGCTGCTCTGCACTGCTAAAATTTTAACCAAGACGTCGTCTGACAAAATCATCAAACATTATTTAACGACAACGGCTGTGCTGGGATTTCAGGTATGTTAACATGTAAAATTATCAGTCAGAAAGAAAGAATATCAGAATATCATATTTTTTCCCCTCATCTAGTGCAGAAATGAATGACACCCATGGGTGATCAGTAATAACACCCAAAACAATCAAATTAAATTGTTTAAATTAAAACAATGGAAGAGCAAATAATCCAGATTGTTGATTGTTCTTTGGCAACACTACCAAACAAAAAGTTGCTAGATTTCACGCTAGTTGAAAAAACAAAAAAAGTCGCTAAAGGGGTCTGAAAAGTCACTACATCAAGTTCACAACACTGATGGTGGATCTCCCAGAAAACACTGTTATGACATCACATTTCCATATATGCATAATACAGCAAAACAACAGAAGCAGAAAGTCCCCACTAGCACACTGATGCCATCTGTAGCCCCTATGACATTCTGATGAACTGTTGAGGAAACTGAAAAAATGATTACCTCAGACACTGAAGGTCTTTTCCTTTTCCCACAGCTGAGATCAGATCAGCAACATCAATATCTGACACATAGCTGACACTTAAGCTGAAAAAAAAGACAGTAAGATAATTCAGTACTAAAACACCAAGTGAATGAGTGTGTTTACATGTACTTAATAATTAGATTAATGTAGAAAATCAGATTTTGTCAGTAATCTGTTCACTGCGTTTACATGTACTTCAGTAATCAGATGATGCGAAAATCCGGGTCTACATGAGTCAGGCAATAATCAGAATTCTACTTTGCAACAATCCACTGAACTCACAGAAAAAGATGTGATGTAAAAGTAACATAAAACTCATCATCATGCCATGGCTTTTTTAAACATCGAGCCACGTTCACTGAATATATGAACATACACCATCAATATTTCAATTCTTCATTTCATCAACCATGTAGTTGGTTTCAGTGTCACTCCCAAAGTGTTTTTATCACATCTTGTAGGTGCTTTGTTAAGTACTTTTCCTGGTACCATGGTCTATTTTTGCATATTCACAGACTGAGAACAATGAAAGAAATCAGAGTAAGAATATACATGCACTGTAAAACCTGATTACTGAGCTAAAATCCAGCTCTCTTTATCTGACTTTTTAATCTGATTTCTAGGCCTTAATCCAATCTGAGAAATCTTGAACAAACCACTTGAACAATCAGATAACTGCAAAAATCTGGTAATGATATCAAGAGCATGTAAACACAATGATAAAATGTCACTTAAACTGCAATCACATTACCACTATACTAACAGAGTATATATTAATATAATATATAAATATACTATATAACTAAATCACAGAGTAATGCTGCTGAACATTGTGTTGACGATGAAATATAGTGATGATAATACTAACTGTAGTTTATCACATTTGTTCAATGTTGTGTGAAGCATTTTTAGATTCTCCACTGTACTTCCTTGCAATTTCAGGCTTCTGATACGTCGACAGAATTGCAGACACTGTGCTGCTGCATGGTAATCTGTCATATCTGAAGAACTCAGTTGAATTTCAACTCCATTTGTTTCCCAAATCTTCATAGCTTTTTCCACAATGTACTTGTCGTTGACCTCACACAAGCACTGAAGAGTAAAACTGCTCAACTGCATGTTGAGTTTTCGTGAGACAAATTTGTAGAGCCATTCTTGCAGCTGGGCACATGTGGTACAAGACACTGCCTGTTGATGCTTCTCCATGAGTAAGGACTTCACTGCCTTGTTAGAGAGACCAAAAAGAAACTGGACAATAGGTAAGCAATGATAACCACCCTGCAATGAATCAGTAAGCAGCTTTTCTAATTTTAGCTTGGCCTCTGTTTCATCAAGGAAAGTGTACAAGAGCGCAGCAAAGAACTCCTGAAAGCTGAGATGCATAAAAGAAAACATTTCCTTCACATTTATTCTGTCTTTGCAATGAAAGGTGCAGAGGAAGGGAATTCTGGTCGAATCTAAGACATTTAAAATCGTCTCAGGCACTTGGTTTCTCTGGAACAGAACTCTGCCTTTAAGAATACCTTTATGCGCTAGTTGGCCAAGGTCCTTCAGCAGGTCACGCTGTTGAGATTCAGTTAAGCCTTGGCAATGATGCTCCAGCAGAATAAACACAAAATCAACAAATATGGAGGTGGTACTTCTGAATCCACGTGTCATCCTTTTACTCATTTTGCTCTTTTCCTTAAAGACACTGCAGATAAGCCAGCACATGACTGGACTGGAACAGGCTGAGTAAAGTGTTCCATTTGCCTTAACTTGGCCATAAACTTGTCTGGAACGCCCATCATGCTTGAAGAACATTTGAAAGTACTGTTGTATCCCGTTCTCAGAGAAGCCCATGATCTCAGTGAAGCGCTGTGGATGCTTGAGTAGCTTTCCCAGTTTTTCAGCCGCTACTGACCTTGTGGTCACCAGCAGAAAGGACTCGTTCAACATGCATCCCCTCAGAAGGGAGCTTAGAACAGCACCAAGCCCGGCTTTGATGTCTGCTTTGACAGGCAATGGCTTTTTAGGCAGTGAAAGCCTGAGTTCATCGAACCCATCAAGCAAGAAAAGTACTCTCTCTGGTGTTTTCTTTAAGATCTGAGCCATTTCCTCACTGCAGTTCAGAAGCTCCACCAGACTTATGTCTCCAGCAATATCATTGAGCTCTGAGCATCTCAGATGAAAGACTACATCAAAGATTCCTGCAAAGAGATTTCCATTCGCCCAGTCGTAAAGGATCTTTTGTGCTGTGAAAGACTTTCCACTTCCAGAGTTGCCTTGGAGAATAACAGCTTTTGGACGCATGCTGTTTGGGCTATCCTCTTGACTGAACAGCTTGTCAACAGTAATATGGTGGTCTGTATGGTGGGTTCTGGCATGGTGGAAATCTTCTCCTTTGGAACAAATCTCTTTTTTTTTCTCTTTCTTCTCCTTATGTCTCTGGATGATGAGTGGATCCACATAACGATCTAAAAGCTGCACATGTTGACCAGGAAGGGAGGTATATTCCCTAATGCATGCATGCTCAGCCACCAGTGACTTCTTGTATTTTGCAATCACAGAAGTTATATCTGGCAATGACAAACCAAAACAAGGTCAGTTTCATCTTACAAAACATGCACAGCAGTGAGCAACGTGTGATGCCTTCACAATACTGTTAAAAACGTTATTACTGCAACAGATAATATTCCTTTTCATGTGAATTTGGATCATATTTTTAATGGGGATTCCCATCAATTTTTAAATTATACTGCCCCACTCAATTATTGAGCAGTAAACTAAGTGTTACTGTTTTGATGTGAAATGCAAGAAACAATGTAAATATAGCAAATTTAAATACAAAATTGTAAAACAGTAATAATAATAATAATAATAATAATAATAACAAAACAACAACAACAACAACAACAATGATAATAGTAATTATTATTATTATTATTACTATATCTATCTATCTATTACTATATCTTACAGCTATTGTAAGAAGAATAACCATATAATGTAATAACTTTGTGAGGGAGCTTTTATAGTATGGTTCATCACCACAGTCAACAAAACTGATTTGGTAAGTTTCTCTAGAATGAAGCATTTCACACCAAATCACTCTGAATGCCTTATACATCTTAAAAAAATGTATTTTACGGATATTCTGAAATTAAAATTTCCCTCATTAATAGATGTTTGTCAGATTGTAATATTTTATTTGAACTATAAAATATAAAGGCATATAAAAAATATATTGTCACTGAAATGCCAAATTAACATACCTATCTCACCTCCAGAAAGGCTTGCACCTACAAAGAGGTTTATAAAAGCACATGTTTTTCAAGTATGCACTTTTCCTAAATTACAAAATGATGATAATAACAATAACAACAGTAATAATAATAATAATAATAACAATAACAATAATAATAATAATCACAAGTTTTATATATAAAATATTTTATATCAATGATAATTTATATCTCTTAAAGCTTTTAGATTTAACCTAAAGTAGTTATCCTTACCACCATCATTTTTTGCGAACGTCACGTCCCTTGCCTGTACATTCGACAAAATCGGTGCGAACACCCGAGCACCCGATCCTACATGCATGTTGATGTTTAATCCAGATGACCGTGAATCTCCTGCTCTTATAAAAGAATTGTCCACTGTAAAAAAAATAATAATAATAATAATGTTTTGAGGCAACATAAAACCTCCATACCATTAGACCACAATCTAATCTAATGTTTTCACTATTTCAGTTCATGTTTACGCTCTTCACCACTTTTGTGATTCTGGCTTAATTCAGGGCTAAACTATTCAGATATGAATATCTCCTTAACTACATAACGTTTCTCCAACTGAGCACACTGTCTACATGCACTTGGCGATGTTCAATAATCAATATCTAAATCATACTAATACAATTACATTCTCGCCAACATAGTTTGGCAGTCAGAGTGAACTGTGAAATGTTTCCAGAGATCACACTCACCATAACCACGGTCCTCCTCCATCGTTCATTCTTCATTCACACAACTGGAATAAGCTGCTAAATAGGAAAATACCTCAGTTGTCTGGGCCAGTGGGATCCTAAAGCTGCTTGAAGAATTGTTACTAAAGAAGTGACACATAAGAAATAAGGTGATAATATAAAAGGCAGATTATGAAAATTAGGAATTCTATCCACATGTAAAATCAAAAACTTTAACTGTGCTCCTGTCTTGACTCATCAGCTCGCCTACACTACTGCATGCCCTGTTGTCCATCAGACTACCACATGCTAAACAGGCCTATTAGGTTTCTCTTAAAGGATTACTAAGCTACTCAGTCTTCAAGATAAACAGACAAACACCAACCATCTTACATTTCAGCTAATGTTATTAGCCCAGTCATGTCACAATTTATTTCACCTCATATATTAAGCTTAAAAACAGTGAGTTTGTGAAGAGTTAGTTTGCCGATACCAAATGTGATAAATTGGCTAAATGACGTTGAAAGCTGTATTCCATTATATCTTCCATATATATCTCCTCTGCTTCAACAACGCTGCCATGAAGCCCTGCCCACTGACCTGTGAGCTGCCTTGTGACTGGCCAGGATTGAGTTCGATTACATCCAGGCTCGACTGCTCTTTCTGAGTACCCTGGATGTTTCACCCGGATTTTTTTAATCTGAATTTTACCTGAATTTTTATTACCTGATTTTTTTAAATTAAATTTCAATACCTGAATTTCAAATATCTAAGATTTCACAGACATTTTCAGTAACACCTACTTTCACAGGCTTTTTTTTTTTTTCCAAGCATCATAAATTCATGTTTAGCATCATGAATTCAGGTTCAGTTTCTGGTGACACTGGTTTCACAGAATTCATGACTACAACTCAAGCAAAGTGAACAGAACACCTCAAGTTTGGTCCTAAGTCCTAAAAGATTTCTACTAAGAATATTCTACATGGTCTCAATATAAAAATCACTGAAAGTCGATGAAAATTGCTACATGGAATTAAAGTATTTGTGTTAAAAAGATAATCTATTGTATAATACACTTTATATGTAAAATCAAAATGCTTGCCTTGTCAACAAAATCCTGCACTCACAGCAGATCCAGGCCCAGACTAAGAATCTCTGATGCCCCTGGTTGTTATAGCCATGGTGCCCCACTGCTAAGAACAAAACATTCTCCTAATCACACACACTGCATTTCCAGTGACCTTATCACCAAAGTCGTATGAGGCCAAAATGAACAAGAATCACACAGTTCAGTCTTTACACCCCAGAAGCCGAGAATTTCAGAACTTACCTTTTACACTATATAAGTAGGAAGGAGACATCTGAGATGATGTCAAGTATTTTACAACAAATCAAATTTTAGGACCAGAACAATTGTTTTATGTGTATAAAAAAGGTGTTTGACAGCACACACCTTCAAACCGTTTTATTGGAGACTTGTTTTCACAGCTCCTCAGCTTTCAAAATCATACATCTGAAATGACATCTCACTTGCAAAGATCGCTAACGCCAGAATCAACGTGAATGAGGTGCCAAAACGATCATTTATCATTCACTGTCCATAATTCCTAAGGTATAAATAATGCCTATGCCTACGCCTACTGAATGGTTAAAAGCTGGATTAAAAGTCAAACTGAGTGTAGCCTATGAACAGATTTCAAACAAACTGAACATAAATATACAAGAAGTGTGGTGCCCCTAGCCTTTGAGTGCCCCTGGGCAGTCACCCACGTCACCAACATGGTAGATCCGGCCATAACTTTAATTAATACAAAACAATGATAGGACTAAATTAGAACGTTAATAGGCTTAGGTTTTACCTACTTACCAACTGCCAGGAAAGAAAATATTTATATGAGTTATTATATGAGTTTCCTACTCACACTGACAGTCTCTTCAGGTTTTTTCTTCAATCAGTACTGCTGAACAGCAATGCTTCCCTAATGCTAGTCAGTTTCTGCTGTTCTACAGTACAGTGTACGTCTACAGGACGTGTACAGTCTCGCTGATGAACAAACAAAGGGGAGGTGGGTGGAGAGGTAGGCGTGTGGAGAGATCACATCTTTAAAATGCCTTAAAGGGGAATTCCATTGATTTTTCAAAATTTCTGCATAAGCAAATGGTAAAGATGTAATCAAAGTCATTCTGAGTGGTTTGGTGTGAAATGCTCCATTCTGAAGACTCTTACCGAGTCAGAATTGTTCACAATGGTGGTGAAAGGAAACGTCTGAAGAGTTTTTTGAGTCTAGAAACTCCCTCACAGAATGTTGTTACATAAAATGACTGCGGAATATGTTGACTGATGTCTGAGACATTGCTAAACGTGTATTTTTAAAACCCAAGAGGTATATGCAGGGTGTTTTAAGGTAAAATAGTTCCCAAAGACTAAGGCTCCATTCGGACAAGATTATTTACATGAGGAGGTAGGTTAGTCATTTTTACTGATGTCCTCCTGTGACTTTAGACCCCTCCGAATGCACCATGTCAATCATTCTACTGCCTTTTGACCTACAATAAAACAAGCCACAGAAATAACACTAGGTTATATAAATACTGCGCACATTAACATGTCCGTAAAAACACCATATTCTGTGGAAAAAAGAGATTAGGTATGGAAGCATTTACTTTTGTTCTCTGTGGCCAAAATCTAGCTGATATGTGCGGTCCATCTTTGAATGTACAACTCAGAACATTACAACATGCAAAAAAATACAAAAAAAAGTTTGATTTTATGCTGCCGTGTTGTCTGTGTATAAACTCCCAAGCTAATGACATTGCTAATGACAGTGCATTCACTTAAGACAGCACGACAGATGGTTTTCATGTGTTTTCAGTATTACATATAAAAACCTCACATTAATAGGGCTATATTTGCGTTTTTTTGCTCACCTATCACAAGTTCATTGCGATCGTGCTTTTGTTAACTCCAGTAAGCAGTAACCCTCCACAGCTGCAAAAATCACTTCTGCTCCACGTTCCATGGTCCAGATATGTTGTGCAGAAGTGATTTTTGCAGCTGTGGAGGGTTACTGCTTACTGGAGAGTTAACAAAAGCACGATGTCTGCCTCAATGACAAAATCCTTAAAAGTGCGGGAGCATTTAACGCTAAACTCAGAAAAAAAGGTTGTAGTTGTGCTATTTGTGAAGCTGACCTTAGCTGGCATGGGAGCACATCCTCCACGCTGGAGCATTTGAGAAGGAAACTCGTCGGCTCACTGGACAAAGATTGATCTCAATAAGATATGCCACGTCCCAAACCGCATACTAGCACACTAAATAGTGGGCAAATATATATATATATGTGTGTGTGTGTGTGTGTGTGCACTCATTACTGTAGTTTGTGAAGTACAGAAGTGTGTGGTTTGGGACGCAGCAATAGCTGTGCTAGCGCGCTAGTTAGCTAATGTTAATGTTAGTGCTAGTTAGAAGCCGTCTTAAAAGAGCTGTAACATTTTCTATTTCTAAATGCAGGTTCTCTGGAATTGTTAAGGGAGTTGGAACAGAGAAGCAAGTAACTATTATTCACTGTTCGCTTTTCAGATAACATTCACACTTTTAAACATTGCATCGGTGTCTTAGTGTCGAGGCCACCAGTGCGTTCAAACTCGGCGAACACAGGACACAGGAGAGCGTTTGCACACAGTTTCCTGTTTTCCGCGAACGTTTGGCTCCACTCACAAACAGTTTCAGGAGGTAGTTCTCAGTGGACATACAAGGCAGCTGGACAAAGTGTTACCGTCGAAATAAACTGTTCATAGAGAAGTTTGCCACAAATGTTCGGCACTTTCCCATCCGCTCCATCAGAGCGCGTCTCCTCTGCAGCGGTGAATATCTGCTCTCAGAGGAGAGCGAGACTCTCATAGGAGCACGGAGAGATGATGACTCTCTTCCGCATCAATAAAGACCTGTGACTGTAAAATTTAGCTGCAACAGAGTGTAGACAGACAGCAGAAGCACAAAGCACAGTTTGAATTTAAAATTTAAATTTAGATTGGTCCCCCGTCCCAATTTTTATTTACTTGATTTAGGGAAAACTGATTTAGTTTTGTTATATTTTAATGCTGATACTTTGCACATCCTTGGTTTTCAATTTTAACAGGAAAAAGATATCTGTGTTTTATTTATCTTTTGTATTAGCAGGAAAGTTCATTAAAATGGTGAATTTTTGAATAAGATATTCATCTTTATTATCTTCATCTTATTATCTAGTTAGTTAGTTAGTTAGCAAATGCATAAAACAAAAAAAAGCTAAATTTAAAGGCTGATAGCTACATCAGTGTTATTTGGTAAAGTAGTGATTCATAATCCAAATAATCGATTATTAATTTCAGTAATCGATCGATTATTCGACTGTGAAATTAATCGTTTGTTGCAGCCCTACCTCTGTCACACCCTATGTTAAATAAAAGACCCGATATGTTTTGTCCTGCGTACATTTTTCTCTTGAACATCACTGGATCTTCTAAATTATGAGGTTGTTAAAGAGTCTTAATAGGCTACTAATATTGCTACATGCAAGCCAATGCTACTGCACATCAATGTGATGTCACAAAGCTACACTAAAGTAACGTGGGCTATGGCGGTGTTCTAGTGAGTTGTGATACCTTATCGAAATGTCCTACTGTAGTGCATTTGTACAGGTATGCCCATAAATAGAACCTCCAGGTAGGACATTTCAATAGCCTAAAACTCCAATCATTCTCTCAGGGAAATTCCTTTCAGACCCGGAGCTCTTAATATGGGCATAAGAGCATGGCGCCGACAATAAAATGATAAAAAGACCACAGTGGTCTATTGGCTGGTGGTGATAAGACCCACCTAGTAAATATATTCTACACACTGCTACATAAACACCAGCCTTGCGTCTCGTTGGAAAATAGAGAGAAACCTGTCAGTAATGGCGGATTACAAAAAACATAAATTATCAAAGAGGCAGTGAGTAAAGCTGCTAACTTGTGTGTTTATGCTAGGTAGGCTTTAGTTAGGTACTGTCAGAGCCGGTTTATGAGGAGCCTGGCCTCTTCCTATTCCCCCCCTTATATCAAAAACAGGACTGCTGAACAGCAGAGGGCGCCCGTGCGCGAGTCCTCAGTGAATTGGAGTAAATGGTGCTCAAAGACTAAAAACAAAAAGTTAAAATAGTTTCTAATAACTCGCCCATAACGTTTCTTTAATTTTAGAAAGTAGAAGGATGTATTTCACTAAAAAAACAAAGAAATCTCACCTACATTTTTCCTTTTTTCTACAGCAAACGGGTTTTGGGCAGCAGAAGGCGGGCATTACCGCTAGAGCGTGCTGACTGATTGGCGAGCGGAGCAGCTCATTGGCTGTTCGCGCTCACTGACGTCATGAACATACATGAGGTGCCGTTTTAAACTCTTATAGCTCGAGTTTAAAAGCTCTTAAAAATATAACAGCAGTGTTAAAATGTTTTATGATATTCAGTGTACTCTCTAGATCTGTTGCCGGAGGTCTGCCGCTCTGCAAAGTTTAGTTTGAACTCTAATCTACGGCTACGTTTACACAGCAGGGAAAAGTGGCCCAAATCCGATCTTTTTCTTCATATATCACACAGATGCGTTACCTTTGAGGCAGTGTGAACAGCAAAAACGCATTAAATCTGCTTGGGGTAGCCTGATGTAGTCAGACATGAGAATATAGCGCACAGCCATGCCAAAATCATGGATAATCAAGCAAACAGACGCCTTGCTGGTGCCAAACAAGTTAGACAACGTGCGGTAACCCATCCCTGTTGCCAGCCAGTACAACACAACTCCTACTTGCTTTCTCAGGGATATGGTTCGCCTCATGTGAGTATTTTGCTTCTGTTATACATCGGACAGTCGCTGACATATGTAGCTGAAAGTTGCCCGCGACATCCTGAAATTCTGACTCCTAAACTCCTAAAGCATATTTGTCTGTGACTTCAAATTTACTGATACACGTGAAACTACAAATTTCACTGTCACAGGTGTTCAGTTGTTTTGCTCCAATGATTCCTTTATACACTTCAGCCAAGTAAAGCCTTTTTTCCATGTTGAAGTGAACTACCAAACATGCTAACTGCACTCCTGTTGGCCACACTGAGGGCAATGGAAGATTTTTGAGGGAGGCATGAAACAATTTGTCCTACATATTGAGTGGTCCTACTGAGCATTTGTGTATTATTACTATAGTGTAGTAACTTAGTTTCAAGTGTTTTATTGTTTTTAATCTTAATTCAGTACAAACTCAACTTAATATTATTCCTTACTTCCTTATAAGGTGATTCAGGCCATCAAAATATACTAATTATTCTTTTAATGCTGGTACCGTTTTATAATAAGGAGATTCAGGCTATCAAATTATCCTACGTATAGATTTTGGTGCTGGTCACATTTTCTGACAGGGTCATTTAAGCCATAAAAATATCCTACCTACAGTTTTATTTAGAGCGCTACCTTAAAATATATGAGAAAAGTCTATAAGTATGTTTCTGAAACAAGTCTAAACATTTAAAGCTGCTGATCTGGCTTTGTTTTACTTGTCCTAGTCAACTGGGCAATAAATCTTATGGTGTTGAAGCCTGCTGCTTTGTGCATGCTTAGACTGTATTTGGTTTAAACCAAAAAAAACAGCAGGCCTAAGCAAAGTTTTTCAGTTGCATGTATGCTTGTTTGTGCATGTCAGTATGCATGTTAATGTTTCCAGGCTGTGCAAACTGTTGAGCAAGTTGGGTAGGTACTGGGTTGTGGGAGTGTGAGTAACAGTCATTAACACCGATTATTAACCCCAGGCAGGATTCTGCAGCTGAACGCTGTGTTGCTCACCCCCACCCCACAGTACAGTATCAAACCCTGCAGCATAACTGGACTCCTAAAAAAAAAAAAAGGTTTGCATCACAAAGAACCATTTAAAAAGGTTCTTAAACTCAATAAAATGTTAATGTAAAATCTGCGTTTTCCTGATTTGGTAGCCCATGATGAAACATAATGAATACGCAGATAGTGATTTCAGTATTTCAACACTGGCACTTAAAACCGTTAACCAAGTACCTGTGCCCATCTCTAACTGTTATTATGCTGTAGCTGCCAACAATTATGAAGAGCAACAGTAAGACATGATTGGGCTGGATTGTTGAATTTTTAATATGCTTCATTTATTCACCATTTCTTTTATCACAAAGAAAGTCTTTGAAAGGCAGACTAGAGTCCCTTCTGTATATAAACTGTACACAAAAGCAAGGCACTATGCTGTACATTTACAGATATTAATTAATTTAATCTCTTTTCTCCTCACATAATCGATGCTCCTGTACCTTTAAGGCAAGAGATCACCACAACAGCCAAACCTCATCCATGCAGAAAAAGGAACTGACATACTTAGCATGTAAACTCCTCTCGCGATGGAAACATACCAGAGCAACTGTAATACTACAACAGACTTTTTTGTTTTTTTTTGTTTTTTTTTAAACACACATTTTCAAAAATAACGCTGCATTCTTCTCAAACATGCACGCACCAGGACAGCACCATCCCCGGAATAGACTCAGGACAAAACGGGGAGACGGAGAGACCAAACTGTTATTTTTTTTTTTCCATTAAAAAGAGAAACAAAAACACAAAACGACAAAAATGATCGTTGTAAATTGTGGTACTGCACAGCACAGTTCATAGAAACATGACTTCACATGGACAGTGGTGGCTGCTGAAAGTGCGTAGATTGTGCTGACACTTACACGACGACATCACTTCCTCCAAACACAGCGATTACATCAGAGACCGACACCGCAGCAGGTTAACACACAAGTGCGAATTCTAAAGTGACCTTTGAACTGACCCCCCCATTACCCTGTTTTCAGCGTGTTGCATGGCTGTGCCCCTGAGGGGTGGTTTTCATGACAACTGGAGGCCACACTACCCAAGTGAGGGTACCATCAACATGACAACAGGTGATTTTAAAACAGTCCTTTGGCTTTTTTAACGTTGACTTGCTTCCACCCTGGCAAGGCCTCGTACTCCTCTCTCTTCATCTCCAGGGCTTTCTAAAAAAAACAGAAGATACACAGCAGTTACAGGAGGACCACAAGTGAGGACACGCACAGCCCCACCCATAAGGATGTAGTGATGTCACCAGTGTTTTTAAGTTAAAATAAGTTAACACTCACTCTACTGTGAACAAATTGTTTAACATATTAGAAATAAAATGTGCCATAACTTTTACACAGGCCACAGCTTAATACCCCCCCGCCCCCACCCAATATTTTAAATTCAGTACAATAAACAGTATAGTAATAGAATTATGTTCTCTGTAGAGGATATGGTAACATAAAAAAAAAAAAAATTCCAGGGGAAGACGGTATGCAATTGTCTCACTTAAGTTGAGCTAAAACATGTTTAGGTTTCATTTCTTTATTTATTGTTGTCCATATCCTGGATTTTTCTTTTATTTTAATTTTTGGTGGGGATTTGGGGTTTTATGCACAGAAAAAACAGTCTTGTTCATATAAAATCATTTTCTAACCTCTCTTTATCCCTTAGAATTAAACAGGCTGCTACCGTTGTGATATAAATGATACTTGTATGTTAAATATAGTAGACTTATATATGTAAATAACAGCTGTTCTGATTGGCTGCCCTGTAAAGCAGTTTGGACCTAAACACTCCTTATAACTTAAGCATGAATGGGTGGGGCTAAACTGTTTTAGGCTGAAGAGGTGGATACATGTAAATATATTGGTTTTTCATGACAAAAAATAATTTCAAAACAGGTTGTGTTGCAACTTAGTTTTGGTATGAACTGTATGGATTAGACAGTAAATACTGAAAACAATTACAAACTACATCTTATTAAAAAAATGACTTATTTAAAAAAAATTAGATTTTTGATTATATGGGTCCTTCTAATAAATGAAATGCAAAATCCTTGACAATACTAATTCATACATTCACACACATTATGTAGTCAAAGCCTGTGAGCGTGCTTAACATGTAATAATTTTATTGGCCAGTAGATGTCAGTGTACTGTCAATCAGTATATCAGTTCAAACTGTTTTACTGTTTTGAGAGCTCTAGAACTGAATATAGCTAAAGTAAGGCTTGTTTCTTGGCTTTAAAACGGATATTAAAGCATATGAATCTAGCATTGTCCTTTCAGGGGTCTGCTGGACTCATAACTACTTTTGCGCTGAGGAACCACTCAGCAAGCATCACAAAGCCCATTTGAATTCTTCTCTCTTTTTCTGAATGTAACCTCTGTGGCTGTGATGAATTTACTGGGGGAGCAAAGAAGGGAAAAAAGACATTCCTCAAGAAGGAGGGCTGATAGCACAAGAGTGACCATATGAATTTAAGGCTGTGGTTTAACACAAGGGTGGGGAACTCCAGTCATCGAGGGCCAGCTTTCTGCACAGCTGATTTGCCTGCTCAAGCACACCTGATCCAACTCAACAGCTAATTACCAGGTGTAGCTGGTGTGCCAAAGTGGGGAAATCACTAAACTGTGCTGGACTCTGGCCCTCAGTTCCCCACTCCTGCTTTACCAGAAGAAAAGTCAAGGGTGTGGTCATGCTGAGCAACCTTACAAGGAAAAACATGAAAGACAAAGTCCATCCATTCACAATAAAGTAAAACCTTACACCTGTACTGAAGCATGTGTTTGTAGGTGCATTCTAAACCTTAGCTAAGGCAATAGAGGAGACTGTGATATGAGTGAGGAAGAGGAACAGAGTGCAAGAGGAAGAATAAGGTGAGCAGGTCCGTTGGTGAAGAAAGGACAGGAGCAGTGATTTCACTCATTTAAAAAGAAACTCACCTACCCAGAAACCCCTACAAACCAGCCTGGAGCATAAAAAGCAAAACATCAGACATTCTACACATTTAGATGCTTAGTACAAGGAAACACTTTCATATTAAACGGGCATTCTGGCCTAAAACTAGCTTTAAAAAGTTATGTATTCTGAAACACAGCGTTGTAGCTTTCAGACACATCAATTTGACAGAAGTTACAATTTTGTACTATTTTGTGTTTCTGTCCATCAACATCCACTCACTACAATACCTAAAAAATGCAGATGTTATTTGCAGCTTCTGAGCAGTAACACTACCCATTTGGCTTCCATCTGCTTTACACAGATAGCAAGGTAGGTAAATAATAATCTAAGCATCCCACCCTGACGTTCCTGTAGTTAAGCTTCCAAAACCTTCAAGATACATCATCAGAAGGGGCTTTTCTAATCTTTAAACCAAAAAAATCTCTCGAGACTATTGTATCACCACTTTAGGAGGTGAGTAGGCATGATATCAGCAAATGCACCAATGGTTAAAGTAGTCATTTTAGCCAGCACATCCCTTTAAATAGTTACAATCATTTTAGATCCCCATACAGAAAAAAAAAAAATATCAAATACATTTTTGCAATGTATGAAAATTGCCAAAACATGTTTGTTAAATGTATTTTTAAAATGAATTTATTTGTATTTGTTATATTCTTTTCAGTTGCATGTAGGCATGGACTGCAATGCATTTGAAATGTACTTCAAACATATTTGTATATGTTCACCTCCCCCCCCACATATGCATCTCTATTTCAAACACAGAGAAATTAGCGCTAATGAGGGGCTGCAGTCTCACCTCAAAGTCTTCATCTGATAGGTAGATTTCAAGGCGCAGAGGATCAACACCATGGGGAAGGGGTCGGCTTTGCAGAGCTTCAAGCGGATAGGTGCTCTGACAGAGACGAGACAGAACGTCCTCCACCAGAATGATCTGGTTACACACCTCTGCCTCCTAAACACAACAAATCAGAAGAAGTCACACATGGAACACAAAAACAGAGAGATAGGGATAGAAACTATTTTTACTGACCGGGTCTGGTCCAACAGATCTGCAGCTTTATGACCGATCACTGCCAGAAAGTGTTACCAGAATTATTTATCCACCTGCCAATATCCAACCTGTGGAGTTGCCCAACTATTCTTCTAGTACCAATTAATGGTACCTTTGTGAGTTAAGCAAGTCAAAGAAAATATGTGGACGATATGAGTCTGGCCCAGACATTTTGGACAGCTTGTGCCCCCCAGATGACACTAACCAACCTAAAAATGTGGGTCAATGTGAGCACACTTCTTTGGATCAAACCTAAAGAAGCAACAGGTCCTACAATTAACAAGTAATACTCTATCAATCAAAACCCCTGGGAAGTCTGTCTATGCTGTGAAAGTCTTGAGCATCACTATTCAGGATGATATTCGCCGGGACAGTCAAGTGGATCACTTTGTGTCTTTAGCTAACAGGGAACTGTTTGCCCTGTGCCACCTTAAGAAATTACTGTTCTTGATAAGGACTATGGTACCCTTTTATATAGGCTATGTGCGGCCTGTTTCCGTACATGCATCTCCTGTCTCGTATAGTTCGCTCACTAGAGCTCAAGACAAAATGTTGGAACAATTTTTAAAAAGAGAGCTTGCAGTGGGATTTGTCAACTGCAAAAAGTTGTGGCTGCATTTTGTTAAAAACTGTAGGGGTCAGACTTTAGAGACTGGCTATCTTCCCAACAGATGGGAGGTTACAGGCTCACAAACAAGGAACTCAATCAAGCTAGTCATTCCAACATGCCAGACTGAAAGATACCAGAGATTAACAACACATTATATCTGCAGAGTGCTGAATGAGAATGAAATATAGGTAGTAGAATAGCTGAAATTTCTAATGTTCACTTATTTTAGACTTTTTAGGTTTATACAGTATTGGTGAATTTTTTTGACACTTGTTCTTAGCAATTTTATGTTTCACTGTAACAGCGAAATACAGTTTTTAATAACGGGGCATTTTTGAAAAAATGAATGAACATTCAACATGACTGACTGACTTGAATAAATATATAAATAACTAGTTGCTATTTGAATGTCCACATTTTTAAACAAAAGGCATTACATTATAAAATGTCTCTGAAATCGTTAATTATAAAAACAGAAGATCTGTGCAGCTAGAGGTGATGCCTACATGATCATTCAGTCGATTTATGGATCTACAAAATGTAAATTTAGTAAGATACAGAAGTATCAACTCCAGAATGATCGTCAGACTGCAAACTCTGCACATTTGTAGTGGAATAAAATCACAGATCTTGTTGGTAAATCGTTTACATTTCAATTTTTGTTTGAAGTATTTCCATATATAGGCTGTATCATTTTGCCTGTTCGGAAAAGCAATGTCAGTGTATGATGAACTTCCAGACATTTAAGGTTCATCACATGTTTATCCAAAATAATAAACTAGGATTCAGACATTTTACTGAGTAAACCAATAGTAAGGTCGTTATCCATATATTCAAATAAACACATTCATTCCTAGTATGATAATGCTTAAAACTCCACATTTAATACAGAAATAAAGACAGCTACAGCTGTTGTATGAATTCTCTCCCTCTTTTTTGTATATTTACATGTGTGCAGCTATGCAATGTATATACTCAGTGAGTGTATTTATGTTTGTATGTGCCACCAGTCTCACCCTTTCTGTGATCTCGGCGATGTCTTCTCGATGCTCCCAGCTGGGGAACATGTTGGTAAAAGTAAGAGGCTCCAGCCCTGCATGGATCAGGTATGACTTGGGTGGATTTGTCTCATTGTTCTCTGTAAGAGGAAGACAAATTCCTGAACAAGTAAACCTTAACGCAGCTTGGCCTTCATCTTTCACCAAAAAGGCACAACGGACTAAAGCACTATTCAAGCTGGAGTAGCTTTATGAGAAGTTGTTCTGTACGGTCATTTGTAAAGGATTTGTATGGGCTGATGTATCTGTGCTCAGTCATAGAATTTGTCTTTGTTTGTGCACACAAGCATATTGGTCCCTGATGTAGAGCTTCAGTGCTGAATTCACTACATTCACACACGACAGTGAGTATCCTCTGAGCTGTAGTGTAAGTTAATGTCACACTGGCATGCTGTCACACAGGGAAAGCGACACTGGAAGCAGTATCCTTCCTACTAAATTTTTGTTTAATGTTCAGTTGTCATGAGGTCATTCTACACGTGAATAAAAGTCAGATGTAATTTTTAATACACCGAAGCCTTCACATCAAGTCCAATGCACTTTTATATTAAACACTAAAGCAGAAGAAGAAATGTTTCATTTGAAAGATTTGACAAAGACGTTAGCTGAGACGTTACATGAGATGTTACATTCAAAACTTGGACTCTGTGAAAAAGGCCTTAAGGTTTTATTGCACCCTTTACAGCAAATGGAAACTGTCTTAGATGTACTAAATATGTACCTGTTAACCCTTTAAAGTGTAAGTCTAGAAGTGGCCAAGTTGACATTCTATTTTTAACTGCAGTGACAGTAGTGATACAATACACTGTCTACAAGTAGATCATCTGATTCAGCTCAAACTCAGCTTTACAGTAATACTAGTTACTGAACACAAACCTTAAATGTTCAGATTAAGGTCGGAAGGTAAATGTTTTGTCTTTCATAAGTTGTGCTGGACCCACTAATGTTTCAGATGTGACTGCAACACATGTGGAACGTGCGGGGTGGAAGGGTATCCAAAGATAAATCCCTGCTCTGACTGGATCTGCTGGATGGTGTATTTTATCCTCTGCCTGGCTGCCAAGCAAATGACAAAAAGAAGACTGTAAAGTTATTTAAATGTAAACATGTCCAGTGCAACGTACGTCCTTAAAGGAACAATGTGCAAGATGACAACCTGTCGAATTTATATGCCACACCGTCCTTCCTCCTCCCACTCTGCTCCTCTCCCTGTTTACCAGTGTTAAAAGTTTGTCATTGAAACTTCATCTCGTTACTCACCAGGAGCCGAGTCTCCAGCAGCGGAAAACAGCTCCAATGTTAGCTACTGTTTGGCTTCTACTTATGTCACTTCTTTTCTTTGTGGTTTCTTGCCTGGAGTGGGTGCGCTACTTTTTCATCCTCTCATGTTGAAATGGATGGCAGACACGACGCTACAGTGACTCACTATGGCCTCGAGGTACAAAGAGGTATTACGAGGCAGGACGGGCTAGCATGCTAACTTCAGTAGATATCTCTGCAATGCGGTACATAACGTCAAAACATATTTCTTCACAGTCTACTTATAATTTTAAGTTAACTTTAGAATGTTTGAAACTAAAAATCTTATAAATTACTCCTTTAAAGGGCCAAATACCTGTAGTTTTAAAATATATTTTGACCTGATTTATCAAATTTTTCCAAAATTCTTTGTCACCACCTTTAGTTATTACATTCAAGTGAGGCAAACTGGTAGAGGCAAAATACAAAAGGTCATTTACTCCAGACTTATTACCCAACAGTTCTAGAGACTATGGGCACAGCAGATTCATACTGGATTATAACCATAGATTTTATGGATAATCTTTTAAATTACAGTAGCTCCCCAGATAAAACTAACCCAGCTGTAAAAAGGTATTTTACACATTCTATCTCGTGTTGGGCCTCACCTTGGCAGTACCGGAGCACCGTTTCCATGGCGCATTTTCTGTCAGCATCCCACCGGATGCGGGCTGAGCCGGGCGTTTCCGTGTCCTGCGGCCACCAGCCCTGCCACAGGTACACCTCATGATAGTTATCTACCAGGAACAGGGCTAGAAAGAGAAGGGAAAAGAGCAAGAGAGAGCGAGAGGGAGAGCAGAAAGCAATAAAAAAAAAAAAAAGAAAAGAAAAAGGGGTCATTTGAGTTGCCAACTGTCAATTCTTTAGCGCATTCTCTACATTGTAAACTTTTGTATGATTACCTCAAACCAAAACAAGGCTTAAATGAATGTTTTAATGGGATTGCTGGTCAAGGGCTGTGTTTTTAGGGTTACCTGGCTGTTGTGCAGAGTACAGGTCCTCCTGGAGGAAAGGGAGAGAGCTGTCGAGGCCCGTCACTCTGGATGGATAGAAAAACTCCTGAGCCACAAACTCACCCGAAGAACTGCTCAGCTGGAACAGTCGCGGGGTGAAGTTAAATTTGCCTGGGTCTAAAGAGAAAAAGCCAAAGAACAAGACAGGGAGAGATTTAATAGCACAAACAAACACAAAAATTATAAAAGGTTAATCTGGAAACATTAAGAGTATGAAGAAAAAAAAATATCAAGTTAAAGAGAAATTCTACCAATTGTTAAACTTGTCCAGCATTTCTATTGTATTTTAATTTAATTTTAAGGGCCTCTCTTACTCTAAGACCCACTTATGACATTTAGTCCTGATCCGAGACAAATATTCATAATTTATTTTTACGTTATCATTTTACATTACTTTTACATTATTTGTCCTTTAGAATTAAACAGGCTGTTTTTAGACTGCCTTTAAGACTTATATATGTAAATGAACTCTGTTCTGATTGGCTGCCCTATATTACGCCTCATTTAAAAAGCAGTCCAGGTTGAAATACATTTTATAAATTCAGTGTGAACTGGCAGGGCTTAACTGCTATTGGCTGAATAGGTGGATAAGTACATTTTTTTTGGGACTATTTTGCCTTACATGTACCTATCTGCCATGAATGAACTTCAACCACATTATTACCCTCAGAATTAAATCACTGAGATGTAAACAAAGTCAGCCAGACTGGTCTGATGTGTAACCAGTTGTCCAAGGTGTTTAAAACCTCTAAAACAGGGGTGCACAACTCCGGTCCTGACGGGCTGGAGTCCAGCACAGTTTGATAGTTGCCATACTCAAACACTCCCACTAAAGTTGGCAAGAAATAGAAGCTGAATCTGGTGTGTTTAAGCAGATAAATCGTCAAAGTATGATGCACACTGGCCCCCCAGGATTTGTGCTCTAAAAGCTCCCTCACGACAGTTATCATGTGAAATGATTACATTACTGCCTGATGCCTGAGATACTGCTTTATGATAGTTCTGAAGCACAGTTTTGGCATAAAAGTCATTTTAAAATCCATTCATGACAGAGGAGTACTTGCAAGGCAAAACAATCCCAAAAGAAAACCTAACTTTTGTCAAATTTGCCACCATTTTAACATGATAAACATTACATATAAAAACATATAGAAGATGTGTAGGTTCACTGGTGTTTTTTGATCGTAAATAAAATGGCTAAATCTGTGTTGTAGACATTGTGACCCCTGGTTCCTATCAGCACCACTGTAAAGAAACATGAGCCGTAAGTTTCTCTACAATAAACCATCAAACCCCCATGAATGAATTTTACATCAACCACTGAATTACACAAAAAATTTGAAAAAAAAATAGATGGAACTTCCTTAAATGACTGTTACTATTTACTTTATTAACTTTATTATGCAGGAATTTTGAAAAATTCATGGAAGTCCCTTTCCAAACAAGGGCTGTAATTAATGGTAAATGTGAAATACTGTACCCTGAAGCATGCAGTCATAAGCTTTACGATCTTTTCTGCCTAACGCTTCCCAGAATCCCACCGGCTCAGCCCCCTCTTCACACTCCTGGACGGTCACGTTGCAACTACTGTGAAGGCCCGCCTCCAGTGGTCGCCTATAAATACATAGGATCAAGCTATTGGTATTCAGTTCAACAAAACATGTTTATTCAAGCTTTGTAAGAACAAGTAAGCCTAAAAAAAGGTCAGAAAAGCAATGTACTGCAAGCACCGCTGATGTGTATTATATCAAACACAGACATCTCCTGAACTCACTGTTCTTTGATCTTGTCTGCGGCGGTGCGGGACACCTCACGGGTGTGTGCCTGAGTCTTGCAGCCGTGCCACAGGTAGATGAGAGCCTTGTTAATGCTGAGCAGAATCATGGAGGTGCGAGAGCGCAGACTGCTGCAGTGACACGCTACCTCCAGCAGGTGGCCCTCTACTGGCAGCTCACCACGCACACAGTACAGACGCCACTCATCTGGCAGGAGAGAGAGACAGAACAGAGTGACCTACTACAGGCCCAAAGTACGGAAGCAATCAGTGAGTTTCAAAAACTTTCAGTTTAGTCTATTTGCCAACAACCAACACGATACATGTTCACTGACATCTAGTTTAACCAAATGTTTTTTCCAAAATATCCCACTGATTTGCAGTGATGGGCATGTACTCTAGCATATTATATGATAAGACTTCACAGTTCATAAAAGTTTGACTGTTTTTGTATGAGAATCCAGTGTAATACAGCTGCAGGAGAATCACCAGGAGCGTAATCATGGTATAAAAGCAGGGGTCATCAACTGGCAGACCCAGCAAATAAAAAAAACTCTAGCAAAGCCAATTATGTATGTAAAAAAATGGTCATATTTCTGAGTCATACATGAACATGAACCACTGTGGCTTCTGTAGCAGTCCTGGTGTTGTGGCTTATCCAATCTGACACATTTATGTAAGTGACTTAGCCAAAGGCAGCTCATCGGTCAGGAAATAAAAGGGCCAGACATCAAGTCAGAAAGCACATACACATATTTCCAAAGGCATTTCATTTTATTTGTTATTTCTGGTCTGAGTAGTGAAGCAACAACATAGTAAAAATAAAAATCTACAACAAAAACTGAGTGCTTAAAAACGAATGAACGGAAAACTCGGAAAAATGATGTGTCATTAATTCGAAGTCTGTGGTGTTAATCAAAAACGGAAAATGTTAAGCATCAACGCTGCTGCAAAATAAAAACAACCAATTCAAATTAACCTACCGACAAAATGCAAATTTGAGGACAAATAAAATAAACCCAAAGCTCAACAGCAAAGGTCCATCAGAGTGCTTGTCCATTCCCTGAATGTGCAAGAGCATGAAATGCTCACTAAGAACAGCCATTATTTTTTTATGTTAATTTAATTGCCTCTGTGGACAAATATTTAAGTTTTTTCTTTTTAAAAGAGCCAGTACTGATACATTAAAATAGGCAAAAAAATCTGACATCCTTAAATTTAATACATTCAATAGAAAAAAAACTAAGATTTATAAGCTATTTTAGGACTTTATTTGTAAGTATTTGATTCAAACTTTGCACGACCCCTACAGGACCACCACTGAGCTGGTAGAATTTGGGTGGTGGATCATTCTGAAGGGTTTATTTTATAGTGGACTAGTTCCAGTCCAGCAGCGACGGTTGTTTAGATACTCCAGCAGCAGATGAGCCCATAATCTCTAGCTTCACTTCTACATGCTAGACCAACAAGGTAGCTGTGTCTAAGAGTAGACAGCAAGTGGACAGTGTTTAGAAACTCCAGCAGCAGCTGCTGAGAATGATCCATCACCCAATACCTGCTCTGTGGTGGTCCTGTCCAGGTCCTGATCCCTGATAACAGGGTAAAGGGGAGCTAACAAGTCACACAGAGAAACAGATGGTCTACAAACTGTAACTGCAGAACTATAAAGTGCATCTACATGGTAAGGAGAGCTGATAAAATGAACAATAGGTGTAGAAACAAGAAGGCGTACTTAATGAAGTGGACAGTGAGTGTTTAAGCTTAGACATGTCCTTACTTTGAATGTTCTCCTCTTCTTCCTCCCGCTTTCCAGAATGCACTATCATCCCTCCGTTAAAGCACTGCAGGAAGCACGGTGGCTCTTTGCCCTGCTGCACCTGCACCTGTCAGTCAACACGCATTCAAATTAGGCTTCTACCTGTTTTGGCACAACACTAACACTACTTGCATGCTACTATTCTGTACAGGCCAGATGCAGGCAGTAATCCAGAGCGTGTTACTATGATCTGCCCAAAATAGCTCTACATCTAACATCTAAATTAAATAAGTTTAAAATGATAAAGATTCACTGCAAACTAAACCAACTATTATATTTAATATTCATATATTAACAATATTTGTTGTATATAAAATGTCTTTGCTGATTACACTTATTTACAGAAACAAATACCAATGTAACAAACGAATACTCAAGTATTTGAACTGGGGCCAGCCCTAATTTAGAATTACTTGAAAAGTTGAACTGTCACCTTCAGACTGATCCATCAGTGCATTTGTCCAGCCCTACTGCCACTAAATAAACTGACCCTTTGGGCAACTTTGAGGAGTGCTTTAAATAGGGGACAGGGTGCAAGGTCTATTATGGCGCTCCCATCAGCAAATCACACCCGAACACACACCCACCCACACACCCACACACACACACACACACACTACCTGCGCGCCTCTCTCCTCATCCAGCTCGACAGTCATCAGCGCAGAGGTTCCCTTCTCACTGACAGTGGAGTTCCTACCCTGCCAAAAGAAATAGCAGCACTTCTCCCGACCTGGACCAGCACTGCGAACCTGCTCAGGCTTCTGCCTGTTCCCCACTGCACACAGACACACACAGGGTCAAACTAATTCTTATCAGAATACTCATTAGATAAGCTACACGGTTAAGGAAAACTATTACTAAAATGAAAACTAGCAATGAATTTTTTTTGTAAACAAAAAAATAAAATATATATAAAATAAAAAAACATAAAAACAATACACTACATTGTGCCGACAATGTGTAGGACATGCTGCAGGTTTTTGTGGCGCCATCTAGTGTACAATTGTACAATTGAGGGTATTGATTTTTTCACATTTTTAATGGGGTACTTTGGTATCATTTGCATGCATTTACATTTGCATAGTTAATACAATACGTAATTTATATAATATATATTTAATTAATATATACATTTATATAATTTATATAGTTCCTTTAGATTTCCCCCAATTCACCATCTGCCATGTAAGAATCAAGGGTACAGTGACTATTAGATCTAGGCCTTCAAGCCTGGGATTTTAAGGGGTTAATCTTATTTGTTGCAAACTGTTATGCACATTCAAATGAAACACAATACTCAAATAGCTTCCTCCAGCTGACAGTACTGACCTGCAGCGCTCACCATGTACTTCCACTTCACCACGTATGCATCTCCCTCATGGAACTGGCCGATGCTTTGCTTGGGCAGCCGGCTGTAGTCGAACTCTAAGATGTGCCAGACGTCCACACTGACCGTACTGATCTCCAGAGAGCGCAGACGGTCCTCAGAGCCGCTGTCCACAGGCCCGTGACCCCGACCCACATCCTGCCCATCTAGGATCATGCTGATGGGCGACTGGAGGACCGGCAACATCAGAGCCACATCGTACGCGCAACACTCTGATCGAGAGTCCGGACCCTGAGAGAGCTGAGGGGTGTATATGTAATGGTTGTTAATGGGGAGCTAACAAGTTCCCCCTCATTCACACTGTTCTAGCAAGTTCTCCTCTTTCACGCCGTTCTAGCAAGTTCACCCTCATTTGCACTGTTCTAGCATGCTCTAGAACACTGTCCTCCCATTCATACTGTTGTAGTATATTCTACTACATTTACACCGTTCTAGCAAGTTTACCATCATTCACTCTGTTCTAGCAAGTTCTCCCCCTTTCAGTGTTATTGAACGCTGTCCCCCTATTCATACCGTTCTAGCATGTCATCCCCCATTCACACCGTTCTAGCAAGTTCACCCTCATTCACACTGTTCTAGCATGTTCTAACTCATTCACGCTGCTCTCCCATTCATACTGTTGTAGTATATTCTCCTACATTCACACTGTTCTAGCAAGTTCTCCCTCATTCACACCGTTCTAGCAAGTTTACCATCATTCACACCGTTCTAGCAAGTTCTCCCTCATTCACACCGTTCTAGCAAGTCCTCCCTCATTCACACCGTTCTTGCATATTCTTCCTCATTTGCACTGTTCTAGCAAATTTAACATCATTCACACTGTCCTAGCAAGTTCTCGTATTTACACTGTTCTTGCATATTCTCCCTCATTCACACTGTTCTAGCATGTTTTCCATCATTCATGCTGAACAGAATTATCATTCTTGCTAAACGTGTGGCGTCACTGCGACTGAAGTGTTGACAAAGTACAAAAGATAAATCTGCATTCTCTGTGGATTTGTCTGATAATCCCAATTGTTTCTTAATCCATATATAGTTAGATGTGAATCAGTCAGATGCAAATATTTCATCATACCTACCTTCTGCTCAAAGGACTGTTCATTGCCGTTCTTTGGTGGTGAACTGGTGATCTCTCTCCAGTCTATAAACTTCTCTCTGAACAAAGATGTCTCATTGTGTTCCGTCAACCTGCCGAATATGGCCCAGTCTGGGCGGCCCTGACCTTTCCTGAATAAACACACATAGCATACATCTTGAAAAAGCAACTGCAAGGTACAACCTTCAGCAAGAAAGCAAAGATTATTCAGTGTACATGTGTGAACTATACTGTTTCCAAACCTGGGAATGAGTGAATTGCATCCTCCAGGGTCGAGTGGGTTGATGTCACAGTTAGTGTAGTCAAAAGTGCCATTCCACAAGTGCTTAGCCAGCTGAAAGGCCACCTTCCTCTGAGCCAGAGTTACCTCCTTACCATGCCACACATACACCTCACTACCGAAATCAAACACCAGGACCTACACGGACACACACATTCACCAGGAATCTAATCACATTCATCATATAAGTACTTCAAAAAGAAATGACTGTTACAAGCTTTCAAAGTAAGAAAATATCACTCGTTGATGAAAGGTTCAAGTTTTAAAATCTGATTGGCTGAGCCACAAAAAGCCACTGCAGAAGACACACACACACACACACGCACGCACGCGTATGCAACAAGTGATTAAAAACCATTGGGCAGTTCACAGAACAATGACATTTAAGTCAGAAAATAACCTACTGTAAAACTACATTGCTACATTTGCTGCAATTATTATTATTACTAAATTATTTATTGAACACATGCTTCCATTTGCTCCCATGTTCTAAACCCAATAACATGGTTATTTCGCACCATGCTAAACACTAAGGGTGAGAATCTCCAAGCGATACTTTATTCAATTAAATTTCAATTCCATTTGCCAAAATGCAACTTTCAAGAGAGGATTCTGCATCTAAGAACTACTTATTCTTCCCACCCTTACCAAATACCACCCCTTAACCATGGTTAAATCACAGTAAAACAGTTAAATCACAGTAAAACAATCGTCATGAATGCCAGAAAAAAAAACAGAAAGTGTCAAAAAAGTGAAGTAATCAGAATAGCTGATTTCAGACCTCTTTGGACCCCAGCAGGGAGCTGCGAGGTACTTTGCCCCAGAAATCATCATCAGGAAGCAGCTTATCATCCACCAGACGGAAGATACAATTTGTCTCCACAATCGCACTCTCAAACAACTCGTCCTCTTCTGGAGACCCAGCCGCTGTAGTTGTACAAACATGTATTTTCATTTAAAAAAGTAAATATGAATGACGCTCAGTGATTAACTGCCCCATGGGGACTAATAAAGTTTATTAATTTCAGTGTGTACAGGTCGGTGCATTAGACACATACACTGGTAACCGGATGATCCGCCGAGAATTTTCCAGAACTCTGCTGCCGCAGGGCTTTGAGAGTTCACCCCCTCCTCAACTGTCTCCACCTGTGTTGCCCGGCAACCAAGGTCATGGTTCAACTGGATGAAAGAGGCCAGCTCGGACGCCTAATAAAGACAGAGACAGAAAGAGATCATTCTGTATCCTGGACAGTGACGCTCCACTTTCTGATTCAGCACGAGTTTTTACATTCATACATTTACATTATATATTCACAATTGATGTAAACATTCATGCCTACAACTATAATACATATTTACTCTGAAACTATTTGTGAAAAAGGACTAGTATGCCTAATAATGAGGAATAACCCCGATAGACTGACCTTTGATCTCTCGATGACATTCGCAAACTCTCCTATCCAAACAAAACAGTGCTCAGGCGTAACCAAAAGAAAGCAATCACCGCTGTTCAGAGAGGACACTCTGGGCTCGACTAGTCTGGTCTGGACGTGTCTGCGACCTACGTAAGGAAAAGGTACCCCTTAACCCCTGAACCCGCAGCCTCATAAACTCTAAAAATAAACTCCAATAATCCAATTTCTATTTGCTGTGTTTGACACAACAACAACAACAACAAACAACAACGTTGCATGATTGAGACTGACCTTTGACCTGCATGAGCATGAGCTTCTTGTAGGGAGCAGCACTGTTATTGGTGACCTGTTCAGAGATGCTGACACTGCGAAGACTAACGCTGCTGTAGTTCTCCTTACTGGCCAAACCAGCCAGAGCAGCATCCGACAGACTGGAGCTCTTACTCACTGAAAAACACACAAAACATATATTAAAAATGCACACAGACAGAGCAGCAAACGACAGGCTGCAGGTCTTACTCGCTGCTAAATAGGGTTAAATGGTATTTTTAATGAAAAACATCACAGTATCACAAATCTTGAAACAGAAAAAGGAGACAAATTTACCATGATTATCTGATTCCCAACAGGACCTAACAACCACTCAATGTTTCTGTTTATACTGCTATATAATGCCATTACAATATACCTTCCAAAATCCTTAAAAAACATTAGTGAAGCTTTTACATCACCGGGTTAAAGAGACACTCTGGCCAAAATGAAAAATGTATCCTTCACTATATGTGTGTATCTATATACTGTAAGCATACTACTTGTATCCTATAGCAGTGCTGCAACAGAGAGAGCCTCTAGAGTGAGATTTTCAGCTTTAAAAGCTAAAAGAAGCCTCTTCTGAGGACATGCCATGAAGGGAAGAACTTTTGAAAAACTGGTTTGGGATGAATCTTTGGGGGCAGGCAGTTTGTTTCATCATTACTGTGGAGAGAATGGACTACTCAAAGGACAGAAATGCCTCAGTAATTGTGGAGGGCAAAAAGTTAACATCTATAATTAGCAAGGCTGCTGGCTGTCTAGATACCTTACCTCAGTTTTGGTCCCTTTTCTCTGACTAAATGGGTAAAATGGCTGCAAAAAGAATCTTTTTGATTTCATTCAACAACCAAGGTAATTCTGGCTTGGTTGATTTAGCCTATAAATCAGGGGCTGTGATAGTAGTCAGGATCGGTTGACTCCACAGTGATTCCTTGAATATGATGTATTTGTGAAATGCATGCCGGGTATTGTAGTGAGAGAACAATTAAACGAAAACATGACAACGATAAAAAATCTGTCAAATGGGTAAGACTTAGAGATACACATACATGTACATATACATTAAAGACACAGACTGACAGAATAGAGCATTAAAGACACACACACTGCTACAGAATAGAGCATAACAGTTGCTGTTGCAACAAAACATCAAATCTCCAAAATGGTAACATCGCAGGAGAAGGGGAAAAAAAACAAAAAAACTTGCATTTAAATGGAAGTTAACGGAACAAGATTTCTTTGAGTAATTCTGGACCAGTTATCTTGCTCTATTCATGTTTACATTATAACACAATATAAAAGGCAGCTTGAATTCTGTAAAATTGGAGGGGCTAACTTTTTTACTCTAGCTCTAGGCCACCTTAAGGGCTCACCTACACTATTTTTGACCAAAATTATTTATTTGTCATATGAATTCCTTGATCCATCCAGAAAAAGGCTTGTGACAGAATGCTCACAGCACACAGCAGTGACTGGTTAGAGGCTTATCTGCATGTAGCAGAATTTTGAAATATCAGTATTGCAAGAGCCATTTTCCAATAGACTGGAGCTCCTGCTCACTATAAAACGCATATCACACATTAAAACCAACATTAAAATAGATTAAAACAACAAGCTTTAAAAAATGGTGCTTATTCACTTCAACGCACGCATAGTCTTTGTCTTATTCTCTTCTCCCACTCACCCCTCCCTCTGTTTCTCTCTGCACATCCTTCACTTCCCTCTTCTCCTCTTTGATCCTCCTGCTCTCCAGCAGGCCTGCACTAAATTTCTATTCTGAGAGTACATGTTCACCTTTAGTTAGTCACTCACCCTCAGCCCCTTCCTTTCTCCAGCAGGACACTGCACAGGTCAGTGTTAACTCATTTCTTCTGTGATTCTTTAAAGGCTCCTATTCTACATTTTTCCAGTATTTTACTTTTTCCTAAGGTCCACATATTACAGCTGTGTGGTTTTATGTGCCATGTAAAGTATTTTACATGATGTGTAAACACACTTAGGTGCCTTCAAGACTGATATGTAAATGACCTCTGGCCTGAACAGTTGGATATGTAAATGAGTTTTCTGTGACCTCAAAATGGGCCTTTTTAGCTTCGTCTCCACACAGTCTTATGCAGAAGTTTGGGCGCCCCAATTAAATTACGTTTTGTTGATTTTTCTAGTGAGAATAAGTTAACACATCCTCTACAGAGACCACAGTTTTGCATGTTTTAACACACAACTGTAATTTATTTGCTGAATTTAACATTCTGAAAGAAAAATGTGCATTTCATTTTTAGAAACTGCCATGTTTGTTCTCTGTCTTAACCTGGGGGTTGCGAGAGTGGTGCTTTAAGTCATACACCGATCAGGCATAACATTATGAGCTATATGTCCTTGTTTCTATGCTCATTGTCCATTTTATCAGCTCCACTTACTATATAGGTGCACTTTGTGGTTCTACAATTACAGACTGTAGTCCATCTGTTTCTCTGCATACTTTGTTAGCCCCCTTTAACCTGTTCTTCAGTGGTCAGGACCCCCATGGACCCTCACAGAGCAGGTACTATTTGGGTGGTGGAACATTCTCAGCACTGCTGTAACACTGATGTGGTGGTGGTGTGTTAGTGTGTGTTGCGCTGGTCTGAGTGGATCAGGATCTGGAGTTTTTAAACACCTCAGTGTCACTGCTGGACTGAGAATAGTCCACCAACCAAAAATATCCAGCCAACAGCATCCAGTGACCACTGATAAAGGACTAGAGGATGACCAACACAAACTGTGCAGCAGCAGATGAGCTACCGTCTCTGACTTTACATCTACAAGGTGGACTGACAAGGTAGGAGTGTCTAATAGAGTGGACAGTGAGTGGACAGTGTTTAAAAACTCCAGCAGCACTGGTGTGTCTGATCCACTCGTACCAGCACAACACACACTAACATACCACCACCACGTCAGTGTTGAGAATGATCCATCACCCAAATAGTACCTGCTCTGTGAGGGTCCATGGGGGTCCTGACCACTGAAGAACAGGGTAAAAGGGGGCTAACAAAGTATGCAGAGAAACAGATGGACTACAGTCTGTAATTGTAGAACTACAAAGTGCACCTATATAGTAAGTGGAGCTGATAAAATGGACAATGAGTGTAGAAACAAGGAGGTGGTCATGATGCTATGCCTGATCGGTGTATACCTTATCAAACAGAGAAAATAATTTTGACGAGTGCATAGAAGGTCTGCTGAGCGGCTCCACGTACAGGCTAAATGTTGATTATACATTTCTATTGGATGAGCTCATTACTGAGGGAGGGTCTTGATTGGGCACTGAATTTGAAACTTTTGTTCAGCACCAGGCTAAAGATTCGTGGTCTGTGGTGAAGTGCTAGCTATGGAATCCAGCTAGAGTAAGTGAGCAGACTTCCATTCTGATTATTCTCCAGTAATTTCTCTAATGTGTATACCAGGGTGTGTGGGGTGAAATATTTAAGCCCAAAAAGATTAAGAACCCCCGCTGTGAGGACGTGTTGACATGCAGTTTGACCAGGGGTACTCAAATTTTTGCATACGACCGTATGTGGACTGTATGGACTGGAGAGCAAATCGTAAATTTTTCTACTACAACAAATGTTTACATATTACAAAAGAAGCAGAAAAAGAAAATTGGGCTTGCCATTACATGTGCACTTTAACTTCTCCCTCCCTCCATCACTCACTTTTCTCCTGTTTGATCCTCTTGCTCTCCAGAACGCCAATGTTTAGCCGTTGTTCAGTGTACTCGTGTCTGATGTCCTCTCGCGCTGCAAGAATCTTCAGTGGATTTCGAGAAGCCTGAACATTACGTGATGGACGAACTGCCCTCTTGTGCTGCACCATTGCTGAAGTCAGCCTGGGGTCAAACAGGTCAAGAAGGGGTCAGAAAATGAATACATATGTGTATGCACAAAAGTTGGTCAAATTTCCACCAATTTTTCAACTTTTGCGTAATTAAATCAGTAAGCCAATCGTAAACAAAGTCATTCAGAGTGGTGTTGACAGGAACTAGCACCATTTTCTCACACATATAAAACTCAGAAGACATAAGTTCCCTCATCTGCTTGGGTAGCAAGGGAATTGGGTATATTTGAGTTGAAGACATCACAACCCTGGCTTCCCATCACCACCACTATAAAGAAAATGTTGGTAAGTTTCTCTACAGTGAATGATTCCACAAACAAATACTCTGAATGACTGTTTACATCTCAACTATTAAAACACATAGGTGGAATTCCCCCTTTTAATGATGTTATTTATTAATAACTTGTATATTACAGATTGAAATTAGACAGTAAACAAAAAACCTGACAGTAGAAGACACTTTGAGGTATTTTACTCACATTTCATATATTTCTGGATCAGCAAAAAGTACATTAAATGATAAACAGTATACTATAATTATCCATTTGCAATATTCATTTGTCAAGTTATGCGCCTTAAGATTGATCATCATTTTTAAAATACGAAGCATTCTGGAATTTAATTCACAATGTGACACAGCTTTCCCAGTCCCAACTTTTACTTTTTACTTCCTACTTTTATCTTTAAACAAACTGGTTGAATATTACTGAACACATATTCCAAACTTTTAAACAGGAGTGTTCTATATGTGAAAAAATCATGACAAAAGAATGAGTACATTTTAGTGTACAGTATATATACAGTCTTGGGTGAGGCTCAAAAGCATGTGCCTTACATAAACATGTGCTTTGGGTCTGCATTTGTACATCTCAGAAGTACAGGCATATGCAAAAGTTTCAACACCTTCAAATTACACATTTTGTTGATTTTCTAAGTGAAAATAAGTTAACATCCTGCACAGGGAATGAACTTAAATATGGCATTTTCCAGCTAATTTAGTGCACAATTTCTATATAACATTTAATAAATACTGAAAAAACAGTACAAAACGTGCCATAACGTCTGCACAGGCCACAATTATGCTCCAATATGTTAAATTCAGCAAATAAGAAGTAAAACGTGCAGAATTATTAATGCTGTAGAGGATGCTTGACCTAGGGCACCCAAACTTTTGCAAATGACCGTGTGAAGTATACAGGTGTGGAGTGCACAATGTCAGTTAAGGACAGAAACCACTGCGCTTCAATCATGCATTTTTAGCATCGCATTTGGTTGCATAATTGCTTGATTAAATACTCCTGCAAAGTTTATTAACTGCTCTCGTTTCACTCTGAACTCCTCTGATTAGTTCTGGCTGACAGACTGCAGGAGCCATCAGGGTCAAAGACAATCACAGCTAAGAGCACAGCAACCGAGGCAGATACTCAGATCATTTTTCAGTCAGTCACACTCCTTTATTTTCTACACAATAAGCAAACAAAGAACTACAGAGCAAGATCTTGGCGATTACCATGTCCAAAGAGCTGCATAATTTGAAGAATGATGTTAGACTAAAGAGACTTATTACAATTAGGGTTGCCCAACTTGATCAACGAGTACTTTGTTTTGTATCGGTTGATCAGATCTTTGTTTTCTCATAGATAATATAGTCACAATTCAGGTAAGATATGCTAGACTGCCAAGTTTTATTTGTGCATAGTGATATAACCCGAATGCATATTTTGTTTTTGTGGACTACTTATGTGAAGTAATCATTTTATAGGGACGTGAACACTGTATTATTTCACATTTAATTTTAATATGCACGCTTAGTTTTGAATGTGGTTTCTGCTAATGCAGCTAATAAAGCAGAGATATTTTTTTTTTAGCAACTTGTGAGTGAAAATGTGGCAAAGTGTATTTTGTTCATGCTCGCAGTTAGTGGCAAAAAGTAGACTCGAAGCTTTTTACTTTTTCCATAACAGTGTTTAGATGAAACAGGACTAGCTGTTTCAACAAACACTGCAGACATTTAGACAACTTGGTTAACTTCTGAAAATGCATCTCACTCCTGCATGTTGTGGATAATGTCTGATTTTGTCATCTCTACAACAGAGGCGAATACCTAATCCATCAAAATATGCCTAAATCCTTGGATCTGGTCAGAATATTCTTACAATGCATGCTTTAGGCTTTAGGAAATGGTCCATGCCATAATTTGAATTTACATGCAAAATAAGGTTCTCTGACGTGATGATTGAAAAACCACTGTTGGTTCCATAAACAAACTTGTAACTGACTGGTGCTGAAAGGAAAGTAAGTGATTCTTCCATCACATCACTTTAGAAAGAGTGTAAAAAAATTAGTTGTAAACTAATTTCTAAAAAAGACTGTGTGCCCATTTAGGATTTGACATTTTGGGGTTTCATATTCAGCATTAATTATTTCATTATGTACTCACTTTGGTGTTTGTTTACCAAAGATGACATCAAAATCTTCCTCAATCGGCACTCTGCTGGTAATGCTACGTGGAATGTCCGCCACGTGACGGTAGAACTTTGAGAAGATCTCGTCATCCAATCGCATCACTTCCTTCACTGCTTTTTCAGTGACTGTCAGAGTTGTCTCCTGCAATCCTGTCACTGAGAGATAAAGGGGATGAAGGGAGAGCAAGCAAGTGACAATAGAGCAAGCAGGAAAGAACAGCCATTCCATATTCAGAGAGGCCTAAAGAACGAGCGTATCACAGCATCTACTGTGCTCACCTTTACTGTTCAAACGTCCCAAAAACGTCTCCAACTTATCCAGTTTCTTATCAGACTCCATATCTGCTCTGGCTTCAATCTCTGCAATAGGACAGATGCTTTTATAGCCAATATGAATGAAAATCATATTTGCAAGTTTGAAGATCACATGCATGATTCATCATGCATGCTAAATTGAAGACGTTACTATGAAAGATGCAGGAGTGGTTTGTGACATTTACCCTCCTGTGGTTTGGAGACGGCTGGTATGCTGCTCTTCAATTTAGCAGAAACAGGAGACAGAATGGGACTGATCACCGCTGAGGAAGCAGCCAAACCTGAGACACAAACCTTTGTGTGTTAATAGATACATATTTACATATTTAAAAGAACTGAAAATGCATAAGCAATTATAAGCAATTAGTTTTGCTACAATTATATTGATATATAATATGGTAATAGTTTTATACTATAATAGTTTTAGTTAAATAGTGCTTTACTAAAATATGGTTGTTGTGAGTGTGAATTGACTGATAGTGTGAATATGACTGAGTTTGAGTTTCTATAGTTTAAGGTCATTTAAGAACTCAGTCTTAAATAATAAGAGAAAGAATTACTAAAAATTAAATAAAGGGAAACTGTTTAATATCGGTCATACCTATGACAAAAAGCATAATATTGATGCTTTAATATTTTGAATAATAATAACAACAATTATAATAAGATTGATTAATAATTTAAAAAAATAATGATTAATAAGCAAAAACAAGCAAACAGTAAATAGCTCAGGTGTACTAAAAATATCAGTCCGATGTCTATTTGTATGTAAAAAAGCCATTTAAATTGTGCGAACATTTTATAATGAAAAGACCAACAGAAAAGACAAAATGACTAAGAAAAAAAAGTTTTATTCTGATTATGTATTTGATATGTACTTAAAGTCTATCTGAAATTAAAATGGGCATTTTCATTTTATTTGATTTTATTTCATTTCATTATATTTATTTGTTCCTGGTCATATTAAGCACAATCAATCATTTAAAAGACAATTCTTTTCAATTATTTCACTATGCACTAGTAATTAATCATACTACTACTACTACTACTACTACCACCACCACCAACTTAATAACAACCCAATAATCTTTTTTCACCTTCTAATCCCATCACCACCACCTATCACAGTGTAAAATGGTCAGCTAGCTCAGAGACCCTTTCACACAAAAATGCATCACAGAACAGAAGAATATAATATTTCTAATTCACTTTTACCATCATAATACATCCTGAATTTGGGCTAACTAGCAGTACATGTACACACGTGTATCCCAACCTTTCTTCACCATCCGAGCTGCCACAGTGTACTGGCCAGAGTCATTTGCCACACCCTTGCCAGTGCTTTGCCACGCCTCCTCTCGAGTAGAGATCATCTGCTTCCGTTCCTCAATAGACATCTGCCTCTCGCCCTCCTCTCCCAGCCTCTGAGTGGATAGAGAAAAACTGGATATCAGAAACACCACATCATAAAGGACACTTGTTACATATGCTGCAAGCTTCACAACTCAACAGGAAGCAAGGAGAAAATACAGTCAAGGCCAGTCAAGTGATAAATGAAGTGATATAAAATGAGCCATTGTTTGAAAGCAGGGCAGGAGGCATAGCACAGTTTTAATAAGTGAATTATTAGAACTAAATATGTATGCTCTAATTATGAATATTAACATGGAAGGAAAAAAAGGATCATTTTCAGCTGTAGTGAGTAACCTTGATCTGGACCCATACAGTATCAAGAAAAGACTCCTTTGTTTGAGTGTAAGCAGCATATTAGCACTGGATTATAATGTAGGTGTATTTGTTTCACTCCCCACTATGGTGCATAAAAGACATTCATTCAAGACTTTCAGATGCTTATTCAAGAGCTTTTTAGCCCCACTATGACTCCTTTTAAAATCTTTTTATGAACAAACTCAACGGTTATTTGCTACGACTCACAGCTAACCTACAATTACCCAGCTACACCACTCGCAGAAAGGCTGTGGTATGAACATTTTGTGGTCAATACAAATGTAAAGGGGCTAAAAATATATTTTTACATTTATATTCATATGGTAAATGTTCCCCAGTAGTTTAATTAAACAGTGATTTACAAACAGGTATGTTTGTCAGTTGTGACTAAATTGTGACTGTCAGCTCTCAAACGGCCATGTTTCTTAATCTCAAATAAACAGAAGCTCATTCTTAAATAATATAAACATTGCAGCGATGGTGGGTGAGTTACCCAGAATTCTTTGTGATTTGGTTTTTATTAATTACTCATCACAGAAAAAGTTGCATTGTTTGTTCTAATGGTAAATACGAGGTTTGGATGACAAACCTGAGACACAATCAAGGTCAAAATCAAACCTTTGGGTGTTTAAAATGAAGAAACACACAATTAAATAAAAATTGTAAAATATTATTATTAATATTACGTAAACCTTTGAAATCCCCTGGTCAACATACATATTTTGTTGATTTTCTAAATCTAACTACAGGGTACAGACAAATATTGCATTTTCTCCACATTTTAGAGCACAGTTTTTATTTATTTGCCAAGTTTAACATACTGGGGAATATAAAATATAAAATGTGTCATACCTTTTGCACAGGCTACATTTAATGCATAATTTTTCCTCAATATGTGCAATTCAGCAAATAAACAGTAACTGTGCATTAAAATGTGCAGAAGTATGTAGAGTAGTGTGAACGTATTTTTATGTAGAAAATGAACAAAACTTTTGCATATTACTGTATCAGTTAGGTTCTAATTAGTAGAATAACAGGCAATAAATAAATAAATAAATAAATAACCATCCCTGAAAGGCCCATCAACCTCATTTTGGACTTAACACTCACCTGCCCTGGATGCTCTACAGGTTGACTTTTTTGGGTGGAAGGGAAAGGAGGGGGAGAATAGGTGGAGGCAAAAACAGGCTCCTACAGACAGGAGATGGAGTGAGAAGGAGAGAGGGAGAGAGAACAGAAGGAAAGAAAAAGAAACAAACTGAAAAAGGCCAAAATGAAAGGACAGGATGAGCGACAAGAAAGGCACAGAGCAATGTGAGAAAGTGACACAGAATATGGGTAAGAGCTGAAGAGAAATGAATGCGGTTAAAAAGTGGGCCAAATCCTAATATACTCAGACCTCTGAAAGCTATGCCTCCACAAAAACCTTGCAGAAGAAAACGCACAGCTTTTAGTACGAGAGGACAAGAACAAAACAGGACTTCAAAAGCTGCAGTCATATATTAGGCACATGCACGCAGAGTCAGTACTGCAACATTTTACATCTGTGACAGGACACAAGATACAGAAATGAAGAACCAAGAGGTCCAACACCAGTCAGAAGCATAAAAGCTTGGAAATGTTAATCCAGCAATCTTAAATATAACCGTGCAAAAAGGGTTCCTTGTGGCAATGTCACAGAAAAACCACTGTTGGTCCTGTAAAGAACCTTTCAATGGGTACATCTATAAAGAATCATTTTTCTAAATGAGAACTTAAGTTTCTATACCAATTCAGCAGCCCATATCCAAATTTAGTGTTTTCCACACCCATGTGATCCATTTTTGATATCTGTGTGGTTTCACGCACAAAACTTCTCTTTATCCCTTACAACAGGGTTGTCAAACTCAACCAGTAAAAGGTCCATATTAAAAAAAAAATCTCATCAAATCTGTGGTCCAGAGAAATAATTATAAATTAAACAAAAACAATTTATGTTGTGCTATAACCCAACTGGCCATTGTTTATTCAACATATGCAAAAACTTCACCAGTAAAATACAGACACTTCTAGTAGACCTTGAAATATTACACGGACACTTGAAATATCCAAATTTTAAATGTCACCAGGAGCTCAGTCTTTTAAACCTGCCTATTTGATTGAACTACACACCTGGTATCCTTTCTTTGCTGCAAGTTCATTAAGACCTGGGCTCAATTTCTGAGCTGCTGAGCTGACGTTAGGTGTTGATATTGGCTGAACTGCAGCTGAAATGCATTTTGGTTATGTGACTGGTGTAGAATTGCACAGAATTGTGTAGAGTTGAGTCGCAACCGCTGTCCCATAGATTGTTGTTGTGGTAGGAGAGTTGGAGCACATTACTTTGCAGTGCATGCTGGGGACTGTAGTACAGCACATTATGATACATACATACATACATACATACATACATACATACATACATACATCATCTAAACCGCTTATCCTTCTGGGTTGCGGTGGGGTGCTGGAGCCTATCCCAGCTGTCATTGGGCGGAAGGCAGGATACACCCTGGACAGGTCGCCAGTCCATCGCAGGGCCATTATGAAACAGGCTAATATTAATAAAAATTTAAATACTTTTATGGGCCGGATAGGATTGTGTGGTGGGCCTCATCTGGCCTGTGGGCCTTGTGTTTGACACATGGGCCCTAGTATTACACAGGCTAGTTTTGCTACTGTGCCTTTAAGACTCATACGCAAATGGTCTCTGCTCTGATTGGCTGCCCTTTATAGTGCCTCATTCAAAAAGGCTGAAACACTACTTCAGTGTGAACGCACTAATCTGCGGTAAGCCAAATTAGGTGGATACGTTAAACACATTGTTTTTGTGGCATCAAACAATGAATTCCAAATTAGCCATTTTGGCAACTTAGCCTTCATATATGGACGATATATGGAAAAATGCGTTTAGAAACGAACAATGCTTACACAAAACATCAAACCATTCCATTTCAAGAAAGCAAGGAAAGGTTTTCCCAGAACCTTACATCAAAGCCAAGAACCATTTAGGCACCATTAATTTTAAGAGTGTATTTAAATGATTAGAAGTTGTCCAATTTCCCTACAGCCACTTTAAGGCAAAGCATGAGTAAAGAAACACTGAGAATGAAGGCAGCCACCTGTTAGTGCACACCCATTTATAGCCAGCCTGAATAAAGGAACTGACCTGTGCTTGGAACCCAGTAAGTAGTTTGTGAAATCAGAGACAAGCAGAACAAGCAAGAAGTCAAAGTGGCAGAACTTAGCATGAAGAATTCCCTGGCCTTTTAGGGCATCCATCATTCACCTCGAAGCGTGAGGCAGAAAGCAAGAAGCAGTGCAGCAGAAAAAGGCTCTGATAGTTGCAGCCTCTGCAGTGGTTAAATGTATTATGCACTCTTGAATCTTACCCAAACCTGCTCAGATGACGTAAACTCCTCAACAGCCCTTTCTTCCTACAACACACAGGGAATGCATGTAAGGCACCACCAGATATCCGTTAAAAATTATGCTTGCGCTACGGCTGCAGCAATATGAAATTTACAATACAATACTAGAATAATAGAAAATTTCATTTCAGTTATCTTGACTCCCTGGCAACGGATGGCTGTAACATCATCGCCTGTTGCATCGAAGAATACTGTTTTTTTGGGTTGTTTTTTTTCCCCAGAAACAGTGACAACAAAAAACACTGTACTGAATTTACCAGAATGTTTCCCTTATAAGTCCAAAGGAGCAGTATCGGTTGCTGAGAAGGAGGAGGATGCAGAAAAAGTAAAAGTTGAAATACAGCCCATGTGCCTTTTTGTTCATGTGCCTAGAAGGAACAATACTTTCTGAATTATGTATTTTGTGTTACTTGCAGCTAGAAACCAATAACATGCAAGTAGCAAAAGGTGTAAAATAGACTTGAAGCTCAAAATTGCACTTTGTGTATGCGTGAGCATAGCTGTGCTCTTTACTGAACATGACAAACATTATAATAAAGTATAATATACTATTGTGTTATAACCAGATACACATAGGAGGGTAAGGACTTATGCTTCTTTAGGCAACAACAGTTAAGCCAGTCAACTTGAAAACAGGATGAACAGAAGCGTTGCATGAATGTACATAATCAAACACCTTGGACAATAATTGGTGTCTTGCTGAAGAATAATTATTGATAATAGGATTAGTGGTCAAGAGATCAAGATTACAGAGTCACCCACCATTAATTTCTATGGCAGGGTTAGACTAAAAATTGCCTCAATTATGAAAAAACACATTTTTGCTATTTTTAAGTGAGTATATGAACTGACCACCAATACATAATTAACATTTTTAATCCTGGTTAAAAAAGACAAGGAATTTCCAAAATCTTCATAGCCAAAACGAAGAGAGCAAACAAATGTAGCATTAAATACAACTCGAGCAATGTTCTAAACCTACAGTATAACAGGTTTACACAGTAGGTGCTCCAGCACGATTTTATGCAACGAGAAATTACAGAGCTGAAATTTTTTTGTGGTAAAACCAATCCTGAAGGTTCTGTTCTTTCACTCAGATAAACTCCTGAGAAGAAATACGGGAGAACCATGAGCAGAAAATGATAATGATTTCATGAAAATTCTGGTGAGCTCTCAAAATACAGGAGCTGTAAAATAAATAAATTAATAAATACATACATACATACATACAAACATACACACATACAGTTTCCTACGCATTTTGACTCTGTTGCTTACCATACCAAGGTCAAAAGGGCAACGTGTACAAAACTTAAAGGCCGCTTAGACCTCATTTGTGTTCTACTGCCTCAAGTGTCATCGTGTTTGGTCCTCTCGATGATACCTATATGTGAAGTAAACGCCGCTAAGCTGTCTTAGCTGTTATAGCAGTCCACAGTAACTGGGGAAATCAATTTAAAATAAAAACAAAGCAGTAGATCTTTGTCTAGGTTGAAAACAACGACATACTGTTTGCAGTCAACATTATTTGCCAACAGTGGCTACTGTTCCACAGCTATCTGAATATGCGAAAATGAAAAACTTCGTGTCTCTTTTTACTTTTCGGTAACGATATCTCAGTCCTGACTGACCAATAAAAATAAATACTATTCATTTGGGCTCACTAAATAATGACTGAACTGTATTCTCTCTCATAACTCTCTGCTTTAAGTAGACCCCCCTGCTCCCTAAACTTAAACTCATCAAATCTACACAATTCATGTGAATGACATTCATCATCCAAAGCGGGGAATATCACAAAAAGTCAGTGGGTTTGCATGCATGTTCAGTGTGTTCTGCTCCACTGGTTCAGTCTGGTCTGACATTACTTCAGATGAAAGCAGTGTCTGAACATTTACCTTCTTCTTGAAGCCTTGCTCCTGCCATATTTGGCTGCTCTTCTCACTCATTGACACCACTTCTTGTACGACTTCCTGCTTCTTGTTGATCCTGTTCTTCCAATCCTCCTCCCCGCTCTTTTTCAACATGGCTAATCTGGGACAGAAGGAGAAGTGACATCATCTGAACAATATTCCAAATATAACCTAAAAATACTGGTGGCACTTCTTTTATTAGATGACAGATGATCCCCTGAAGGTTCAAGGGAAAAAAAAACAAGAAAACAAAAACAAAAACAGGGAAAAGCACTCAAGGAAAGGACTTCAATCATAATTTTAGTCAAGGCAATTTTGCTTTCTCTTAAGTCATTACTTTACATTTTTCTTTCCATTGCCTCTCCCCACCCCTATTCTTTCTATTCTCCCTGTTTCATCACCATAAAGAAGAGCAGACAGCAGAGCTGTGCTCTAAAATAGCGACCTCTCTGTGGCTCAGTGAAGGCTGAGAGAGGCGCGCTGACCCACATTCATTCATCAAAAAGGACACAAGGAGAACAGTGCTGGTATCATGCCCCCTACATCAGCACAATGTGCTCAGTGACTAGGTACTACACAGCTTAGCATCAAGAACAAACCTCTGGTCTCTTTGCAAAATTTGGTGCGAAATCTAGTGTTTAAACAGATGGTCAATGGACCAGGCTTGATCTAAGTCAGAGAAAAATGCTACTCTGGGACACGACACGAGGCAAAAATCATCCTCAGTGAGAGGCTAAAGCCTAAAGTGATATCCTAGGTAGCACCCTACAATTTAGTGCATCATTGCTCTGGTCTCCTCTAGACTGTGAAAGGGTTGCACAACTGCACAATTGATACAGTGAGGGGAAACGAGTATTCAGTTTTTGGTTTTTAATATTCACTTACAGCGCATACACACACTTTGAATATTGACCATGTTCTACTATGACACTGTATTAAAGTGTTGTGATAAGCACCTCGTGATGTGGAGCTGCATGTCTACAAACACAACCAGGAATTACATGTCATTACATGAAAGGAGCGATATACCAGGACTTATTGGTGCAGAATTTAATCTCATCAGTCAAGAAAGGGGAGAAGATGGAAGTTTCAACAAGACAAAGGTGCTTGCATGGCCTATCCAATCTCCTGACTTCCCATTGAAAATATATGGATTTTCAAATTGCAGCTCCATCAGGAAAACTCTTGGAACTTTGGGGAATTGAAGCTGGTTTGCCAAGAGGAATGGGCCAAAAACTGAACCAATATCCTGTTAGAAAGCAAATTACCTGTTAGTGTAGACTTCTCAAATGCTGTAATTGTCAACAATGGCTTTGCAACAAAGTAAATATATTTGGTGTCTGAATACTTTTTCCACCCCCACCCATCAATTTTGTTTTTGATCTGTTTTATGATTCTGAATACATCTGTTCTTAATTATAAATACAAAGTCAAGAGATTGGGAGTACAAATATGAAGTGAATATATGCACTAAAGTATATTAAATAAACAAAAGTGAATACCGCCCCCATCACTGTACTGCAGAAGGCTACAAAATGCAAAGGAGTGCTTTAACATATTACAAAATTGCTTACTGCATGCTGTGAGATACTCCTCAGTGAGTGTTCTGTGAGCATTTTGATGAACCAAGGCCATGTGTCAACTCAAGGTTTACATTTGCATTGCACGTAGCATGTAAGGGTGTGCACGGGTACTGAAGTATTCATTTAACCCAGTGGTGTCCAATCTTACCTGCAGTGTGCCTGCAGGTTCTAGTTCCAAACATGCAGAAGCACACTTGATTTCACTTGTTTAATCTTTTGGTAAGTCTTCAAACAAGTTTGTGTGCTTCTACTACTATTGGACGAAGTACTGCAGCCACATCAGATAGGACACCACAGATTTAACCAGTCCAGGTTAACCACCAGCATTTGAATGCTGAAATCACTATTTGGGTATTCGTTACAGCACATCACTGAAATTAAACGATCTGTAGATGATGTGTATATTTAGGCCCAACCCCATTTCCTATTTTAACCCCTACCCCTTGTTTTCGAGTGTCACCTTGCCCCTTGGGACTGAGTTACAAGGGGTAGTGGTTAAAATCTTCCCCTGTGAGATGGGACCCTCAAATAATGAGAACATTACTTCTACTTCTGTTTGGAGTGTCTGGAAGAACTCAGTTTGGAGGGCCTAGACATGCAAAACAGAGGGGTAAGGGCTAGTGGTAGTGGCAAAGAGTGAAATGCGATTGGACCTTATTTTAGAAAATTAACAAAATATGGAATTTGACCATGGGCACCCAAACTTTTACACACGTCTGGATCAGTCATTTTTAGAATTGAATATTGCCCAACCCTAGCCCTTAGTAGAACTGAATATTGCCCAACCCTAGCCCTTAGTAGAACTGAATACTGCCCAACCCTAGCCCTTAGCAGAACTGACTATTGCCCAACACTAGCCCTTAGTAGTTGCTTGTATTTGCCTAGTGTTGCCCCACATCCACTTACCTCTCTTTAATCGACATGGATGTCATTGTCTCTGGTTCTTCGTGGGCCACAGGCTGATTTTCCCTGGATGCGAGGGGTTCAGGGGGACCAAGCTGGCCAGAGACAGAGATCTCCGGTGGTTGAGCTTGGCTGTAGGGGCCTGTTTGGACCTCGGGCTGATTTGGTATGAAGTACTGGGGTTTGGGCTGTGTCTGTGGTGGCACCTTGGTCTGCGGAGGGGTGTAGGAATACGACTGAGTGGGGATGAACGTCTGAGGCTTCGGTTGGGTTTGTGGGGGTGCTTTAGTTGGTGTCTGTCGCTGGGGTTCTTGGTATGCTTGTGCTGTCTGTTGTGGAGGTGAAGACTGGACGTCTGTGTATAGGTGGGATTGAGGCTGAGACTGGTGGTCAGGGTAGGGGGCCAGCTGGGCTCTAGGAGGAGTCTGAGGTGAGGTCTGAGCGTAAAGTTGGGGCTGAGAGCGTATGTGCGTCTGAGGGGAGGTCTGAGAGTGCAGCTGAAGCGGTTTGGTTTGGGACTGCAGCTGTGGCTGGGACTGCAGCTGTGGCTGGGACTGAGGTGATGTGTGAGGCGGTGTCTGTTGTAGGTAAGGAAGTGTGTGAGAGGTGACGTGTGAAGCGTGTGAAGAACTTCTGGAGGCAACAGCCACAGTGCTCACGGTACGCACTTGAAGTCTGGGTTCAGGAGTGTCTGTGGAAAAATGTACACAAATGAAGGACATTATATTCAAGTTAGAACATGAAACGGAAAATTGAACCAATCCTGACCAAGAGTGACCAATCTTGTATATTCTTGCATTTTCAATAGGATGTGTCTACCACTTTAAAAGAATGGTTTGGTTTAAAATTGTAGTCCCCCAAATGTAGTCAACCAGCTAAGACGTGTTCAGTGTCCAAATATTGCTTCTGTAGTTGGGGCTGCAGCTTTGAGGCTAATGATGCTTATATATAGTGTTTTCCAGCAGCAGTATTCAGTTTCCACATGGTACAGTTACAAATCCAAACGCACAACTATCCTTACCCTGCGTAAGTACCTGTGTCTGTTTAACATCACCCAACTTCATCACCCTATTTCATAAGAATCTAATGTAAACAGCAAACAAGCAACAGTAGTACTAATCACCAAGTGGAAAAATGACAGTACACTAGAAGTCAATTGTCACGCAAATCTATTCCTTAAGTACCTAAAACTTCTCTAAACACACTGACACCGCACTCAGCTCTTCATTAAGGTGATGCAGACTTGATGTGGTTTAGGACACAGTAAGACTGTGATCTATAAAAATTAACAAAACTTCACAGTGTAGCTGAATTTTACAGTCAGCCATTTTGTACAACCATAGTGTTGTGTAAGTTATACAAGTTGAGAAAAGTTTGGGGATGCATTTAGAGAACCGATTTGGGTGACTATTGAGTTCCATTGTTTGTTAGCTACATTATCCTCGTAGCTCTAGTGCTAAATTCAGCCACGAAAATGTGGACACCAAACAAGTCGTTTTAACATCGACAACTGGAATAAGTGGGAAAACTGCATATTTGTTTTTCCATCAAAGTATTTCTTTAATTATTTGTCTCTTATATGTCGTTATCACACGGTGCTACATATATACCTGAATTGCTCAGACCTCCATGCCAAACAGGAGGAAATCAGCACTGATCAGGATTTTTTTCCTTGCAAATGTACATAGGGATGATACTGAGGTGAATAAATGAAACCCAACACACAAGGCTTCCATTGTGTCTTTATGTTTCTGTGTGACCCTACTTTAAGTAGCCGGTTACAAATGTATATTTGCATGTATTTATTTGCATCAAAAAACACTCTACACTGTACTGACATCTCATGGAAGATTAAGCTCATTCATTTTTTCCCCACCTTAGAACACGCCAGCAAATTATTAATGCAATTCCACTCACACACACTTAACACCGAGAACACATCCTTCTCTCCAGAGACAAAAGCATGAAGGAGAGATAGTAACACTCCAGTGAAAAAAGCCTCCCACCTCCTTCACACCAGCATCGTCAGTTTGTTTTGCGGTTTCTCCGGCGCAGACAAAGAAAGCCGTGGGCTGGATGGATGGCAAAATTATGCTAATCACATTCAGCCCCGAGCAGCATGGCAGACGGAGCCTACTTAACCCAATCAGAACGCGGCTCTGGCGGACAGGCAGCCAAGTGTGACACAGAGCCTGTGCATGTGTGTCAGACACAATAAGGATACAGCTGAGCAAAACTGCACCCCCTAAACAGCTCTTAAGCCCAGTCCTGCATGATTTTCCCTCTCTTTTCTTTCCTTTCCTTACCTGAGCTGCTGCACCCTTGCCCCGTCTGAAAAGCGTCTGGTGAGAGGTAGCCTCTTTTCGGGATGAGTGTGCTCTCTTTCTCTCCCTTTTGCTCTCTTTCTTGCTCTCTCTCCCATTCACGCTGCCTCTCTTGCTCTGGCTGGCGGCTCGGCTCAGTCTCACCCCTGCCGTGAGCGTGTGAGAGGGTGTGTGTACGAGGGAAGGCGTGAGGGGGCTCTGCAAAGCCAATTTTTTCCCTCCACCCACTCTCCTCCTCCTGCTTCTGCTCATTCGCTGGAACTGCTACCGCCACGCCCTTGCCTTGAGCCGACTGGCCGAGGGCCTCTGCTGGGGGCGGAGAGTAGATTTCAGGGGTACGGTTCTCTCCACTCTCTGTGAGGCTGAAATATCGCACTCCTCTCTCATAGGCTGGAAGCTTACTGTCTGGCGGCTGATTGGGTGAGGGATGAGTGGGCGGCGTGTGAGGGAGGGCCGTGGACATCCCCAAGTGGACGTCTCCAGTCATTGCCATAGAAGGGCTTGTCACCGTGGCAACAGAGGCCTGGGCGGTGACCGCAGCAACGGACCGGACCAACGATGCAGAGAGAGGCTCCAACTTCACACTGCCGTTCTGCAGCTACAGAGAGAAAGAGAACAAATAGAGAGAGAAGAATAAAAAAGAGGTAGGACGTGCAATCAGAGAGAAAAAAGATCCAGCTAAAATTGGGTTCAAATACAGTAACAGTTAAACGACAACGGATAGACAGATCTCAGTTGTGAAAGAGCACATGAATTTTCATCTTCATTAAAAACACTACACGTCAGCATTCACGTCACTACCATCACCAGCTCTCAGCTAAAATGATCAAAAACATTCATCACAGAGGTCATATCCAGCCAGCATGATGCACAGAAAGCTTGGACGGTGACTACAAGCATGGCATACAGAGTAGCCTCTACAGCAAACCTGGGTTCCTCCTTTTCAGTCCACAATCCTGCAACATGCATATTATGATAAAGAGTCAGATGTTCATAAAGCATCAAAAGACGCTACTAATATCAGAGCAGCTGCTGGTACAAAATGAACTGTGTTTTAATCAGGGTTTGGTGGCATAATGGTAATATAGTATCCTGTGGAATTTAAAAATTACAGTAGTATTACAAACTTGCAGTCAAATAAACACATCCCGAGCCCAATCTTCAGTTTATATTTTAATTCATCACTCAAATTTTAAACCATCAATCGCTAAGAGCTAAACAGCGCTAAGTAGGACAGTAGAGTGGGGCCAGCTGTGGTACTGGTGTTGGCTTAGCTAGGAAGCCAACAGCTCTAAAGACCACAAGGTTCAATTCAGTTTAGAAGATCTAAACTCTCATCTAAAAGTCATTTGCTGCTGCACAAATTGCTTGTATAAGTTCTTAAGGCTGGATCAGATAAAGCCCCCTTTCTGAATAGCACGCCCTGATGGACTGACTGACAGGTGAATATTTACATACATTTTTTTTTTAACAGACACTCTTGCCCAGAGCGAATCAGTTTTAATAATTTTACAGAGGTGGGTGAGCAGTGTTAGGAGTGTTGCCAAAACAGGGAACTGAACCCCAGTCCGTCATCTGGAAAGTGGACTTTTTGGTTTGTTTTCTTGCAGTGTTATTTTCTACTTTTTGGTAATATGTTATACTGAGCTAATATTTTTAGATACGCCATTTGTGTCCTGATGAAGGCCTGAGAAGGCTGCAACGCATCGGCACACATTTATACATACTGTCATGTTTCAGTAAAGGCTTTTTAGATTTTTTCTTAAGACTGTGTCTCTTTGCTGTGGGATTTATTTTGCACATGCCTTGTGGATGCAGACGGATCTTTTGGTTTTTGCCACTCCCAGCATGGAAGAGTTACTTTGAATATTTTACGACTGTTTGGTGACATGAAAAGCAGATACCACCCAAACCTAAGTTTAAACACTATGTAAGTTTTGGGGATTTGGAGACCTCTCTGATGGAAATGTACAACATGCCAAAGAACATTTTGTAATGCTGGTGGTGCTTCGGACCCCTTTCCCAAGCAGATGAATCTGATTATTACGTGTATTCAGAGAGAACTCAGTCAAAACTTGAAGGACGTTTTCTGAGCAAGTGAGTTATCTACCATTGTCATCATATGTTCATCAGTATAATGCTGATTTGGCATTTGAGACCTAAACTTTGAGCCAGGCCTTTGAGCCAGAGTCTGTGCGCGTAATGTTCATATGTAAAGACGTATGACATAGTTAAAATCCAACCAGACACCTCTGACTTTTAAATCTCTTTTTAAGCCTCCACAGGGCGACTCGAAGCAGCACAGCACACTGACACCATATTTTAGCATGCTATTTTGTCCTCCAGGCTCAGTTATGCTACGTCTGCCAATTTTAACAATGTCTTAAATATTTTTAAGGGACACTTCAGCCAGACTAGGAAACCCCCTTCTGATGGTGTTTCTCAAAGGTGGGAAAAACTTCAGCTGCCATATTGCAGCTTTCTCATAGCAACTAGTATTACAAACTGCATAAAGAAAAGGAGGACACACCCAGGTCTCAAACCAAGAACTTTCACCCTTCATCCACTAGATGCTGCAGTTCCTTCACACATGGCCTTCTTAAGAACATCCTTACAAGGTATCCCAACCAGAGCACAGCAGTCAAGCAAACAGTCTAGATTAAGAAGATGCAGAACTACTTGTTCTAGCTGTTGAACGATCAAGGCAGGATTCACGAATGAGCCAATCAAAAGTGATCTATATTTTCTTACTTGCTTGCCCTGTGGTGGTTCTACAGAAACGTTAGTGATGGCATCAGGATCTTTGTGACCTGATGAAGCTATGTCCTGTGTTAGTTCCTGTAAAAAGGGACAATGTTCCTTCACACTTAAAACAGGACTGAAAGAAAAAGTCATGGAAATGTCCTACAAAACTACACTCTCAAAAAAGATGCCTTTCCAAGGGTTCTTTAGTAAAGTCAATGGCTCTATACAGAACCACTCGGTATGATTAAAGGGTTCCTTACATAGTTAAATGGTTCTTCAGATTGATGGAGAATGTGCTATAGATGGTTCTATGTAGCAGTCTCTTGTTACAGTGTCAAGCTTGTAACAATAAAAGAACCCTTTTGTTTGATATATAGGACCCTTTTCAAAAAGGTTCTATATAGACCGTCTACAGCACATTCATGGACATGAAGAACTCTTTCATGATGCAAAGAACCCTTTAATCATGCAAACGGTTCTTTGAGTGATCATGGTTCTATACAGAACCAATTTCTTTAAAGAACCCTTAAAGCACCACCTTTTTTAAGAGTGTAGACAATGTTCACTGGATTAATAATGTGCCACCCGTAGACAAAGCAGTACATTAGCTATGACAAAGTACCTCAGAAACATCCCATAAGCATCTTTTTGCTAAAACATCTAACAGTCATCATTTGTTTTGGTACTGGAGACAAAGTCCTGCACAGTCTGCCAGTCTCCCCAATTCTAACACATTTACTAAACGACCTAGAGTTGAACCAGGTGTCTTAAAGCAGGAAAATCACCAAACTGTGCTGGTCTAAGGCCCTCTAGCTTCAGAACTGGCGACCCCTGCTCTAAAATAACTAAAAAGGTTGCTACGCTCACTTGATCCACCTCCCCCTGAGTGATGGGCTGGGTTTGGAAGCGGGTGTTGACCCGCCGTTGACGCAATTCGGCACGAGCACCGTCTGCTGGTTGGGCAGCAGGCTGTGACAGGCGATTAAATAGAGCCATTTTCTCTGCCAGACTCAGTGTTGATAGGTCTGGCTCCTCTGTGTCGGCTCCTTGTCCTGACTCCACTTCTTTAGGTGGAACCTCCTTCTCCTTCTCTCGGGGTGTAGAGCCTGGGGCTGAGGATGCCTGCAGGCTTATAGGAGAAATAAACAAGACAAGTTAAACCGAATACATGTTAAAAATAAAAGAAATAATGAATAAATAAAGAAAACATCCCAACATAGAAGAATGAGAATAACACATTTGCTTAGAGAGTTAGCACTCTACATACAACAGATGCCACACATGCTCCAAAGTAGCTACACACAAATTAGAAAAACAAACAAAAAAGTAAACAAAAGTAGTTAATAGCATATTAACTAAGAAATTAATAATACATGCTCAATTTGGTAGCCGAATCTCAGAAAACACACAAATACCCTTTACCAGCATAAGCATGGAAATTATGTAAAACAAAGAAAATATAATGTAAGAAGAACTGTAGGCCGGGAAAAGAATAGCATACATTAAAAAAAACCCTCAAGAAACCATGATTAACCCCAATCAGAAGTGCTGCATATTTAATAATGATAACGCAACACAGAAGACATGACACGCAAGATTCAAACACTTTGCCTACTTCTCAATTACAAAAGTGTGCAAGTTTTTACCATCAGTTTCGTTGCTGGTATATATATGTGCGATTAAGCTCATGACAGAGTGCCTGTAATTTTAACAACCTGAAAAATGCTTGATTTGCAGTTAAATCATCAAATTATCATCAATATGAATATTAACCAAAACAAAATGGAATAGAGAATAGAGATGTACTTTTAACATGCACTGTGATTTCTTTACTGTGTAAAAAAATATGTTCCATTTAAAGACATACTCTACTGTGCTTTTGCTTTTTTACAACTGATACAGTAAATAACTACCAGCCAATAATTAGCTTACCAAGTGCAGTAGAAGCTCTCATTCTGCAATATTACTGCTCAAACAGTTCGTTTTTTCAGGAAAATAATCACAACACAGAATCACATCATTGTACCATCTTAAATGAGACTAAAAATATTTGGTTTACATTTTATTCTTTTCAATTGCTGTAAAATTAACACTAGACAGCTGCCAAAGCTCTGGCCAGTAGGGGGAGCAGTGCACTCCCTGTGTGACCCCAAACTCTGCTTATGAGGCCAACCACTGGTTCATGAGAAACCATTTCCTTTTTTAGCCCACTATGGTAAAATCTGCATGAGTTGGGGTGTGCTTCATATAAATTAAATATAGAGGAATAATTGGGGTGCACCATTTCCAAATAATATATTAATGGGTAAACGGTGCACAGGTGCTTGTTTTCACACACTGAAGCTGCTTTATTGATTGTGCTCATATATCCACTCATTTCAATGTGGTACAAGTTTCATGAGTCAGCCTAGAAGTAGTTCATAATTAGTCATTCTGCAAACTCCAATCTGCACTAATTTCTAAGCAAGTTTAATGAATAAGAGCAATTACACAAAAATACTCAGAGCACCCAACACTTCCATTTTCCCTTATTTTATTTATTATAATAAATACATTCAATTATTTAAATCAGTTTCAAGTCAACATACTATGTAACTATCTCTAGTACAAATACACAGACTCTCATTCCTCTCTCTCTCTAAGTGGCTGCCCCTTTGACATTTCGTGCTCCCAAGAAGAACACAATGTGTTTTGTTTTCTCCAAGTGACCAAGTGGACAAGCCCCACCTACAAACACGTTTGACCCCACATGTACACTTCTGTGTGGGATATACTTCAACAATGCAGTAAAATCTATTATTACATGTAAAACAGAGTTCAATCTTCCTGTGACTGTGGCAGAGTAAAAATAGGGTTGTAACCTGAGACAATGCAGCATTCAACCAGCAGAGTGTGCTGTGGAACACAAACTTGACTGCTGAAACAACAGAAATGACCATTTCCATGTCATGGAGATCTCAGGGATCTGTTCAGCAAAGCTTGCCAGCTGAGCAAGTCAATGACCAGCAATTTACATCTTAACTGTAAATCAGTTGGATAAAGCCATGCTGCAAAGAAAGTATCAAGCACCGCCTGATGTACATTCAGGCATTACACACAGGTTAAATTCAAGAACACCATGAGACCTGCTAGCCAGAAAGCTCATTTGAAGCCTTAAATCTCATGCACACGCACATACAGGTACCTGAAGCTAGTCATTGTTGTGCTGACTACTGTGGGACTGGGAATTCTGGGGGTTGTAGTTTGAGCAGTGACGATTTGGGATGAGGAACCAGGAGAACTTTAGAGAAGCACAAGGCAGTAAAATATGAGAAGCTACAGCAATAACACTGAGGTCACAGCAGAGGAGTCAAAACAATACAGACATACTAGACACAACAAGCACGGCAATGCAACAAACCAACAAAATCAAATGGCTTTACCGATATATTAACAAGTAGCCTCATAGCCATCCAGTGTCATCTCTCATTCTGCCAGCATGTGTTACATGTTGTCCCAACACATAACTTCACATAAAAATACATACTTTAAATGAATGATTCAGAATTAACTGTAAGCCTCCTAGATTGTTTGTCTACAAATAAATAATGTTTAAACCACTGTGTGTTTGCTTTAAACAGAAGCCTAGAATCCAAGAACATAATGCTATATGCTAAAACTAACTTAAAAAAGGCCCAGACTCTTTCAAAGAGAGCTGATCTGCCAAAAGACCTTCAGGCAGGAATTTCAAAGATCAACACTCACATCCCTAATTGAGCATTTCCAGAAGTTACTTGCTAATAGTATGTGTGTTGTCTGGTCTGTTTAATATGTTATATGTCACACGTGTGCATGACGAATTCTTTGTATGTGTAACATACTTGGCGAAATAGAGATACTGATTCTGAAGCGACGTTAGAGGAAATGACCTACGTTGCAGCGATGACCACTTCTTCTGTGGTGACGGGCTGGGTCCGTGAGCGGTCCTGTGTCCGTCTGAGTCTCCGCTCCACTGCTGCATTACGTGACCGAGGTTTGGGAACACCACCTTCTGCAGTTTTCTCAAGCTCCTGAGGGATATAATAAGAAAAGTATATATATATATATATATATATACACACATAAAAAAGGAAGACGGCAAAGAGCTCTTGGATGCTCTGAAATGTAAAATACGTCTCTGATTTTTGATGAGCACAAGGATAGCATTACTTTAGTTTCACAAACATATGCAGAGTTATAGACAGGCCACACTTTTATAAGCGTGTGTACAGAATAAAGAACCAGAGTTCCAGTACCCTGAAGAGAGACCTCTTGGCTGCTACACTCATCTTTGCTCGCTCGTCCAACTTCTCTTCATCCACTATCAAGAAACAAAGAGTAATGTTCAGATTTATTCACTAATCCTGCTACTTCGGTGAAAGTCTGTTGTTTCATTGATACAGCAGGCTTGAGCAGTGGTAAACAGACTAACAGAAAGCTATAGAGGCTTACCTTCTGCCTTCTGTAGCTCTGTAGGACTAAGTCGAGATCTAAAAAGGAGCAACCAAAGTTAAATAAAATGTAATAATTGTACTATCACTGACAGAAAAAAAGAAAGACTAATGTCAGTTCAAGCAGCAATTCAGTTGCACTGTCACAGACTACTTTACTACATTGCAGAAAATACCTGTAGGAACATACTGAAAGAAAATGAACCCCAAAAAGGTCCAAAGAAAGTCTAGGTGAAAGACTAAGTGAAAGTCTTCCATTTCTCAGCATACCTATCTGATTCTAGTCTTTCAGCTGATGTGACTGGCTGAGTCCTAAACCTTTCAGAAGCCTTGCGGTCATCACTAGGGGTGATGTATCGTCTAGGCCGGCGTGGTCCTTTCTCTCGGTCAACACCCCCTGCTGGATCAGCCTCCATAACAGTTGGGTCTACCTTGGACTCCCTTTGCCACAGAGGGTAAAATTAATAGACAAAAAGTAGAAACATGAGAAAAATTTAGAACAAAAATGAATGCTTACATTTTCAGCAACAACTATTCAGTACTTAAGAGAGACAAATGTTTCCTCCAAAATTCATTAAATCACACAGCAAGCAACTGGAGAAGCACAGATCCATGCAATGTATTCAACAACCACCCAGTTAAGATTTTATTTTTTAATTTCACAAACATGCAGTTTTTCAGGAACGAAAATGTCAAACTGACTGCTACACAATCATATGAACATTCAATAAAGGTGACCATATTCAAAAAAGATTTATCTTAGTAATTCTACTCACTGATTAGTGTTAGTGATCACATATTAGGGATTTTTAGGTAAGCAAGTCTTTACACATATTTAAAAATATATTATCCCATTACATTAATATCTCATACAGCACAATGAATCAAGGCAGAAAGCAAGTAAGAGACCAGGGGCCATATACAGAAACATCCTCTCTTTAGTCCCAAGTTAAGATCAACTCAAGCTAAGAATTTTTACAAATTCACATTTCACAAGTAAAACTTAATTTAAGAATTCTCTGACTTTGTAACATCCTATCTCAACCAAGGAAATTCTAAACTACTCATTTGTGGTTGATAATCATTTGTATGTCTGTTACCAACCAACCATAGGAAGCAAGCAAGAATGTAAGCTATAGATAGACAGCTATCATTTTAAAAATGAAAAAAACTGCAATGAACTGAAAGCTTTAGAAAGTTTGGTTTAGGTTAGAAAATTGTGGTGGCACCTTATCATTATGCCAGTTAAAGCCTGTGAACTTATGCTGTCCCAGTGGACATAAGGACATTAGGGCACAATTGGAGTTACCCTGAAATTACACTATTTAGGAAACTGTAGCAGACTAGGATGCTTCTGTAATACTCATTTTCCTCTCTGGAGATAGGATAAGATAGCAGGATCAGGAAAATATGTTCTTAAAGAATAATTTTTACAAAATGAGATCCTAATCTAAGTTGTCGTAGTCGTAGGCAGTCATGGGCTGGAGGTTAGGGAACTAGCCTTGTGACCGGAAGGTCGCCAGTTTGATCCCCTGAGCCGACAGTACGTGACTGAAGTGCCCTTGAGCAAGGCACCTAACCCCTAACTGCTCCCCAATCGCTGTGGATAGGACTGCCCACCGCCCTGGGGAAGTGTCACTGCCCCCTAGTGTGAGTTAGAATGTCTCTGTAATATTGACCCTAGGAAAAGCAAGGCAAGATTTAAGTTAATCCTGAATACTAAAAGGTGCACTAATTAAGAGTTGCCTTGGATTTTTTCAAAATCTCCCACTGTATCATGGCACAAGAAACAGAAACAGAAGCTATAGAGTCAAAGGTCAATTGATAATCCATTTCAAGGTGCCAAAAGATTTATGTACGTCTTTTAAATCCTAAGAAAACGTTAACTAGTGCACCTTTAGTTACTGCCTCTGGCAATGTTAATACCAAAGCATTCAAATTATCATCATGAGCTGCATTCTCCACACTGGAAGAATACTTCTAACGAGTATCCGTCTTATTACAAGTGACATGTCTGCGTACAGTTCAGGCCTGCGTCCAGAGGCATTCTCCAGGTAGGAATGTCTAAGCTTTGCCACAGAAACTCTTGTATCCAAGGTGCCCACTTCACCATTAGTGGCTCCTGTCTCTTTGGCATGGATTCCTATTCCTATCGGCAAAGATTCTCGACTTGCAGCACGCTCTAGGCTGCGGAATACTGCAGACCGCTGAGTCACTCCAATGTCTGACATGGAACGAGTCCGGATTTTTGGCTTGAGGTCGCCACCATCCCTGCTTCCCCTATGGCGTGCTTGAGGGAGGGAAGAGCCTCTCTGTAAGTACCCACTCACTTCTGGCACCCTCTGATTTGAAGGCTCATTGGCTTGCTGCTGTGGGGGTGTGGTGTCCATGGCTTCTGGCAGGTTCTGATGCAGATGACTGTCTCCGTCACCTCCCTCCCCTTGTCCACCTGATTGACCAGTTTGATCTCTGCCATCCCACTTATCCGACTGGCTGATTCTATGTACCCTACGTCCTTTCCAATCTTCTTCCGACTGGCTTATCCTTCTGCGTCTGACTTGCCCCTCATCATTCTCTGACTGGCTGATCCTCCTTCGTCTACCATATACCTCAGACATTTCTTTTTGGATAACCTTTTGACCATCACTTTCCATTTTATCCAACTCTTTTACATTCTTTTCTTCTTTCTCATCTCTGTCACTGACTTGTGTGATTCTCTGTCCAATCTGTCCATGTTTTACCTCTAACTGATTCATGCTTTTGTTATCTTGGCCTTGCAGTACATCCGTGTTTTCAACTTCCATCTCTGCATCTCCTGTTTGCCCAATATTCTTATCATCCCAAAGAAATTTTCCTTCTAACCGGCCTGCCTTCCCATCAAATCGTCCTTCAGCACATTGCTGAGCTTCATCTAACATGTTTATGTTACCAACTTCCCTCTCCTGTCTCTTATCTAACTGGTCCATCCTCCTGTGACCATGCTCAAAAATTTGCCCAATCATGCTTTTCCTGCCCTCTGGTCCCTCTGTTTCTTGTGACTGGCTGATTCTCCCCTCATCTTTACCTACTCTGTCCTGAAACTGGCTGATCCTCTTTTCTCCTTTACCTTCATCTCCTAAATGTCTTACTCTCCTTTCTTCAAGCCCTTCCCTTGCCTCCAAGTTGCTGATCCTTCTTCTGTCTCTCCCTTCACCTTCATCTGCACCCTGCCTAATCCGCCCTCCACCTCTTCCTTTAGCCTCTTCTAACTGGCTGATCCTCCTACTTCTCCGACTCTCCAAAGCTTCTTCGGCGCATCTCTGCATGGTATCATCTACACTCTTTTCCCTGCGGCGGATTTCAGAAGGCAGCACAGCTTTTCTGCTCTTCAGCAGTTCTTTAGAGTGTGGATCAGCCCTAGAAGCTGCTCGACCCTCTCTGTGGACAGGCTGAATATGATCTGCACTAGCACTTCTCCTGCTTTCTACACCTTCCCTACCAGGTACCAACCGAGTCATAGATGGATGGCCTTGGAGGTCTGAAGTCTCATGAGATTCAAGCATTTTAGGAGGTCCAGGTGAAGAGTGAACAGTATCCTCATTCAAAGGAGCAGGACGTTGGCTTGGAGGGTGGGCCTGACCAGAGTGGGGAGCTTGATTATAGGTAGGAGGCAGTCCTCCTGTGGGACCATAAGGTGATGGCTGACCATGAGCGTACCCAGGTACAAGCTGTTTTGTCTGTCCATATGATGGAAAGGCATGCAAGGCATGCTCATATTTGGGTGGTAGATGTTGTGCAGGTTGGTGAGTGACACTACCAATATGCATTGATTGATGGGAGTCTCTGTATCTTGGTTCAGAATGTGGGCCAGTGCTTGGCAATGGTTGCTGAAAGTATCCAGAATAAGACTGCTGAGGAGGTGCATATGTTTGAGAAGATTGTTTGATGTCTGTGCACCTTGGTGAAGATTGCTGTGCTTGCCTGTAATCTGTCTGGTGACCCACTAGGATGCTAGGAAGCACCCCATGAGGTTCTGCTTCTGGTGTGTGTTGGTACTTCTGATGTTCACCTGAAGGTGTGTGTTTATAGCCAGCTGATTCTGTACTCTGAGTGTGATGGTATCGTGGGCGTTCAGTACTCTGTGCTCGATGGTGATGCAGTGGTTCAGCATTAAGATTCTGCTGTTGGACTGGGGGTTCTGCACTCCGTGTACGCAACTGGTTTGTTGGCTCAGAGTGAGGGGCCAAATACAGAGGAGTAACTGTTGGGTGACGTCTGACCGAGGACGCATCTGATCCTGAATCAGATGCTCGTCCTAAGCTGTCCTCCCTTGCACGTCTTTCTCTCACTCGTATTCTTTGTCAGGGGATAAAAGAGAAATATTAGCGTACATCTATACATCAAAGTTTGTAAAGCCATAAAACCATATGGACAGTTAACCATGTATAGTATACAGTGCAGTCTGCTAGTAACAGGACAACGACAACTTTCGCCATAACTCTGTGCTCCAATAATAAATAAAAAGATTTTATTTTGATATATTTATACCTGTATTGAGTTGGCTATTTTTTGTATCAAAGACTGGTGTGTGGGTGTGTCAAAGACTGTTTAGCTATTTAGGAATTATATCTACTTTTGGTGCTACTTAGTAGACCGTGTGTCAAAGACTACCATAAAAAGAAGAGTACACTAGTGTGACCTCAGAGGTGTTATCAAACATGAAAGCTAACAAAAGCTAAATGGTAAGAACAAGCAAAAGAAAATCCAGGTTTCACTTTGCTAAAATAAATAAATATTTAATCACTTGCCTTTACTGAAGTAACTGCAGGATAAATCCAGAAGCATATAGAAGTATCTTAACTATTTAACCGTTCTGATCGAACTGAATGCTTAAAAACTCAGTGGATGCCACTTTACCTTGAATCAAGACGCACCATCGTTATGTCTGTTAGTCGCATTTGATGACATTAAAAGGATTCGCAATTACCAAACGACAAAATGTTATGAAAATGTTAATTTTCTTTCAAATAATTAGGGTCTCCTGTAATGGAGGAAGGCATTCTGCACTTTCACCTCAGTATCACCGTTTCATTTCAAATCTAAAGTGCTGGAGTGCAGGAATAAAATTGGGTCCAATATACAGCTGCACTGTCTAAGCAACTGAATGAATAATAGCCTTTATTCTTTTGCAAAAGTGCCAATATTTCAAACTATGAATATTCACAACCATTCACAAATAAAAATCCTTAATACCCTCAGATGGTCAAAACGCATGAACAGTGAACACCTGAGACCCTTCATCCCAAAAGCTCCGAAGTTAGATTTTTGCCAGTTGTATGCTGGACGGACCACATAACTTTAAACAAATATTTCCGAAATCTTAGATTGAAGAAGCACTAGACAGTGACGCTTTTAATATCCTCGGTGCAACTTATGTTCATATTGTCAGCTATGTCTTTAGTGAAACTGGACCCACTGTAAAAGGTTTGAATGAACAAATCAATTGGGGGGGTGGGTGAGGTGGGGGGTGATGCTGAACATTAGTTGTACTTCCTGGTATTTATGTTTGTCAGTCAGGATGTAAGACTCAAACAGATCACATTAAGTAAGGAAGCTATGTTAGGAAGGAAGACTATCTATGATGTGCATGTTTGTACATCTCTGAATGTACACAATATATATAGTACGATGGGGACAAATGAAGTTAGCAAGTCAAAGTTAGCAGGTTCCATGGTTTACGTGGGGTCGCACACCCAGCACTCAGGTACCTGGAAGGCCAGCTGATAACAGAGTTTGTGTCGCCATCCAAGTCTTTCAGGAGAGACCACTCACTTTGAGAGCGAGACCCCAAGCTAAAGAACATCAGCCAAAACAGTGCAGCTTAGAAATGTATAAGTAACTGTAGCACTGTGCCATTATCATTTCAAAGTTTCAGAGTAAGGCTAGAACTCTTAAAAAGGATTTGACCATGATGCTAGGATGTGTCTCAGTCACTGCTGTCATATTTAAGTTAGCTCTTCCTCACATTGCTTACATGTTTTGGTGGATGTTATATCACAAGGCAGCATTCAGAGAATGCAGCCAATTTTAAGACACTTTATACACCAAGATGAACCATAGAGCTGTTAGTCGATGATTTATACTCTTGGCAAATTATTGTACACGTGTGGTCACAAACGAGGAACTGACCTCTCCCTCTGCATCTGTATTACATGCACACAAACTTTAAACATCATAAAGACTATTTAAAATATATTAAAAATGCCTACAACCCTCCAAATAAAGTATAATAAAATACACTTTCCAAATCCGGTGACTTTCCGCTAACATGGTAAGCCACTTAGTTGCCCCCAAGTACAAGGGCCAGTGCCATGGGGGCTGAAGAGGGCATTTCAAAGTCCTTACAGACCTCCTCTTATAATGTCTTTGCTACAAGTCAGGCAAATAAAGAACGTTATAACTGCTCCTTTTGCCATTGTTTCAACCAATCATACACTATATGTTTTAAAGCGACTGAACAAAACCACAATACAAAACCAAACAGCAAGCAGCTCTCTATTGAAAGGATAGAGCATCACACAGGACAATCATTCATTACTAAGACAAAAGTTAAGAGCTAATGATACCTGCTCTTTTGATTAATAATTTATTGCTTGGTCTTTTGCATAATCTTCCTTTCTTCCCTAGTGTGTATATATGTATATATATATATACACACACACATACATATATATATATATATATATATATATATATATATATATATAGGCAAATTTCAATTAATAAGCATATCACTTAGAAAACTGGCTTCAAAATTCCGCAAGTTTTCACATCCTCCTCTGTTACCTCCTGCACACCATCTCCCACTGCAGCCCCACTAACACAATTTTTATGGGGTAATTTTTGCTCAGTTTTCTCCCCAATTTAGCCATGTCCAATTCCACCCACTAGCTAGATCTCCCCCATCACACAATGCCACCAAACAGATAAAAGCCATCACAAGCTACCTCTTGACACATGAAGCGCCAACGCATCTTTTTGAACTGTTGCTAATGCAATGTCATTGGACAGCTTAATACTTGGAGGAAAATGTTAACTGCTAATTCTGTTACGCTAGCAAACAGATGCCCTCCTTGGATGAAGGGCTATATGGGGTAGAGGGAGGGCCATCTCTATGTTCTCTATGCTCATCCTTTGCAAGGCCAATTATGTTCTCTCAGACACTGATGGCTGTGACATCACCAGTGATCAAACTCCTGACGATGACTATTCATGTTATTTATATATACACACATATATATATATATATATATACACACACACACATATATATATATACACACACACACACACATATACATACATACATATATATATATATATATACATACATATATATATATATATACATATATATATATATATATATATATATATATATATCAGAATCAGCTAACTTCTGGGATTTGGGAAGGACAGTAGAGACCCTCAATCTGCCGTCACTGTGACATTCTAGGCCATCACTGTGGACCTCGGAGGTACGCAATATTGTGTAACCACTATTTTCATTCTGAAAAGATTCAAAAGCAGACTAAACACATTAACAGGGGTATTTACAATTCACCTCAACCTTCGTTTGTTCAGGTAATAAATACAGTAATATAGCATATTTCAATGCAATACAGCATGTTTCAAGTTGTAATACTATATGCACTGCATGCACAGTATGGGGAAGTATCATGTGTATAGCTTTTTTCCCTAAAGTATGTTGCATAGCAACATCTAGGGGAAAAAAATAAATAAATAAAAGCTTGTCACAGTGAGGTAAAGTGGAAGTCTTGCTGATGCACTGATTACAGCTCTGCTCCTTCCACTGCATTACTCTACTGACTGGTTTCACACATTCCTGACTTCAAAAATACCACTCTTCAGCATTTAGCAGACGCACAAGGGCATGTTTCAGCCTTACCCAGCAAAAGGCAAGGTCTCCATCAGCTGCTTAGAATACACACATTGGAAAGGGGAAGAAATCATTGTTGGTAATCATTTAGGTTTAAAAAGGAATTCCACTGGGTTTTCAATTTTTTTATTTCTGCACATTTCAATTGTTAACAGTAATTTGGAGAGTTTAATGTGAAGTAGTGCAGTGCAGAGAAACTTACTGACTCATTTCTGTACAATAGTGGTGAGAGGAACCAGGAGTCGGGATGCCTTCAAGACAAAAATAGCCATTTTATTTGCCATCAAAAATGACCATATGGTAAAGTAGTATTAAATCGCAAAAAAAGTTTTCTTCGTGGAATGTTTCGCCTTAAAATCCCCTCCATGCACCTCTTCACTATGAATGTTTAAGGCCAAAACCTTTTCAAAACTATCGAAAAACAATGTCCTGGGCATCAGGCAGCATACTCAACCATTTTATTTCATAGCAACTGTGAGGTAGTTTTCAGAGGTATTAAGTACTTTGGACACCTGGTTCCCATCATCGTAGCTGTGTACAACTCTGACCTTGCAAGTTTCAGCAGAACTGAGCACTTCACTTTAAAACACTCTACCATTGTACATTTAAGTGATTTAACCCTTTTTTCACAGTAGCTATAAAATGCAATATCCACCTGTTTTGGAAGCCCCTCGGTGAAACTGTGAGGGACTCTTGTTCTTCAATAACGCTGATGGAATATATTTTCAATGGAAATGTGATTTACAGAACCAGAAGCGAATGGGATTTTCATCTTTGCGAGTGAGCAAGCAGATCAATATTTTAAAAGTGTTTGTGTTAAAATGTTTTTTTTTTCCCCCACTTTATGTGAAGAATACTGCAGTTTTGCTGTTTTATCTATGTACAGCCATCTTTATGGAGAGGTGTGAAGAGTTTTCACAGCAGGAGGATCTCACCCCTCATTGGTCACTAGCTGCTCAGCAGAGTCAGAACATTTCACACACAGAGAGCTTCCTAGTTAATCTGATAATAAAGTGACTGGGGAAAAATACTTTGTCATTATGTTGAATAAAATTATCCAAGCTGATTTCCATTCTGCAAGCAGAATGACCACTAGGGGGCCTGTAGAGTGAGGGTAACTATGCAGAAAATTTATGGAATAAAAATCTGAAGCACTTTAAATAGAATTCATCTGCCATAACTGCAACAGCCATAATAATAGCTCTGTTAGCTTCAGTGTGTGGGCGAAGTCCAGCTATTGGCAGGCTATTGTTTTGGGTTCAAGCTAAAAGGTGTGAAGAGACAAAAGAGGCTAAGAGGTTGAGACAGACATGAGACTCCGAAACATCAGCAGGTTCTGGTACGAGATCTGCTACTCCGCTCTGAGCACGGTGGATCTTGACACTCAGAAACTCACAAAGCTAACCTTAAATTTTACCACTAACTCAACTGCCAATGCTTAGCTGCTGCTCTATATGGGGACTTTATGGTAATACACAGAGTGCCTGTTTTAACATAGTTGTCAACAGTGGTAAATATACAGTAGTCTCCACTTGCGGAGCATTTATTCACTGAGGATATACAGGCCCTTGACCATATTAACTCTCACCAACGTGTCAAAAGTTTCAAGATGACCAGAGTGCTGCTTTAAGTGGTAAAACTGGTGTTGTGCACTTGAGTTAATAACGACCAAATTATTCACAAACATGTTATCCTGTTGCCTTCTGATTTTAGCGCTTGCTTGCCAGCTTAGAGAATTTACCTTCTACAACTTCATCATAATGAATTAAGAATAGTTAGGAGAACAGGGAAGCGCAGACTCACCCCTGGCGGCTAAGAATATTCTGTGCCTGTTGCTCGATAAACAGGTCTCCGGGCGAGATGCCGTACCGCGTGGAGGGCAGTGAGGCACGTCGTGCTGTCCGTGGGGAGCTGGCCATTGCCACCACAGCAACACCCCTGGCTGGCTGGGCAGGCGTCATCTCTACAGTGACCGGAGCTTCCTGTGGGCTTGGTTTAGGGCCCCTGTCTGGTGTTCGCCTGTAGTTCTCCAGGTTCATTGCCCTCTCTCTCTCTCGCTCTGAATCCAAGCTCCGGCGGTCTTTCTCTTGGGCTTGGACAGTGGTCAGTTGCTCCTTGGGCCTAGAATGGGTGGTGTCAGGGGCAGGGGTGGAATCAGTTGGCATAGAAACCCGTCCCATCCCAGAACTGCTGTATTTTGACCTGCTGGTACTTCGTTCGTGGCCCTCCTCCTCTCGCCACGCCTCCTGTTTCTCGCCCCGCCCCCTGTCAGACAGAGCCTGTTTTTCTGACAGGTCGGACTCTCTCCGTGCTCGCGTGTATCGTGGTGTGTAATCCGTATCTGCCTCCTGGTCAAGAAGGATCCCGTATCGTTCTGATAACTGCCTCCGGCGTTCGGCTTTGTAGCGTGCGATCCGTTCGGCTTTGGAGCTGAGGCTTGCCGGGTCGGGTCCTCCAGGATTGGGGGCCGGATCTGGATGAGCAGGAGGCTGGTGATCGGGCCGCGTACGCGGCCTAGACTGCCTCTCTGGAGCCTCCAGCTCATCACGACTGTAGCGCCTTACTGTGACAAAACAAGAGCAGCAAAATAAACATATGGACAGGACACAAATAAGTGACCCCAAAGTGTTTGCACTTCGGTCCCCCCAAGACAATGTTTGTGGCAAGACAAAGGCCAAAAAAACACAGCAATATACAAATATTTAATAAAAAAGGTAAGTTTAAAAAAATAATAATATTGTATAACATTAAAATAAAAACTGCTACTAAAATACCTCAAAAATACAATTTAAGGAGTTATAAAATTATATTATATAACAAAAATATGTTTGTTCTCTCATTGGGTGAGATGGTAGGGTTAGGGTAACTTTGTTTTGTTTTCAAAACAAAACAAAACAAAACAAAAAACAACAACAACAAAAAAAAATAGAACTGGACTGGCATTTTAGTCAATGCTAGATTAATTATGCCTACATTTAATACCTCTAATAGTACAACCCCATTTCCAAAAAATTTGGGACAGAATGTAAATAAAAATAGGATGCAATGATGTGCAAAATCATTTAAACCTTATATTTAATTGAAAATAGTACAAAGACAAAATATCAAATGTTGAAACTGAGAAATGATTGTTTTTTGAAAAATAGATGCCTGTTTTGAATTTGATGCCGACAACACATTCCAAAAAAGCTGGGACGGGGGCATGTTTACCACTGTGTTTCATCACCTCTTCTTTTAACAACACTCTGTAAGCGTTTGGGAACTGACGAGACACTGCTGTAGTTTTGAAAGTGAAATGTTTTCCCGTTCTTGTTTGATACAGGATTTCAGCTACTTAACAGTTTGTGGGCTCATGTGTCATATTTTTCATTTCATAATGCACGAAAATGTTTTCAGTAGTGACAGGTCTGGACTGCAGGCAAGCCAGTTTAGCACCCACACTCTTAATATGGAGCCATGCTGTTGTAATACATGCAGAATGTGGCTTTACATTGTCTTGCTGAAATAAGCCTTTTGTTGCAACAGTCTTTTTTGAAACGTGTTGGCATCAAATTAAAAATGGGCATATTTTTTTCAAAACACAACATTTCTCAGTTTCAACATTTGATATGTTGTCTTTGTACTATTTTCAATTAAATATAAGGTTTAAATGATTTGCACATCATTGTATTTTGTTTTTATTTACATTTTACACAGCGTCCCAACATTTTTGGATTGTAAAAAAATAAAAGATTTTTTAAAGCTATTTCATGATAAATCTATTTTAAGACATAAGACTTTAAGAGTCTGTAGGAACCCTGTTTTTTGACAAAAAATTAGCTGTACGGTAAAATTTCTCACTGAACAAGATTTTTGGTAGCATTCTGTAAAGCTTGACCAACACAGAAATATATATTTAAGTAGTATCCCAGTGAGTTATGATATCTACACAAAAAAAAACAAAAAAAAACAAAAAACAAAAACAGTATGGCAGCCCATTTATCTTACCCACAATGCCTGGTTCACTGGAGTCTGAAGCACGTGTATAGCGTGGAGTGTCCTCCTCTAGCAACCGATTGGTCACCAGTCCAGGTGTATGTTGCATGTTTGAAACCAGTGCTGATGGAACATCAGTCTCTATACCCTCCAGCCTTCGTGCAATCCTCTCTTTCCTGTAAGAGAAAATGGTCTTATTTTAGGTCTTTCAATTGGTACAAGCTGGAAATGTCAGTAAGTACATTTCAAAAGTTTTTCAGTAGTTCATTATTTACACACAAACAGCAAGAGAGACCGTGAGGATGACTCACCTATTCATTTTTGGTTCAGTTTTGATTGCCGTTTCAAAATGTTTCCTTAGCTCTGAAACTATGAAAAAAAAGCTTAGTGAGGACCTTCAAATTCCCTATAAACATCTTTGATTAAAGACGAGCAGAATGCTTAACACTGCTCACCTTTGGGCAACACAGCAAGAAGGTTGGCATCGATATCTGTGACACTCCTAACCAGTGTGTTCTTGTCTTCAAAGTCTTTAGAAAAGCTGCAAAGTGGAGAACGAATAATCTTTGAACATGTTTGGGATCACTTGGATGATGAGATGCAGAAAATCCAACCAACTTCTAATACTGAACTTGAGGTGTGGAAATAACATCCCTGTAGATTTCTTTGAAAAACTGAAAGCAAGTGTCCTGAAAGGAATGGAAGCTGTAATAAAAGGTAAAGGGTGGCCCACTAAACACTGTTTGACTGGATATTATATGCCGTTGTTGTTCAAGCTTGTGTATTTTCTGTTAAAATGTTTAAACAGGGTGGTCTCTGGCTTTTGAATTCTAACTACTGCATATGAAATTTGTGGAGCAACCATTTGCTACATTTCAGTACATTGATACGGCAAACTCAAGACCACCGAGTGATTAAGAGCACCCTCAATTTCCAGGTCATAGTATTGCCTAAGACTAGCTTAAGAGTAATAGAAGGAGGATGTTTTTGGAGTCCTGTGTTGGTCCCGTGCTCCTGTGTGACATTTTAAGATGAATTAGTGGAGGGTGTCGAGGACTCTGAACGTACTCTTGGTCTGACACAGAAATAGATTAGTAGCTAAACTATTAATACATCTTCACTTGAGTTCCCCCTTACCATGGCACCATGCTCGCCCAGTCTAAACAGGGCACTCCTATTGCTCCCCAACTTGGCTGCTAATGAAACATAAGGCAACTTCTCGCAAATAATCTTTTAAGGAGCAAGCTCTAATCAGTGGGTGCATATCTGAGACATTCACAACCACGTTGACATTAGCCATGTCATATGCAATATTTTTATTGCTTTGTCTTTATTTAACTATTGCCTTTGTACAATCATTCTAATCTATGTTGCAATACAATGCAATAGAAAAGATTACACCTAACTGTAGGCTATACAGACAGAACATCAACTAATCAACTACACACAAAATCTGAACACCACTTGGAAAGACTATGATGTAGATCTTAAATCCGGCAAAAAATGCTTGAGAATATACAAATCAAAAAAGAAACTCCGCTACATGGGTGGTAAAATGGATGAGATTGCCCAGGGGAAGGGTGCCAATGTGCCAGTTTGGCCATATTTTGGTTTTCAAACAAGTGCAGAGATCCACTGGACGTTAACAGTGTTACATGCTGTCTATGCAGAATATAGCTATCATTATAAATTAAAGTAGTATATTAGAAGCCAGTTCAAATGGTAATTATATAACAATCAGAAATGTTTTAAGCTATAGGGTAAAGCTCTGTAATGCTCACATGTGGCTCTTCATAACTGAATTTGGATAATGACATGGTTTATCATCCAAGCTTATGACATAACATCATGTCTCCAGTTTAAAATGCTACACTACGAAGAATGTTGTACACTGCAAAAATGGTATTTGGCAAGTGAAATTCTTAAATCTGGTCAATATATCTAATATTTCCATTTTGTGCACATTTTTAGACATTTTTGCTTGTTTTACGGGACTTTATCATCAAGTAAAATTCTCACTATACTGACAGAATTTTGCTGGTTTCAAGCAAATTTATTAAAACAAGCAAAAGTATCCACCAATATATTGAGAAAATTTTACTTAATAAAATTACTTTAAACAAGTAAAAAATGTCTAGTAATTATATTATTTACCTTCTTTACAACAATCTTAATGAGAATTATTAGATCTATTGACTATATTTAAGATAAATTTATGTGACAAGATACCAGTTTTTGCAATGCAGGTACATGAAACAATTAAATAAATTTTACGTTAACATTAGTTAAAAACTCTATTAGACCCGTTGTAACAGGCTGACCATTCAAACACATAAATGATCATTTTAATGATTTAACAGTATATTATTAACAGTTTAACAGTTAACATATACAGATTAACAGTTATAAATACGATTAGAAGAGTGTCAAGAAAACTTGCACGTTGCGTGAAAGGAGCCAATCAAATACGGAAGAAGAAATATATGGAAGCCTCAACTGCAGTTCTCGCCAGGGTATGGAACATGCCAAAGTCCACCCTTGCTATGTCTAGGAGATCTAAATGAAAATTATATTCAATACAGTTTTAACACGCTTACATTTAGGAAGCTTGTGACAACTAACAGACACAAAAGACATGACTATATCACTTTGGACCCCAGAGCATTTACCAAAAGAATCCCACTTTTGCTGAGTTCATCTTATAACATGCATTTTACAAATCCGAAGAAGACATTAGAAAACCCACATGTCCATGTATGGAGTTGGGCCAGATAACAGCACAATAGCTTAAACACTCGCCTGATGAAGCTTTATTTGTTCCAAATACCACCCAGGTTTGTTGAAAACATGGTCAACCGAGATCAGTCATACCTTCAGAGGTTAAACCCGTGTTCTCCACTGATGCCTGCCACATCTCACAACTTACAACCTTGTAAAGTTCACTGCCCTACATAAACTTCACATGAAAGTATACTAACTACCATTCAAGTCAGAGACCACTCTTCACCCTTCATTTATTTAATGGCGATTAAATACAAGTTGTTTATTTTTCAGAATCAGGAAAAGAAGCAGAAAACATTTACCAGAAAGTTACACAGAAACATCAACAACTAAAAATAACAAAATGCCTTTTCAGCCTTTATTACAGCTTCCATTCATCTCAGGAGACTTTCAGTTTTGCAAAGGAGTCTGCAGGGATATTTTTTCCACACTTCCAAAGTTCAGTCTTAGAAGTTGGCTGCAATTTCTGCTTTTTATGATCCAAGAAGTCCCAAACACATTCAGATACTTTGGTCTGGACTCTGGGATGGACAGTCAAGGGTTCTTTAGTAAAGGGAATGGCTCTATTTAGAACCCTGAGTTTTATATAGAACAATTTCATGCTTAAATGGTTCTTCGCATGGTGAAAAGGTTCTTCAGGTTGATGGAGAATGTCTTTATGGTTTTATATACAACATTTTTGAAAAGGGTTCTTCTATTGGTACAAGCTTGACATAATGATAGAACACTTTTTTTGGCTATATAGAACCATTTTGTTCCAATGTTCCATATAGATCCATGTACAACATTCCTTATCAATCTGAAGAACAAAAAGAACCATTTCCTTTACTAAAGCACCCTTGAAGAACCACCTTTTTAAGAGTGTACTCATCCTTTCAGACCCACAGCACTGAGCTGTCTTCTCACAGTAGAAGCATGGACAGAAACACCTGTGGATTTTTTCACATCTGATGCAGCTGGATTTTCTCCTCACTCTCAAAGATGAAAGCTTTAAGTGCTGTTTATCTGATGGGGACATGTTTGGTGGTCTACCAGGTCTTGAAGGTGGTTATGAGTCTCATTTTTTCTGTATCTTTTTATCATCTCCAGTTTTGGAAACTCCTGTTTTTCCACTTATTATCCCCTTCATAATGCAAGCGGCTTATCTTGTTCCTAAAATTAATATCTTGTAAATAATGGCCAATTTGAATGAAAATTAAATAAATGAGTGGGGGTCCCGAGTTCTGCACATCACAGCAATGGGGGAGAGAAGTAACCTACCAATCCCAACACTACCAACTGTGTAGTTAAGGACCCCTAGTTATATGTGACACAGATGGAACTCAAAATTTAAATGTACCTTTGCACTAAATTAACGGTCATGTGGCTTGCTGGCTTTGGAATCCTACAGCATCCCACCAGAATGGAGTATAGGCCACAATGCTTATGTTTAAAGCCATTCTGCGGAGTTTAAAGTCCAATGAGATGCTGAAGAGGGCAGTTACAGCCACGCTACTGATTCTCAATTGTGAAATTTATAAGGTAACCACAATAAGACATCACTAAGCAAGTGATTATCCAGTCCATGACCACTGGCCTTTAGAGGCCACTGCTAAATTTCTGGCACTTCAGAAAAATTTGGCCACTGACAGTGTGACTTCGCTGGTATTGAGAGCTGATTCCGCATTTAACCTCCTGTTTGGCCAATAAGTTGTGACATGCTGGCCTTCACACCGAGGTGAAAAGTTTAAAGACTGTCAACATGCCTGCCGCACAGGCCACAGCATTCATAATAGAGCTGACACTGTGACTACAGGTGTCATCTCTACTTCACATACCTAACTTGTCCCTTGTAGCAGCATGACAATGCACAAATGGACCTCAGGGAGTGATTACATGAGAGTTTGTGTGTGAGAGAGAGGAGAGAGATGATGGGACTGAAAAAAAATGAGTAAAACTTAAGCGGAATAAAAGAAACAGACCTCAGAGCTCCTTTCTGTAGCAGCGCAGGGTTGCAGAATTTAACAGGCGGCTCACCTCCCCGCCCTGCGAAGAGAGACAAACCAAACAAAATTCAAAGACGATATTTGGATGGGCAATCCTCATTCTTCACACTCCAGAGCAGCATTCAATGCCTTTATAAGGCTGCCTGCAATGTCTTAGCAAATATTTCCCCTCAGAAGTTGCCTTATAAAGACAGCTGAGTGAGGGGGAAATGTAGGCTGCCATACTCAAATCAAATGATTAAAATGACATGTTTTTAATAAAGTCATTACAGAATAATTTCTCAGGGGGTTATAAAAATGAAAAGTGATCTTCTCCCCTGCTGAAATAAAGTAAACTTCATAAAAAACATAGCATGGATTGGAAAGCGGTCGAACTAAACGTGCAAAAGAGAATTATAACATTCCAGCTCACAGCATTCACTGCATTCCAACCATTTCTAACAGTCATAAAGAACTTTCCCAGAATAGAAAACATCTTGAGTTACTGTCTTTTAAACCTTTTATTGGACATGGAGCCTCTTTACAAACTAAACCTCTAAGCAGCAGCCTGGGTAGCTATGGTCACTACACAACTTCCCATGTTGTTAATGCCAACTGTGAAATGCAGCATTTATAAGTGATCACAGACCCTGATATTCCACTACTGACCTGATCTAATCTCTGGAGGTATTGTTGATCGTTGATTATGCCATATCATTGCTAGCACAAACAGTAGTAAGCCTAAGAACACTACTGTGTGCTCGGATTGAAGTCTGCTCTCCCACATGGGACACAAGTAACTTAACCATTAGGCTAAACGGCCAATTACAAAACACATACATGTACCATGCACAGCTCAAAAACTCCATCCTGAACTACAAGCCTGTAAAAATGCATCAAACATTAGGACTGTTCTCACAACCAGTACTGTGTTTAAGTGTGTGAGGCAGTAATGCCTACAGTCACAACATATTTAATAACTTTATTCATTCTTGTGTGCCTATGTAAAATATAAAGTGGGTGGTGCTGTCGCCTCACAACAAGACGGGCCTGGGTTCGATTTCCAGCTGGGCACCAGGGTCCTTTCTGTGTGGAGTTGGCATGTTCTCCCTGTGTCTGTGTGGGTTTCCTTCCACAGTCCAAAGACATGCAGTCAGGCCAACTGGACATGCTAAATTGCCCCTTAAGTGTGAATGCCTTCCACCCATTGACTACTGGGATAGGTTCCAGCATCCCCCTGCAACCCAGAAGGATATGGGTTTAAGCAGTTCAGTAAATGTGGGTGTTTTTGTAGCCTTTATAGAAAAAGCTGTGGAGGTAATACTGTTTCTCAGCCTTCTGCTTGCATTTCTGATGTAAACAGCAAAAAGTACTTATTTTCTCTTTATTTTGCAAACATCGCATTTTATGTCAAGCTGGTACAGCCCCATCATTGATGTTTATCTTGATTTTAACTTGCATTCAACTTAATATCCATGTCCCTTGTCTTCAGGCCTACTAAACCTAACACTAACCCAGGTCATCATTGTAAACACTATTAATAATCAACCAAGTTTTAGAACAAACTGAGCATTTGTAGATAAGCTAATAAGAGACCATCAAAAAAGTTTGACCAAATTCATTAAATGACACTATGCCTGTCACAATCATGAAATTTAATTAATGACTGATAGATCTAAATATATCCATCATTTACGATCTAATTATACAACAGTTAGTTCTGGCCACCAAAGCTGATTGGTTGAGAAGCGTTCTAACCGTGCTGTTATTTCACCATAACATCACAGGTTTTTCACAAACACTATCACTCTGCTGAGACTTTGCGTACAAACAGAAAACAGATACTTTGAAGATCACATTTCACCGACAGCCGATTTGGTCAGTCTCTCAAGATGAGACTAGACTAAATTCCCAAACTGTCATCACCACTGTGCAGCTTTTCAGTCGGCAGCTGTGACAGAAGAACAGCTAAACAATCTAGAATTAGCCAGACATGAACCGAATACCATTCACCAAACGTGTAGTCTGATCTTCAGAGTCTGACCAAATCGGACTGAGCCATAAAACTGCCGCAATAAAAAACAGAAAAGCTGCTCAGCGGTGATGACAGTTTGGGAGTTTAGTGTAAGGAGCTGAACGAACTGCCGGCTGTGCAGCGAGTGAGCGGAGCTCGTTACTCTGACGTAGCAACGAGCTGCTTGTTAAGGAACTATACTTTGGCGGAAGGAATTGCTGACATTAAAACATTAAATACCACATTTCACGGCCCAATTTATTAATTTCTCACTTTATTTATTTAACTGTTAGATAAAAGCAATAGAACACTCGAGGTCATGTGTTATGGCATATAACACCTCGCCTTTGGCTCGTGCCTGCGACCAAATCACAGCCGTGATGTTATTTCGTGATAACACACTCCTCCTCGTATTTGCTTAATTACCTTTCTTGTTCTTTCTATGCAACTACTAAAATACAAGTCTCTCTTGGCCAAATTAGCAGATTAGCCATCTTGCTTCTTTGCTGTCGATACTTAGTAGCTCCCAACATACAACAAAAACAACTCAAGCTCAAATAAACACTCACCACCGCCCTCTAAAGGTGTCGGAAGTTAGAACCTTTGTTTTTATAAGACCCATGACAAGTGTGAATAAATGCATTTTCTGTTTTCTTTTATGTATATTTATTAGTCTCAACCCAAATGATGAAACACTCAATTCACATTCTGTGTGCTGCAATGTAAATATGGTCATGAAAGCTAAGAACTGAGTAAAATACCTGCCATCATTTGACTGTATAATAATTATGACAGGCCTACTTGAAACATGAAAGCAGTGGCTCTCAGTCCTGTCCTTGGAGGCTCCCTGCCCTGAGCGTTTTAGTGCCTTTCCTGTTTTAACACATCCAGGAAGGGCTTTTTAATCAGCTGATTAGTTGAATCAGGTGTGAGAGAGCTGTGTAGGGGGTCCCCAACACCATGCTCTAGAGGAACACTCCACAGGACCACACATTCACCCTGTACAGACAACATTTATACTCCAATGAAGGGCTACAGAGGTGAAGAGTGTAAATGCAAAGTGTGGATAAGATCCCAGCTGAACAAGCTGATGCAGTGCAGATGAGTCTGTGTTCTGTGCAAGTGCCAGTGAGAAGCTTAAGGATGCTGAGTGCCACAAACCCACGGCCCGACGAGGGGAGGAACGAGGGATTTTCTAAAAATACAGGGAGGGACAGACAAGGTGAAAAATAGATCTCTCTCTAAAAGTGCCACCCTCCTTCTGAAGCTTCTCTGAGGAGAAAGTGGAGAGCCAGAGCAAGACACCTCATAAGCAACATAGGAGCACAGTGGGTTGTGTTGGGGAGAGGATACTGTTATAACAGCCATTGCTTCCCATGATCTCTGACGTCATGTTTACATGGTGTCAACATACATGAGCCAAGCTGTGAAAATAACTACGGCAGTCGTTGAGAAGGCCGGAAACATCGGGAGTTCAAATGTGGCATGAAAAATTGAGAATAACTACAGAACAAGAGCCAACAGATACAGTCAAATGTATGAACACATCCTGACCGACATCATTATTGATCATTTCCTGTCTGACTTAACATGCTCCAATTCCTTTTACACAAGATGATGCACATTCTGTCCATTTTAAGCAGACGCATACAAACTGTGACTAATCCTCAATTCTGGTGCCGTCTTCACACAAGTTCAGCTATGTTTAGAAACTGCAGGTGGAAGTAAAACCAACTGGATTTTTCACGTTGTATCAGCAGTAGCCTAAAAAGTGACCAAACACATGCACATTGAGTCTGCCCTGTCACAGTCCAGCAACGGGCCAATCAATCACTCCATCGCCCCCGGTAAACATCCTGACCCTGGCACCACAACAATCCTGCAACCAAGCTGTCAATCAATCCGGCTGCCTGGTAACAGTCGCTGGGTGAAGGGGGCTAGCTCTTACCTTGGCCACACTGTGTGACATGGCTGAGATAGTTAGTAATCCACTGGTTCTTCAACATGTTTCAGTAAAAAAAAGTATAAAAAATAAAGGAAAAATGAAAGATGAAGTGTCCAGCTCTTAAAAAGGAGGAGTCCAGACAAAAGGAGACAGAAACCAAGCGACAGAGCGAGAGAGAGAGAGAGAGAGAGAGAGAGAGAGAGAGAGAGAGAGACAGACAGCTATGAACACTGAACTCAACGCGATGGAAATGCAGTCCCACGCAGAGCCGTCCAGGGTTAGACCAATCACACATACAGAGGAGGGGAGGGAGAGAGAGGGAGAGGGAGAGGGAGAGAGTGTGAGAGAGAGAGAGAGAGAGAGAGAGAGAGAGAGAGAGAGAGAGAGAGAGAGAGAGAGAGAGAGAGAGGGGAAGAGGGAGAGAGTGTGAGAGAGAGTGTGAGAGAGAGAGAGAGAGAGAGAGAGAGAGGTGCTAAGGCAGCTCGCAGGCAGTAATCTGATTACAGGCAGAAATTAGCCTGGATGATAAAAGTGGATTGTAGGAGCACGGTGGATTCCCAGACTTACGACAGCAACACACACGCAGTTCAAAGGTGTCTATTACACAGTGCTGCAGGCGATGGTGTGTGCGCATGTTGCCCTGATGGTTATTATTCTTTATGTGGAAAACAGAAGACTTTCACTTGTATATCGTCGCTGTCTGAACAAATCCTTGTATCTCAACAGTAACTTTACAGGAGAAAGGAAATATATATATATATATAACTTCTAAGGCAAGTTAAGGCAAAGTTATTTTTACTCCACATAATTCTGGACCATCTCTATTGCTTCATTCACCAAGACATTTTGGTTTATAAAGGTAAGCTGATATTTTCTAAATATGTCAAAAAGAAAAAATAATAAAAGTGGAGATTCTGACAGCAACAATATACCTACTGATAATCTCATGTGCTTAGTCACAAACACAAATCATGACACTCAATTTTAAAGAGGCATTCCGACCCAAAAATAGCATCTTTCTGTTAGCCAAACCTGCTATCTTTGTCTCCCCCAATCACACGAGACTACCAACACTGTAAGGGTGAAGGCCTTCCTCAGGAAGCCCATCAGCCATCTTTTTGAGCCAACATAACATGGATGTAGAGTTGAACACAACTTGCAATGATGAGGCCAATGCTTAGACTGCTGCGCCACTCGGAAGCTCCCAAAACTGCATTCCTCAGCCTCATCAGTTTGATGGAATTCATGATTTTGAATCCTTTCGGTGTGTTTGTCTATCAAATGTTACTACTCTCACTACCCAACATGCATAACAACTACATCACACAACCATTGGGAATCCCCCATACCATGATAAAGAAATCCTGACTCCTAGAATAGCCACTAACGTAGAGGCTTCCTAGCAGTAACATAAGCCATTTGGCTTTCTTCAGTATTAGTCACCTCACCAATAAAAATAAATAATAATAATTCAAACAGCCTACCACCCTAAAAATCTATCCAAAGTGTTTGTAGTTTGCTAAATGCTCCTCCCACCTCCAACAGAAGGGGGCTCCAGAGACTACAGTGGCACTGCTGTAGGATGCAAGCAGAAATGTTTACAGCAGATGCAGCGATGGTTACATTTTTCATTTTGGCTGACGTGTCCCTTTAACAGCTGACACAGATGTTCAGTTGTGCAAACACAGCTTGTGTAATCTCTGTGAAAAAGCACTGCCAATAGAATGGGATGCTCTGGAGCAGCCATACAAGCCCAAGGTCCTCAGTACTAAATCACCCAGTCATAAGCCACCCAGTACTGAGCAGTGGAGCAGTGGAGCGGCATCCTTTGGTGTGATGGAGGTGCATCCAACACCTTTGGGATGAGCCAGAGTGGCAGTTGTTATCCAGAACTAATCATCCAACATCAGTACCTGACCTCACTAATGCTCTTGTGACTGAATGCAATAGCAGTGTTCCAACATCTAGTGTAAAGCCTTCTCAGTAGAATAGTGGCTGATACTTTAGCAAAGCGGGACAAACTCCCTATCAACACCCCTGATTTTGGAAGAAATGCATGAGCAGGTGTCCACAAACTTTTGGACACGTAGAGCATATCTGTAGAAGAGCTATTTCTAAAGTAGCTCAGCAGAGGGCGTACCGTTGTGCCAAGAACAAGGCACTGCTGTAAGCTGTAAGGACATTCAGATTTAATGACAATGCAATGAGTGAGAGCTAATCTTGGCGTGCATGTGTGGCCGCATGTGCATTCTCCTTTACCTTCTACTGTCCTGTTCTAGCTGGTGACGGTTCTAGAGCGAGGCTGCCAATGACCAAGCACATAAGATCAATTTGAACATAAGAAGACAAGAGCAGATTAATAAGGAATGATTAAACTGAAAAGAACTCCTTAAACTGTATGCGAAGAAAAACAGCATTTAGTGTCAGTATTAATAAAATTTGATATCACAGTATTTGATGAATATATCATGGTAACCGTATCAGACGGTACTTCAGTTTAAATGAATAAAGTTATTGAACACATGCTTTCTGAGAACTGCTACTCAATGCTGAAAGGCTGTCTTACAAACTTCACATAGCTTTCTGACTGGACTGTTGTCATTCTGTTTTCTTCCGTCAAAATGATGCAAAAGGGAACCTTACATGATATAAACACTAACCAGACAGATTTCCAGCAAGCACATTTCCAATCTACTCTGATTTTTCAGATTTTAAACTGTCCTGTCAAAACAATTTGATGCACTCAACACAATTAAAGGAGAATACCACATATTTTTCAAAATGTTTGCATCTCAATTCCATTGAGAAAGTCATTCAGCATGGTGTGATGCGAAATGGTTAATTGTGGAGAAATTTACCAACTCTGATTACAGTGGTGGTGATAGGAACCAGGGGTCACAATGTCTACAGATTTATTTTATACACTGTCTAAAACCAACATTCATTATGATGATCTCATACGAGATGCAAATGTTTAATGGCACAAAAGTAGGAAAATTTAAAACTGTTTTCTTTGGGGACAGTTTTGCACTACAACACCCTGCATGTAGCCCTCCACTATGTACATATTTAAAAAAAAAATACTTTTTAGGCCAAGAAGTTATTGCAAAATTGCTGCAGATCAGTGCATCATGCATTGTATTTGTATCCATTGTATGTCATCGCTTTCTAGGACGTAGGTTTTAGATGCATTAAATGTTACAGGGCGTCTGGTTCCCATCACCACCACGGTGACCAATTTTGAGTTTCTCTAGAATGAAGCATTCTAGATTAAACCACTTTGAATGGCTTAATGGTTTAATTACGCAGAAATTAAAAAAAATCAGTGGAATTATCCTTTAACTAACTGTGCTGGATACATAAACAAAATACAATTAAAAAAGATTGAAAACAAGCCGCTTGGGAACTGAGCCCATGGCTATATTTTGGGCATTTTACCATGGATATTACTGAATATATCATTAAAAATGAGTCAATATCAATAAAATGGTATAGACAATGTATTGCCCAATGTTGGCAACACTTGTCTGACCGAAAGCTCACAGTGAGCTATGAAGGGAGAAAATACATCTCAAAGAAATCCTTCCTTATCTTTGGTCCTATATAACACACACACCAACAATACCAACAACACCAACACCACAACAACAACACAACAACTGTTGAGTTCAAGCTGACCTCATGAAACGGTGCCAAGTTATATTCAAAGCTTTTTGAAGCAGCTTTTTTAAAAACTAGACATGTCAACTTTACATTGACACCACCATTTCTAATAATGAGAAATAAGTGTAAACTTAACTTTTCTATAGGCTAGTATTAAAGTTACAGGACAGTTAATATGGTTTTATGTCATAGATGAACTCTGGACAGACAACATTGAGATCTAGAATATTAAAACAGCACTATCTAGATAAAATAAACTCATGCTGAACACACACACACACACACACACACACACACACACAGTCAGTCATCCCCCAGTATGCTCCACGGTTGCCCTTAATAAGGTCATGTGTGTTCTGATTGGCTGAGAGGCCTGAAAGGGGGTGTGTTGAACTTGTGTTTACCCCGCTGAGCTGTGTGCCTTTTCCTCCCCACTTCCCCTTCTTCACTCGCTACAGTCTCTCATCTTTACCTCGTTTAACATACCATTACTCCTCTTTCTGCCTTTTCTTTTCTTCTATCCATCTTTAGCACTTTTCCTCCCCTTTCTTTGTCATCACCAAAGAGCACAACTCAATCTTCAACATGCTGATCATTCCCTGTCCATCCACGTTCTTAGACGTAAATAAACAAACCTCTGCGTAATGTGGGCACACGTCCTACTCACATGTGCACCCTTTTCATAAAGGTGAGCTGAGGTCAATTTGTCTATGAGCACGGACAAACACATGTATGACCACAGTATGTCTATATTAGAATAACCTGGATCCAGACATTGAGATACTACTATTGCTTTTGTTTGTGAAGCATTCCAGGACTTTTTAAAAGTCCCATATCCAGTACTTTCTTGTAATTTATTTCTCCCCCCTAAGTCCACTTATAATGTCTGGGGGTTTAATACTTCATACTTCAATTTCTCATGAATATTTTCCAACCATAATTAAACAAGTTGTTTTTGTTACTGTGCCTTTTAAACTGGTGTACATGAATGAACTCGGTTCTCTGTGCTCTGTTCTGATTGGCTGTCCAGGCTGAAACACTCTTCATAACTTTAGCGTAAATGGGTGGGGCTAAACGCTGTAGGGTGAACAGACAGATATGTAAAGGTATTGCTTTTTGAGACATCACAAAAACATTCAATTCAAAACAGGCTGTTTCTTCAACTTTTCCATACATGGGGACATGTACATACTTTGGAGTGAATGGTGGGTTTTTAAACTTTACATTACACTATTTGTCAAAGTTAAAAAATAAGTTTTCCATGATTTGGCCCCCTCAATACCAATACAAGTACCAGAGGGTGATAGTGAAGTCTTTCAACTACTTTCAGGCCTAGCCAAGGGGTGAACATGGAAAATCAATAGGAATCCTTCAAAGGTTTTAATTAGGGATGTGCACGGGCACTTGAGTACTTAGTGAACTATTTGAGGTGCCGGTAATGTTGAAATAAATACTAAAATCGCTTCATCACAGGAAGACAAAAACATATTACATTACTTTATCTGATGTTAGCTAGGTCCAGAAACACTGAAAACACATTTCTCTGACAAAAGTAATAT